CCCCCCCCCCGCGGGGGGCTGTTGCTCTCAATGTTCGTTGCTGTTCGTCTCCACTCTCCTTGTTCTCTCCTAACTATCGCCGTATGATATGAGTTTGTTTTTTTTTCTCTCTCAGAGAGAGAGAGAGAGAGAGAGAGAGGAACCAGACCACCGACGAATCTTATTTTTTATCAAAATTATGATTGACGTAAATATGAGTTATTATGAAATGAAAAACGGAGCGCGTGGTGCACGCGAGTAAATGCAGATTGTAATATATTAACGCGGACTGTTTTTTTCCAGCGTACGTGACTCGCTGCATGGATGACCCATGCGGGTTACTCTATTGAAAACATTGATTTCCAGTTATGTGCAAGAGTCAAGGTGCCAATATACCCTTGTTACAAATGCAAGCAACAATCAATAGTCTATTTTTTTAATTTATTCACTATGAAAAAAAGTCGAAAAGTTGTAGCCAACAGTGAAATCTAAAGAAAAAAAAATAGACATTTCTCCATCAATTTCACGCTTGAATCAGTCATGTATAAGTTTCGACATTCCATTTTCAATGATTATAATCATTTATTTACAAGATGCGTTATTAAATCAGCATGTCATACAAGATCCACCACAATTGCAGAGTTTAGCGGTGTTATACTCAATGATTTCTCGAATCATTATTTAAGAGTATATTCACCGTCAAATAAATTGTTTCTTCATACAATTATTTAACTCTTTTTATATTCAATTCGTTCGACTTTGACTTCATCTCCAACGAGTTGATAGACATATGTCACTACAGTTGAGCTTTGAATGTCCATGAGAACGAATGAAGGAATGACAGACCTGTAATGAAATAATGAAGATAAAGCGAGGGGAGGCTAATCTTGCGGCATTGATGAGAGGAGAATATCAAGAGATATCCCGGCTGTGGCCTCCTGATAGTTTATACTTTGACAAGTATTTTGGTGATATACTTTTTCATAATAAAATTTTCTCATTTCTTCTATCCACTAATATCAAAGCCTAAGATTATTAAATTGGTTTCATTTCAATTAGGCGGCGAAGTGATGAGATGAAGTGAAACATTAGATAATTTTTTAATCATTTTTTTTTCTCTCCAATTTTCTCTAGTTTTCGTGAAATGTCGCGCAATCTATGATCAAGTGAGACTCAAATGGAAGTCCCGAATTTTTTTAATAAAAAAAATAGCCAAAGTTTCCTATAAAAATACGAAAACCGTATGCTTAAAAATAGTCTCAATAAAAAAAGATTATTCCATCATTTAATCATTTTTCTAAGTAACTAGGACTAGTTGATAGTTTCATTAAAATGTCATTTTCTAGGGAAACAGATTAATGGATATTTTACAAGAGTTATTTCACACATAGCCATCGTATTATTTTCAAATTTACTGTATTGAAATCATGGCATGTTTATGAAAGTATCAAAGTACCACCTCGCTATCAGGAAGAAGTAATAAAAACAAGTCGGAGACTAGAAAAAACATATTTGAAAATACACTTACGTATCGAGTGGATTATAGGCCCCAGTAGCTGATCCCGGATTGATATAGAATTTATTCTCATGTTCATACGCCTCAAATTTGTGTGTATGCCCAGATATTAGAATATCTACATCCAATTGACGTTGAATCAGCGCCAATGCCTCTGGATCACCCCAGGGAACTACCTGGTGGCCGTGTGAAAGTCCAATCCTGAATTGTCCAACAGTTACGACTTTTTGCTCCGGATAATTGAGATTCTGTTGTTGCAAACATCATTCTTGTTATAACACGCAATCTTTGTTTAATAATTGACAAATAAAGCGTCGAACAGTTTAACTTTTATGAAACTTTCAAAGAAATTTCCGAAAAAAATCCAACAGTCAGTTGGACAGACTTTGTCATGTGATACTTTATTTGTTTATTTCTCGCGAATATTACCTCGTCGAAATCGCCTCTCACTACATGAACATCACTGGCCAGTGTTTTCAAGTAGTCATATGATTCCTTTGTACAGAGATTTCCTGTACATAATATATGTTGAATTCTTCCAGGTACCAAGAGTTTTTTAAATTTACTTGGCAAACTACTGCATCTGTGAGGAATGTGTAAATCTCCCAAAACAAGAACAAGCTGGAAAAGAAGAAAATGAAAAATGGACACAATTTCAATTGATTCAACAATTGCTAATAAATTTCAAACTTGTATCTAGCAAAATCACACTCAAAGGTTAGAAAGTGGATAATCATTTTAATAAACAATAGTCAACACACCATTGTGATATATTTTTTGCCTAAAACTCTGGGCAACAAATTACAAAGGCCAAGAGCTGCAAAATACTTCAGATGCACAGCATTTGAGTTGGAAAATTCTTTTTGCAACTGCTAATTAGAAATTATGATGACATCTTTGACACTCACAATAGCCAACACAAACAGTGAAGAGTTAGCCTAGGGATCCAGGGGGCCCGAGAGAATATTCCCTAAAAGTGCTAGACTCTGACTGACTGACTGACCTGACGCTGACGCGACTGTGGCGAGAACGGCGAGAAGTTTAGAAAATAATTCATAATTATTTGAAACAAAATTGTTAACAATAACAACATATTTGCTGGATTAATTAATAAGGTAAAACTCAAAAATAATTTTGACTTTGTTATGAGGAAATTTTCAACAATTTACATATTAGTATGGGTGGGATATGTGAATTATTATATAGAGTTATAGGTTATGGAAACATTTTTTTTTCAGACAAAAAACGAACAACGAGCATTCTCAGAAATTTCTCGATTCTCTAGAATTGCGATTCATCAATCAAGTTGACATTGCTGCTAGTATCCTAGTTATCTTAGTTAAAAGAATGTCGCTCAGGAGTGTTGATGAGGTAAGTCAATAAAAGTATTGTCTATTAATATTAATATAGAACACTATTCACTATCAGAATTTAATAGTATTTAAATAGTTTCTTTCATTTGAAATTAAAACCGAGTTGGGCAAAATTTAATTTAAATATGAATTAACTATGATTATTATTAATCATATAATAATTTATTTTTTATTAGATCAAACTCGATATCGACGATCTTGAGGCCCTCCTCTTTCAGGCTAAGCGTCAAAAAACGAAAGACCTACTTAGCCTAGAGGTACGAAAACTGCAAACAGAACTGATAAAGCTCAAGGACACTGAGAGAAATGACAATGATTTATCCAAGCCTATTATCACAAATTCTGGTTCCAAATGCTATACCATCAAATTAACTAACTATGCATGGGACGAGTCAGACAACTTCATGAAGCTGTACGTTACATTGAAAAATGTTCACACACTGCCAGCTGAAAACATAATTTGTGATTTCAACGAGAGCTCCATGCATCTTCGTGTCAATGGCCTCGACAACAAAAATTACCAACTACCAATTTCAAATTTGTGTGCGGACATAAATCCTGGCAAGAGTTACACGAAAACTAAGACTGACATGATCGTTGTATTTTTGGCTAAAAAATCACCAAAACGTTGGTCACACGTCACTGGAATCGAGAAAAGGATGAAAGAGGCCAAGGCATCACCAGCACCTGAGTTGGGAGATGACACTGATGCAGACTCGAGTCTTATGAATTTGATGAAGAAGATGTATCAGGATGGTGATGATGACATGAAGAGGACTATTGCTAAAGCCTGGACTGAGAGCCAAGAGAAAAGGGGCTCTTCTGGATTAGATTTTCCAAATGTGTAAAACCTCATTTTCCATTTTGTTCTATTCTATTCTATTCTATTCTATTCTATATGATGTTATTTTTCAGCAAAATATATTCATCATTTGCATTTCGTTTGGATTCGAGTTCTTTTGGATGATTGATCATATTATAGAATAACTAATAATCGATACAAGAATCAAAGTTGTTTTTCTTCAGAATGTGGCAATTTATTTATTACAAATGCTCACTCTTGTCGTCATTCATGTTTTTTCTTTCTTTATCCCTTTTAATCCAACAAAAAAATATGGGACACAAATCATTTTCACATCTACAAATAATATTTTAATTCAATTATTGAAATTTCAAACAATCCACTTGTATAAAATTCGAAAAATGAGTACATGAGTATAATAAATAAGTAAAATTCAAGTTGATGGAAATGTTTTGAATACACACTAGTAGTACTACTTGTAAAGCCAAGTACTTGCTATTTGCTATCACTTGTCATAACAAAATAGAAATCATCAGAGAGGAACAATACTGAATACACAAAGTATGGCGATAAAATTTGAGTTTCGAGATGACAATAATCATCTTTCATGTAAATTACCATTAGTTGAATACTAATTCTAACGAGTACTTTTGAAATTATAAGTCAAGATTTAAAAAAGAAAATAAGAAATATATCCACATGGAAATTATCGTTGGTTGTACGTATCACTGCATATATCACCCTTCGAATCATCAATAATAAATTATCAAAAGCTGTTTTGTAAAATGTATAGTCAAGTCTTTGGTTTCGCCCGTCGGATTTTCTATGCATTCTCTGTGTATTACTGAGAATGGAGTTTGCATGAGACCGTTTGCTGGACTTGGCCACTAGATACATGGAATACTTCCGTCATTATTGACTGCGTTCTCGCCATCAGTGATTCAATGTCTTTGGGTCCCAAGCCTTTAGTGGAAATTGGGGGTAAAGTTGTAACGATGACGCGACCTTGAAATATGAAAACAAAACCTTGAAAACAATACTGAGCGAATATTTATAATTTTCTATTATAATAAAGAGATGTTTCTAAATCATAATGTAATTACTAGACTAGAATATTCCAGAGAAAATCATTTACCCGGATCGAATTTCTTCTCGTTTGTATTCAAAAAGTAATAAGATGAAAATACGACAGGTAGAATGGGCAATTGGGAGTTGATAGCCATGTGAAAAGCTCCTTTCTTAAAAGGATGAATTTCACCATCGTTGTGTCTCGTGCCTTCAGGGAAAATCCATAATTTAATCTGTTCGAAAACAAATTGATGAGTAAATAAACATAAATTAATTCATGGCCATGTAATTTAATATAATGATTTGCATTTGTATTCTTGTTGATGATAATTTCACCTTTTTCTCTTTAATATTATCCGTAGCTCTATTAAGAGTATTTCGTGCCTTCTCAGAGTTCATTCTGTCGATGAAAATTAGTCCACATAACCAGGCAGCAAGTCCAAACGGCCAAAAGTAGAAAATTTCTTTTTTAGCAACAACAGTGCATTTATCCATAACTGGCCAAATATCAAACATTCCCAGAATGTCGATGGAACTCTGATGATTGGAGACTATGATACAGGCCCGCTCTTTCTCCAGATGTTCTCGACCTCTCAACTCCCATCGTAGACCCAGCAGAGTACTGATATGATGGCACAATGAAGATGCTAATCTATAATATATAGGAAATTCATTAATTCAGGAAAAAAAAATTGATACTCACAGTAAATACTCTATTTATATACTCACAGTAAATTCTTGACATTTCCAGGCCGAAATGTCATGATGGGGATGAGAATAATAGAATTTACCATGACGATTCCATAATACATGAGGAATTTGAAATAATACCTAAACGTTTTACTCGTCTCATACAAGAATGGAAGAACGAGTATAAATCCAACGAGGATCACTTCGAGCCCGGACGGTGCCATAATTTCTAATCAAATTTCTCTTTGAAAAGTAACCTTGCCCTGATCGTCTACTCCTATTAAAATATGGATCCTAAATAAAACACTGACGGATAGATAATGATAAAAAAAAACGCCACCGGAAGTCAAGCAGAAATTTGCTTCAATATTAATCTTTGAGTATTATTATATCTTGTCTAAATTAAATAAATTATGAATGGCCATGTTTTTGTTATTGACTTTTTTTTTTTTTTTAACAATGACGGATTACTGGCTGTAACCCTCACTGGTGATAAAACTGCACACAGCCTCCCCCCCCAGCAGCTACCCTACAGCTACACTATATTACAACCCTGAACGACGACAACGGAGTGTGTGGCGGCTGCAAGAGGGGGGAAACAGATGCGCCAGTGGTGCGCGTATGCCAGGGCTCTCTATTACATACAATAATGTAATATTTAAAAAAACATGGAATACCCTGGCTGAATTGGTTTCTTGAATAATTGATGTATTTTTATCATTATGAAAGCTTAAATTTTGTCGGATATTTCATATTATTCGAAAAAAATCGATTTATTTAAACACCCAAAAGCGCATGCGCAAACATCCTTCGACACACGTGGTGATTCCTACCTCTAACCCTCATTGGAATTGTAAACACAGTGAATTTCAATACAAATGACAAAGATAACAATGAATGAATATCCTGAGATTGCAGTTGGTTTAGCAGTGGATCGCATCGATACGAATTTAATAGCGCCAGCTCATGTTGCCATGAAATTCTATACTCCAGGAGAAGAAGTCTCCGATCAAACGGATTATCTCAGGTAACATGCTTGAAAAATAAAATGATATCCGTCGATATAACATGCTAGTTATTTTGCAGAGGTCATGGAACTTATGTCGATGATGATGAGTCCCTGAGAGCATCTGTCGCCGGTGTTTTGGAGAAAGTCAATAAACTCATCTCAATTAGACCCCTTAAAACTCGATATCAAGGAGAAATAGGGGATGTTGTCGTTGGGAGGATAAGTGAGGTGCAACAAAGTCGATGGAAAGTTGATACGAATTCTAAAATGGATTCTGTTCTCTTGTTGTCCAGTGTCAATCTTCCGGGAGGTGAATTAGTAAGTTGGCAAAAGACGACAACTTTTTATCAGGAAAAGTAATTTTTGTTTTGACCATTCCAGAGACGACGTTCAGCAGAGGATGAACAAACGATGCGTAAATATCTCCAAGAGGGTGATTTAATTTGCGCTGAAGTTCAAAACACCTATGCTGATGGCTCCCTATCCCTTCACACACGTGTCCTTAAATATGGTAAACTATCCCAAGGAGTGATGATCAAAGTACCACCAGGCTTGATAAAACGAAAGAAAACCCATTTCCATCATTTGCCCAACGGTGCAACCCTTATTCTGGGTAACAATGGTTATGTATGGATCGGTGCAAGTTCCCAGAGTACTGATCGTTCCGAGGGTGGATTTACCCAGGATCTGACACGAGTCACTCAGGAGGACAGGGAAGTTTGCGCGAGATTACGAAATTGTGTATTAATACTCTCTCACTGCAATATCTTTCTCACGGACACTTCTGTCACATATGCCTATGAGGAGTCTAGCAAATACAGATGCAGTGAATTACTCCAGCCGGAAACCATCGTCGATGTGGCTCTCATGACCCATCATAGACTAAGTCAATAAATTTTTTCCCCCCCCCCCCCTTCCTATATTCAATGTCAATGGGAATTAATAAAATCAATGTGTCAGGGCAAAATTCAAATCATTCTTTTTTTTCTCCCATATCCGGAAAAGCCACACATACATTGGCTATTGCATCATTAGTGAGTGTGAGTGACGCAAACACGTGTTGGTGAATTTCTCGCGCCGGTGTTGAATTCAACTTGGACAGAAACAGGGCAGTGCATGCCTGTTGAGCGGTGTGAGTCGGTGAGTTTGACCCCCCACAGCTCAGCCCAAGCCGACAGGACTCGTTCGTCAAGAGTAGCGTGAAATAACCAAAGGCAACATGTCGATTTCACCGACTTTTCAAAGCGGCAAACTTTCATCCGCGTCTATCGATTTAACAAATGGCATAGAAACGCTGGATTATTTTCACGTTGACTTGAAAAGAACCGAGGGCAGCGAAATGGACGCTTGTTTTGCCGCGTTTGATAGAGACGGCGATGGTTTTCTATCAATCAGTGAATTTGAACTCATTTGCCGGGCATTATTCAGAAATGATAGAGGCAAAATTTATGGAGTTGAGGAGAAACAATTGCGAGAGATTTTCGATATATTTGATTCTAAAAAGGATGGATTGCTTGATCTGCAAGAATTTGAGGTAAGAATGGTTTAATATTCAATGCTAATTTTCTTGACATTGATATATTTTCGAGGATTGCATTGGAATCAACAAATTTTTCAATTTTAATGGTGTGTTTAACAATGAATTTGAATGCCTGCTTTTAATCATAATATATGGAAATCAATCAAACAAACAAGGATGATATTACGTCATTGTCGAAACATATAAGCATCGTAATTTTCATCCAGGTGTGTTGGAACCGTTGGATAAAGGTCTGCACGCGACCGAGGTGTGCCTTTCTCATTGTTGACGTACAAAATGATTTTATATCTGGCTCACTGAATATAAAACAGTGTGCGGCACAGCACGATGGTTCTGAGGTGATTGAACCAATAAATCATCTGCTGAATACAGTAAGGTTTGATGCTGTATTTTATTCACTGGATTGGCATCCGGTTGATCATGTATCCTTCATCGATAATTTACATATGCGGTAATGAAAGTGTCAAAAAGAAAAATAAATGAAAAATCAATGAAATCAATGAATAAAATAAAAGATTCAGGAAGAATGGTTGTTTTTTAGGGAAGTAGACGAATCTAGTCCTGTCCCCAAGGAGGAAGCAAAAGTATACGATACCGTCACCTTCAAGGGTCCACCCTCGTTGAAACAAAGATTATGGCCCCGTCACTGTGTGCAAGACTCCTGGGGAGCCGAGCTCCACAAAGACCTCAAGATTGTCGAGCACGCTATAAAAATCTACAAAGGAACCAATCCAGAAGTCGACTCCTACTCAGTCTTTTGGGATAACAAAAAACTTACAGAAACTACTCTATCTAGTCAACTTCAGGACAAGGGAGCTACAGACATTTACATCTGCGGTTTAGCCTATGACGTTTGCGTCGGTGCGACAGCAGTGGACGCACTCACCAGTGGTTATCGCACTATTTTAATCGACGATTGCAGTCGTGGCGTTGATCTTGTCGATATCGAGAAGACCAAGGCCATGGTAATCGCTAGCAATGGTGTTATTGTCACTTCGAGCCAGGTAAAAGCAATGGTCGAGGGGCGCGATCGCAGGCCAGAACTCGGCTATAAACTCGCCCTCGAAATCAAGCAGTCGCTCAAATCGTCAAGTAACAATAACAGAAACTAGAAACTAAATTCAATTTTGCAGTCGATGTATATATAAATATGATAACAAACAACAAATATATATATAGAGAAGAATGAATATGTAATATTAATCATACACGTGTGAGGACGATTTCCTTCCAAATTGTTATATAACATAATTTTTGTTAGTTGAAGTTGAAAATAAATATTCATAACTTAAATATGCATGGTAGTTTCATCTTTGTGTCTGACGAATATCAGACGTTTGTCAGTGTGACAACCGGTCTAGTGGGTCTAGTGATTATTATGTTATAGGTTTATGATGACATAACAACGGGGTAACATCACCATGACGTCATCCTGACGGGTAGAACAGGCGCACACGACAAAATATACATATATATATATGTATATCATATCAACGCAATCAAACGCAATGGTTGGTCGTTAACATTCGTGAAAATAACGATTGACATTTTTTCATATAGTAGGTGGTTTATCCTCTGCTCGATAGTCATCAATTGTAAGTAAATAAAGAAAAAATAAACTTTTTCGGCTATAAACTCTTACTTTCTTATATGTGGAATAATGTTTTTTTTTTTTCATCCCTGCATGCGGTATATGCATGAGTCCTTATCCCTATAACCTCGACTAAGCCTATATGAGTTTACAAATGTTTGATGATAATTCATCTATTTAATATTTAAACACAAATGAGACAGGCACAAACAAATGATCGCTATTATTTTCAGAGTCAACAAAATTGATAAAAATGCTGGAGTGGGCCTACGAGGGGGTAAACGCCTCAATACCACGTAATGTGGGGCCTGAGTGTGCATACTACTTGCCGTTCAAATACAAAATAATCGAGACACTCTCTGTGTCAGTATTAATTATGTACCTCGTTATGAAGGGCTACAGAAACATAAGTTTGCCATCAAAGAATATGAAATACATTAATGAGGATCGGAGTGGGAGAACAATATTGCTAGTTGTCATGACTCTTATTCTTGGCATTGAAATCGGATTCAAATTTTCTAGTAGAACTGTGGTTTATTTGCTCAATCCGTGTCATATAACTACAGCTGTTCAGGTAACTAATATTTTTGTAAACATGGATTGTCTGAAAAAGAAAAATGTCTCATTGCAACATATGTTGATTTCATCAATAGTTGTACCTATTATCAGCAAAACCTAGTCCAACTGTTACTGCCCTCTTCAGACTACAGTTAAATTTTATGAATGGCCCAATTCTGGCTTACGTTTTCCCTGAGACAGAGTCCCGAAAGATATTTGCTGATAAAGCCATGTACTATCTCCAGCACGGTTTAATGATTATCATATCATATTACCTATTAAGAATTGGTGGGGCATATAGTGTAGAACCACTCAGGGATTTCAGTTGGTGCTTTCTAGGATATGGCATTAATCTTGCCTATCATTTTTGGATTCTTCAACTCGCTGCATTGGTTAGTCTACAAAAATTATTCCGCCCCTATTTCATAATTCGTTTTATTGATATCTCTTTTTCGTTTTCATGTCATTAAAAGCCAGTACAAGTCAATCTCAGTCATATGCTGTGTCCAGCTATCCTGGATCCTTTCCAAGGACAATACTATCGTCTCTGGGCTGTAACACATCAGGCATTATTATGCCCTCTCCTATCAAAATTAATATGTTTTTCATCGAATATCTTCCTAACAAAGTTTCCACATCTTAGAGTAACCGGCAAACAACAATCTCCTGGTAATGGCAATGAAGTAATAAAAATTAAGGACCGACTGGAAAAGTGCAAAAATGGCAGTCTACACGCCGATTAAATTGACAAGCATCTTTCTCAAATTAATATCAATTTATCTGGTCTTAAATATGCTACGCAAACTTGTACTGTGATCAATTAGTCTGCCTAAATCACTTTTAACTTCAAATCTCATAATATTCAAAAATACTCTCAATTTATTCTACTTGTTTTTCTTTTTATTTTCTTTCTGATTCAATCAACATTTCTATGGATTACATAGTTGAAGATATTGATTAAAAAATAGAGAGAACAACTTTGAGGGTTACAACTAAATGTACTTAACATGCTTGAAAAATCTCTAGTATGCAGTACAAATACATTTTTTCATAGATTTTGTCTCCACTCATTAGTCATTTCAATGTTTAAAATACTTCATTCATTTACTAATTGTATCTAGATTATTTCAATTAGATGTTCAATTGAAATTTTTGAATTTCAAATAAATTTATTTATTTACATATAATACATATCTATTGAATCGTATATATATGGTGAATTTGTATAATTAGGTGTTTGATTTAAAAAACATAATGAGTGTTTTTTTCTTCTTTTCAAGACCAGTTGAACGACTATGTACATTGAATTTGTACAAAAAATATGAAAGAATTGTCATTGAGATGTGGACATTTTGTTTGAAGGCTCCATTACCAAATTACTAAATATTTACATGACATTTATTTTTTATGGCAATGATTGTAAATAATCAATGGCAAGGTTTAAGTGTTTCTCTTAATTATTACCTATATTAATTATGTAAAAATTGTGGTTATCTGTAAATATTAATGAAACTGATTGCATCAACAAATGATTATTAAAAAGATGAAAAAGAAAGGAAAATTAGATAATTATTGAAGAGAGTATCATTCGGAGTCTGTAGAATCCTGACCCATTATTCGATCAAGAAAACACACACGCAAACAAACAAATTGACAACATAATCGCGTATCACATAGGAATATAAAACTCACATGAAAAACATGTTTCAATACATTGGAATGGACAATCGCTATCCTAAAATATATCAGTATAATTTTTTTGCATTGATGGATAAATTCAATTCAACTGATTAATAGAGTGTTAGCCATCTAATGGAGGTCCAAGATACACCATCGAAACCTCGGTGTTACCATAGACCGCTGAGACAGAGGGATACAATCGTTTATCAGGTAATCCTGAAAATAATCACCGCGTTTATTGCATGCTGAGGCCATTGAATATTAAAATATGTTAATTTTTATTATTTATGAAGGAATTGAGAGAGAAAAAAAAATGAAAATTAATGTCTCCTACAAAGAAAAAAACAATAAAACAAATACCTCGAAATGCAACACCTAAAAATTCGTAATTCTTCTCAAATGATAACGTATTATCGTCACAATCCAGTATAACTCTAATCTTCTCACCAACCTAATGAAGAAAAGAGCATTGTATTAATGGAAATATTAACTGGTACAATTGAAAATCGCAGAGAGAGAAGTAATATTACTTGATATTTGGGTGCATTATTCAATAAGGGATAATTTCCCTGAGTATCGCCATTATGCAGTAGGTGATTGTCCACTAGATTCCACCCCCAAGAGTGTTCATCAGAACCCAGAAGTGCGACATATCCATGACATATTAGTGGTGCCTCCTTTGTGGCAATACCTATGACGGCTACTGTACCCAGGGGACCTTCCCAGATGACTTCCCAGGCATGACGACCATGCCTAAAGCCAATTTTACCTCTACAAGCATCTGTACTCTGAGCAACTGGGTTTCTAAAAAAATTAAATCATCATTAAAAAGGGAATTTCTCTGTTGGAATCATTTCAGGATAAAGATAATTCACCTGTGAAGGGTAAAACCATTTGGTTTAATATAGATATTTCTAGAGCAGTCGTTTGGATTCCAGGCGTGGTAGAAAGCCCTTAATTTCTCTTTGTAAGTTGGAACCGATGACAGGAGATCAGAACTGAGTGCCTCTTGCGCTAATTTTCTGAGACAATGTGTCCTCCAGACGTCATTATTTTCATCCTCCAAAAATCTATACCAATTTTTACAAACTAATGCACAATTCCTCAAGGTATGAAGATCCAGATACGAAAATATCACCTCCAAAACATGATCCGACAGTTTAAATACTACATCGTCCATTTTGCCGGATTTAGCTTGATTGATGATATTAACTATTTCGATGCATAATAAATACACTGACCCTTGAAAATTCGACTCGTGAGAATTGAATGATAAAAATACTATGAAAATTTGGCAATCAGCTGTTAATGATTTTCCACTCTGTAAATAAGCCTTTTTATTTTTATTTTTTTTTTCCTATTTATTTACACACCACTGTCGTCACGTGGGGACGTTTCGATGGGGGATGGTGGTCGCTCTCTTGACACAATATGCTATAGTAAGGGCGGGGCGAATGAGATTTAGCGACTGACTTCATAACTGTTAGACTTCTCTTTTGATGTGGAATGTCTTTGGAGCTATATAGATGTGATGGTAAAATTTTTGTCAACATCTATAGAAAAAAAGTTTCTTTTCAACTGCTCTTCTCTCTCCTGATACGATGGTCCTGATTGAAAAGAAGAAGCAAACACCACGCGAAGGCAGCCAACAACGACCAAATTCCTCTCTCTCTCTCTCTCTCTCTCCGAGCCAGACTATCCAACCCCCCCCTCTGAAAAACCAACCTCACACTATACCCAAACATAAACTTTTCATGGCCTGCCCTGCCTGCGCCGGGAAAAGAGGGAAACTGAATTGGCCACGTGATCTCCTCATCCACCAATCAGCTGTTTCGCTTTGTCCTGCCGCCAAGCTCCATTCTCTCCGATCTATTTGCACGCATAGTCACCAACAATTTTTCCGTGCAACTCTATCAGATCAATTGTGATTTTTCAACAATGTTAATAACATTATAATTGTGCAGTGGGTATATTCCATCCCCATAAATCTTACGTTATTCTCATTAATGGTAAAACATAATAATTTAACATTTGTAAATGCACTACCCCGATATTAGTCGCCATTTTGGTGATACGTTGAGCTCGTAAAAGCGGCATTGCCCATGATATTTATCATTTTTATGTCAATTTCCAGTGGCCCATTGTGATCGTATACGACACAACAAAGTTCCATTGATATTTAGTGATGACACAACAAAATAAAACCATGAATTTCTTGATACACGATGCCAATGGTAAGTACATCATCTGCCCGCCAATACTCAACACTGCACCAATATTCCTCATCTCGACATATCAATCCTCCCCTAAAGTCTCTTTCGTCATCACAATTTCCTCATTATCCTCTTAATTTTCGTATTTATCAACATCTGCACTTGTCCTTTTATTATTTATTTAATGTTGACCTTAATGAAAAAACAAAAAGAATGCTTTTTACCATCTTCTTTATAGCTTGGAATCCTTGGAAATTACTCAACCTGCAACGTGCACAGTGTCATGATTATTATTAATTTGTTGTTGTTTCTACATTCTTCATGGATAGTATATACATTGTTTCAAGCTCGGAATATTGTTTGAGATATTGGGGTTTTTTTTTCTACATTTGATATTATTGACCGTGGTATTACCATATCGATGTTTTTTTTTCTCTCTCTCCCTCTCTTTTTTCAATAGGGCAAACACAAGTGATTAAGGTTGTTCAAAGCACCCCCAACAAAACTTTGAGCAATATGATTGGGGCAACGAATACCGGGGGAATCAAGGTCTTCAAGACCCCGGGACAGGAATCACAAGTAATTTTTCAATTATATTAAAAATCATAAGGATTTCAAATACATTGGTGCATGTGGTTAATCCAAAACATTGAGCTTATCTCGTGGTGTGTTTTTAACAGATTTTATCGTCTGGTACTCAAGTTATGAGGACTATTAGTCTGGGGAGCTCATTAACTCCGAAGCAACGTGAGTTATTATTTTTTGTTGCAAATTAAAAATGGATTTTGCATTTAAATATTAATCATTGATTGATTTTAATAGGATTAGTGTCGATACCACTGCAAAATGCCAAAGTCTCGACGGTCAAGTCCAATGACTCGGTTATGACCAAGACGATACAGTTGACAACAGCTCAAATGGTTTGTTAATTACTAATTAATTGAAAATGGAAAAACAATAATAATAATAATAATAAGTGACAATAACAAACGTGTATTGATTATTTGTTTAGAGTGATATTAAACAGGCTATAGCATCGCAGCAACAAGCCACTGTTCAACAAGTTGTCAAGGATGCCTCAGGAAAATTCTTCACTCCACTACTCGATCACGGTGCTACACGAAAGCGCCATGATGCTGATGGTAGTGATTTTGTCCCTGAGTAAGATATTTCTTTAAATTTTTTCAATGATGAAAAAAATTGGAGTCAATTATCATATGAATTTTCATTAGCAAACGAAGAAAAACAGAGAAAGTTGGAAAGGGTCTGCGACATTTTTCCATGAAAGTATGTGAGAAAGTAAAAAAGAAGGGAACAACATCCTACAACGAGGTAGCAGACGAACTCGTAGGTGAATTTACAAATCCATCACATGTAAATTCACTGACTGATCAGCAGTACGATCAGAAGAACATTCGAAGACGCGTATACGATGCTCTCAATGTTCTCATGGCAATGAATATAATATCAAAGGAGAAGAAGGAAATTAGATGGTTGGGATTGCCTACAAATTCACTTCAAGAGTGTTTATCACTTGAGAAAGAAAAGAAGAAGAGGATTGAACGAATTAAAACAAAAACTCAACAGCTGCATCAGCTTATTCTGCAACACATTTCATTTAAAAATTTGGTCCAACGTAATAGCGCGAGTGAGAGTCAGCATGGCCCGCCAAAGCCAAACTCAGCTATACAATTGCCATTCATTATATTAAATACTAGCAAAAAGACTGTTGTAGACTGCAGCATCACCAACGATAAATCTGAGTACCTGTTCAATTTTAATGATAAGTTTGAAATCCATGACGATATTGAGGTTTTGAAACGTATGGGATTGGCCTTTGGTAAACCATTGATTTTTATTCAACATGATAATCCAATTTTCATATTTGTCATAATCATTATTTTCCTTCTTTAGGACTCGAAAAGGGAGAATGTACGGAAGAGAATTTGCGTAAAGCTAAAGCAATGGTACCTAAATCATTGGAAAAATATGTTGAACGTAAGATGAACATCATTTTATCATTGATACATACATAGATATTGAAATTTCTCCTTTATATTTGACATATGTTAATTGTGACAGAGCTATTATCGGGTGATCTTGAAAAATTCATTCCCGTAACCATTCCTGGACCAAGTACTTCCATGGAAGAATTGGAATTGAAACTAGAGGGCTCCAGCTCAAGGCCCCCATCATCTTCTCGTACATCATTATCCGAAGAAGCTATGTCACCTCCATCACAAATTTATTCCGACGACGAGGAAGACGACCTGGAGAGCGATCAGGATGAGCAGGTGGATAGCGACGTTGATATAAACTAGCACACTGGATAATTCGATAAAAACCACACTGATCATCATTCACATTTGCTTATTTTTACTATTCAATTTTACGCATTGAGTTAAAAAAAAACAAAAGAAGAAAAAAATCATTGTATTTTTTTGAAAATAACGATGGGAGAGAAAAAAAAATTAATATCAATTGGCCACATGAATTTGAGCGAATGCATAATGAATGACGATTTTTTTTACCCAAGTGGTTTAATTTGGTTATTATTACAAATTATTATTATTATTATTATTATTATTATTATTATTAAAATCTTTCATCGATCGATAAAATACCTATTGTATGATTATTTTTCCTTTTGCTAGTGACTAAATGTAAGAGGGCCAATACTAGCAAACAATATGGAAGTGGATCTATCATTTTCAGTTGTTAAATTGCAAAAAAAAACCATCTCTCAATATTCTTTTTTTTCGTCAACGTCTTGTTCATTTTGTTCATTATATCGTCATCATAAATACAATTACCAACTAATGTATTGATAATAAATGGAATGAAACTTCAACAGTGAAGTAAAACGGAATGTGTCAATTTTATTGAAATTTTTCAATTTTAAAATTTTGAATTGACACGCAGATAATTTTCGAGGGATTTTGTAACGGGAACTTGAACAACATCGGTGCTAATAATAACCGCGCATTGTCTCAACAACATTGTCGAAGTACAGGTCAAAATGAGTAAGAAACATGAAATAAAAAAAAAAACAAGGGTTTATATGCCACATATGTATGTATTATAAATTATAATAATCCTAGAGTTATTTCTCTCAATTACATGTATAAAAATGTAGTACGATTACTCATTTTCATATGGCACATTAATAATAATGATAATAATAATAATAACAATAATTATAACAATATGTGGTAATTGAAATTTAAATCTGAAATAGTTCCTGAAACTCAATCTGCTGGAATTATGAGAATAAAAGGATTGTAATATCATTACAACAAACAAATAGTTCCTTAAGACTTTTAATTACTCTTCAATTGACAATTATTTCAAACTTTCGGATAATTATATGACGAAATTTTCAACGATTTATTGGCAGAAGGCTCGTTTAATAGTTTATATAAGAAGAGAGAATTAATGTTTCTGATGATTTGAATGAGTCAAAATAAATGGGACAGTTTTCATGTTCATTTTATGAATAATTGTTTATTAACATTGTAGACATGAAGGAGGAGGTAACCGATGTGATTGTGCATCAGTCGAGATCATTATCATCATACAAATCCTCGAAATCTGAAAAATAGGAAAAAAATTATTATCCTCATGACGTGGAATAGTATAAACCATTGAAATATTTTGCCCGCCTCTATTTGATGATTATTTTGAAGAATCTCTGAGGACAATACCATTGAAAAAATCAGCATGTACAGCTTTTTCATTAGCAGCAAGATCCATCAGTAAATTCGATAAGCCTCCAGCCTAAAAAATGTAATAACAAATTAACATATCACCGACAGAGTTATAAAGGAACATAACCCAACACTGCAGGTGGTGCACACATAATGTCCACTTATTTTCCATGGCCATTTACCTCCTCCAGGTCCATGTAAGGGCCCGCGCCTTCAGGGAACATCTCATCAGCCACTGGAGTTGGTTTCATGGTAATTTTTTCTAGGAATAACCAGGTAGGGACACGATCAAATCTTTTGACGTTTCACTTATTGTCTTGTCAGAATTTATCGCCGCAACAAGTGAATGCAATTATTTTCCCCTCCAAGCTGACGCCATATTTCAATTCCCTTCGATATATAGAATGTAAGGTATCCTATCAAAAATTTTCAAACAAATTTTCAAAAATTGCAAACAAAAAAGCACTCATAACCTCCAGAAGTCTGTCAATTTCTCCCCATTGATTATTATTAATTATAGACTTTTACTTTATTGCAATGTGTTATTTATTGTCAATCATTTGACAATTTAGTCACCCACTGATATTCAGATGAATTTCATACGCAGGCGCAGATGTCCGCGCACGCGCAGACGGCTGCGCATGCGCAGAGGCAGCGCATGCGCGCCCCCACTACGTTTTCCCTCCAAATCAGCGCCATGTTAGATTCTAGCCAGTCTCTCGCGACGCGATGGCACGCTAGAGGTGCCCTCCCGACGAAAACATGAAAATTCCCGGTAATCGCCGACCCTCGTAGTGTGGAGAGTCGGCGCCGCGTCTGAACGTTGACAATGCCGGTATACAAGCCTCAGTTGAGGCCTCGTGTGGTGATTTTTTCATGTAAAAAAGACTTGTATGAGTTACATTGGACTAGTTGTGGATTTTCCTTTGTCACAATGGATCCTCAGGCCTAACAATGGCGGCCAGTATCTTTCCTTTGTCTACAAAACGGTGTTTATTGTGTCCAGTGAAGTGTTTAGTGTATCAGTGCGCGTTGATTGGGATATGTGTCGAGTCCTTTGTTTATATAAAAGACAGGAAAATAATTCATTTTTTCGTTGAACTGTGTTGATCTCGAGTCTTATGGCCAGTGCATTCTTTTCGTGCCTTGGTTCGCGGAAAATCGGGTTTGTTGTGTCCTTGAAGTGCCCACTGGGGTGTTTAGTGTGTCGATTCGTGGAATTAATAATCTGTGGCGAGTGTTTTCTATATAAAAGAGAGGAAAATATTTCATTTTTTCGTTCAACTGTGTCGATTTCGAGTCTTATGGCCAGTGAATTCTGTTCGTGCCTTTGTTCGCGGAAAATCGGGTGTGATGTGTCCTTGAAGTGTTCGGTGTGTCGATTCGTGGAATTAATAATCTGTAGCGAGTGTTTTCTATAAAAGAGAGGAAAATAATTCATTTTTTGGTTTAGTTGTATTGATTTTGAGGCTTGTGGTAATTTTCAAAGGTTCCGTGAATTCCTTTCGTGTGTTTATTGTTAAAATGCAGTGTTTGTTGTGTTCTCTAAATATCTAGTGGTGTGTTTAGTGTGTCCACCTGTGTAGTTTGTGATATATATTGAGTGTTTTTAAAACAAAATAGTGATTTTTTTCTTAGATTGGGTCAATTTCGAGTCTTGTGACATTTATTTATGATTTTTTATGAGTGGACGTAAAATTAAATGATTTGTGAGTGTAAGTGCGTTCCAGAGGATCAAACCAGAAGCCATGGATATACCAGAGTCAGAGGACGCAGCTGTACCAGGATGATGGGAATAGGAGAAGGAAACTCCATTGAATACGACTAAACGGTAAGTTGTTCGAAAGGTGAAAACGGAGCGGTTGTTTTCATCCAACGCCGGTGAGTGAATTTATCCAATTGTTTATTTATTTCATCAATGATCTGAGCTGCTTTCGAGATGCAAGCGATCGGCAAAGCATTCTCTCTGACCAAAGCATTTGGGGAATACTTTCTTTATTATGATCTGCAGAACTGCAATCATTTTTTTCTAACTTGGCGATTACGTTTTTTGCAAATTTCTTGCGTTGATACTTGCGATTTTTTCGTGATTCCGGGTGAATATTCAATTTTGTATTCACTTGGCGGATTTTAGATGATCTGAATTTTTTTTATCTCTTGATGAGATGATATCTAGATGTCAGTAGTCAGTCTGTGTCTGTCAAGCTTTTTAAAAAAATCTCGGGTTCTGTCCAGATCCGATCAATTAGCCCCTCATGTACAGATATTCCAAATTTTCATTTTTTTCCTCATTGAAGTAGTTTTGAAGAAAATTGCAAGCTAATAAAAAACATTTGCTAGTTAGTACTTTTTTTAAAATAAATTTTTGAAAAATCACCTCTGAAAAAAAAGGAGTAATCCCCTCTATTTCATTATTTCCAAAAAATTTTATCACCAATCGATAGCAAATTGTTTGAAGATTTTTGCGAGTTGAGAAAAAATCGTCAATGCAATCCTATTATTGTGTAAATTAACAATTCCAATTTCAACTGAGAACCAGAGTTGATGACCAGAGTTTGTAACAGAGATGTCAAACAAGATATGAATGTTTTTTTTGGCTCAAATGAAAGAGCGGCTCAAAAAATGGCGTGCAGAAGTCTTTAAAGATGACAAATGTCTCTAAAGATGATGTCTGTTTTCAATTGAAAAGCGCAATTGTGACAACATTGTCCAGTGGGGTCTAGGAGTCTCCCCTGGGTCAAAACCATCTTTAGAGGCCCTAGCACGCCAGTTCACGACCCGCAATTTCCTTTGAGCCCAAAAAAACATTCATATCTTGTCTGACATCGCTGCTACAAACTCGGGTTTTCAACTCGGGCTTTCAATTGAAAACCCGAGACAACAGACATCATCTTTAGAGAGATTTGTCATCTTTAAAGACTTCTGCACGCCATTTCTCGACCCGCTCTTTCATTTGAGCCAAAAAAAAACATTCCTATCTTGTCTGACATCTCTGCTCTGTTTGTACTCTGGTCATAAACTCTGGTTTTCAGTTGAAACTGGAATTGTTAATGAACACAATAATAGGAGAGCATTGACGATTTTTTCTTAACTCGGAAAAATCTTCAAAGAATTTGTTACCGATTGGTGATAAAATTTTTTGGAAATAATGAAATAGGGGGGATAACGCCTTTTTTTCAGGAGTGATTTTTCAAAAATTTATTTAAAAAAAAGTACTAACTAGCAAATGTTTTTTATTAGCTCGCAATTTTCTTCAAAACTACTTCAATGAGGAAAAAAATAAAAATTTCGAATATCTATACATCAGGGGCTAATTGATCGGATCTTTCTGTCCGTTGGTAAACAACCAGCAGGCCTGCTGCTGATTTTCAAATTGCCATTTAATTACTTGAATTCTATAAAAAAAAAAATAACCATCAGTGACGGAATAAAGTGCAAGTTTTCAAACAAAAGGAGTTGAATTCATCTGGACTTGTATCGAAATTAATGCTGTGCATACTGAGTGAATTTCTAACCTAAAATTCTGACAACTGTATAAATGATTGAATGAAGTTTATGTACAATGATTGATCTTGAAACATCAGAGCCAGTGAACCCGGACATGAGAAATACCTCATCACGACTAGTGATACATAAACGTAGATCTTCAATTTTTCAACGAAGATCTATAAATCCCCGTCAGCAAGGTGAAATCTTTTTCTATTATCAAATTATTGTGCGATAAAAAAAGAATTTTGTTCTATTCTCTCCCAATATTTCTCCCCCTAAAATGATCTCTGATAATTTAATCCCCTAGATTACGACGAGACAATTAGCGAAAAAGAAAAATCCACCAATTCGAAGATAGTACCTCTCGATGAACCTCAAGAAAAAATTTTTGACTTGAGTGAATACATATCCTCACTGCTAGATGAGCAACGTGCGTGGAAGAAGACCTTGAACGAGAGAAAATTCCGTCGCAAATGTCTGACGAAAGAGGAGGCCCGAGTTCGTGAAGGTGTTGAATTTGATCTCAGTCCCCTGACAGATCGAGAAAAGATTTTTATATCAGAGCGTCCAAAGTACGAAGCCATCTCAGAGAATATGCAGAATTTGTTGAAAGTAGCAGTCAATATATCAATGGTGAATATCCAAGTGAATCGCATGCACAAAACGATGGCTGAGACATTGAACAAGGAGATTTCCAGAGCCAAAACCCAGTTAATCGATCTGTCTGGTGTGTAAGAATTCTGAATACTCAATTTGTGTTATATTTTTAAAAATAAGAAATAATAAAAATGCAATATTACAGTCATTTTTTCTTTTTTGTAAAAAAATTAATGAAAAAAGAGATTTTAATGAATGATTAGGTTTGACGTTTCCCTAATAATTTTGTCATCATCTGTGAAGACTGAAGCTTTTCCTTCTGACAGCCTTTCGTTCTCTATGTTGTAAGAACTCCTTCCTTGCATTACTGCTCCGTAATTCGAGAATGTGATTGATTTTTCGAACTATCTCTTCAGCTACTGATGAATCAGCCTCGAAATCGTGTGTTTTGAATGATGTTGATTGGTGGAGAGAGTGTGAATGCGTTGAAGATACTGAAATATGGGGAAAATTGAAAACACCAAAGAATAATAATAATAGTAATTAGAGAGATTGAAGAATATTATATTATATTTACGTAGCAATGTATCTGAGATGGAATGATGAGTGTAAATTAACGTAAAAGTTGTCTTTGAGCCCTTGCTTTCGGTCAATTCACACCAGGCAATATTATCCATTTCATAGGAGACTGCTCGTTGTCGATGCCAAAATCTACTGGCACCTTTACCTGCTATCACAGGATCTATCTCAATTTTATCACCCGATATGCCCAGGTGGATTTCAGTCTTTGCTCTCACTTTGTTTATTATGTTCACTCTGTAATCAATAATAATATCCGTTAGTGCAATGGGAAAAACAGAATTATTCAATTTTATTCTAGAGCAGACTCACCTATACAATTGATATAAAGGAGCTTCCATAGCAGTAGTATGTCCTTTCATTCGCGCCAGATCCTCGGCAAATATCTCTTGCTCCATTTCAGTAGTCACAGGAGATTCTTCATCAGCTATTCGCATAGCTGGACCAACCGGTTCATGCCTAGCACGGTCGCAAGGTCGCATTTCCACCAGGCATAAAGCTGGAAATTCGAATTTCGATATAACTTCTCGTGGGTCTAAGCAGGGAAAGTCCCAGTCGACTTCTCCATCGTCTTCGGTTATGTATAGACCGTATTTCGTGATGTCTTCCCTGAAACCATCATTTCAGTTGGTAATTTTATGAGATATTTCTCCTTAATTATGGATTTTTTCAATTATTCATGAGGGATATTTACTTGAGATTGTGATTCGGATGCTCACTGGCATATTTATAACAAATCAAACCAATGAACTCTTGAACTTTGGCTGTACCAAGGACGACGATCTGTAAAGGGTATCGACGCTCTTCCTCACTCAACATACACATGTATATTCTGTATTTTCTGATATGAACACCAATTTGGGCCTAGAAGAAATGGGGGGATCATAAAATTAATGAAAAAAAAGTGCTCCAATAACACTTTGCAAGTTTTTTTTTTTAATATAATACTACTTTCAACTTTAACAGTGTAATACATACATTCCCATCGAATTTGATGTACTCAGTGAACGGATTTCGTGGAAGCAGTGGAGATTTTACTAATTGTTCAGATAACAGTGATTGTCGCTTTATCGGTCTAATGAATTGGTCTCGTTTGCGAACATCTTTTCGTTTGAACATTTCGAATTTTTCCTCTTCAGTCATGCTGATGGGATTTGGCTCCCACTTTATGTGTTTTATTTTGGCAGCTTTTTTCCGTTCCATCTCCATCTTTTCAAGGCGCTGGGCTGTGTTGGAACGTGGACGATGACCAAATTCCATATCTGAAATTCAAATTAGTCATGAGATGATTTCACTCAACTTTTTTCATTTGTCAATTTTTTAAGCACCCATTTGAATGTCATAGGATTCAGACATCGCATCCAAGTCCTCGTCATCGCTTTCTTCATCTCCTGGGTAGCAAGATTCACCGTTTGCTTTTAATTGCCTCGGTATATCCTCACCAACCATCACCATCTCGCACATACCTTTATGGAACAATAGTATTTCAAATGAATTTCCATTAATTACAATCCAATCTTTATTACTAACAGCAATTGAGAGAATAATATAATTACCTGTGTCATCAGTTGATATAAAACTGTCTCTTATATGCGAGAGCAACCAGTGTTTATTATCATACAGAGCCATTGTTATAACACTTGCCTCGATATTCCGCGTAATTTTACATTCACTGACTTTCCCATTAATTTCTTCAATACAAATCTTGATTCAATTATAATTTCGCATCCATATACATATATATATATATATATATTTTTTTTTTTTTGGTTTGCAATGAGATGATGGCTAATGTGAATTGATGTAAATATGCAAAATAATAACGATTATTAATATATGTATGACGAATGAATGACATACGGTTATTATCAGGCTTTGCTGGTCGAATTATCGACCGAAAAAGACGATCTATTCCTCTACCAGATGGCACAAGTGTGTTCAGAACCTTGTGATCCTTGTGAGGCTTGTGTGCACAAGCATTCATCTTCGGTAAAGTAGATATTCCATTAGACAAGTTGACATTTTGGCGGTTTTTCGAACCAAACCTATTTTTTGCAAATTAGAAATTGTTGAAAGTCTTCAAGAATTGTTTTTTTTTTTTTGGATAATTCAGTAATGAATAGGACGAATCGCACCGATAGTGAGGTTCAGTTGGTTTTTAATTTATGAATATTTTATTTGCTTTGCAAAAATATATAACGACAAATGCACATTGTATGTTGGCAGTATATAAATATTATGATATATACAGTTTCTGATAAAACTAATACAGAACAACTTGAAACTTGAAGCCATTATAAAGCCCTCCAAATGAAAAATTAACTGACACTCTCCTGCTTACAGTGTATCTTGCTATGCCTCGCTAATTTCGATCTCGTTACGAAGCCTTTATTACAAAGTGGACATACAAAAGGTCGTTCTCCTGTATGAACTCGCTGATGTACCTTCAGGTGTCCCGATTCATAATATGATTTGTAACACAAGTTGCATTCAAATTTCTTAACTCCATTATGATACTTCATGTGTCTATTGAGCTCTGGTTTTGACAAAAATGATGTATCACAAAGATGGCAAGGATATTTGCGTTTATCCTCATGCTTCTGGACATGTCTCGCCAATTCAGAATTGGTGTAGTAACTCTGACCGCACGTTTCACAGTTGTAACGGCTCCCCAATGTATGCCTTTTCATGTGCATTTTAAAAGATTGAACATTTCGAAAGACTTTATCACAAGTTGGACACATCAAAGGTAATGTCAGATGTGTGCCCTTGTGATGTCTCAACTCAGATCTCTTAGTGAATTTCTCTCCACACTCAGTGCAAATAAATTGCACCTCTTTTAATTGACATTTCTCGCCATGTTTCTTGAGGATTATTTTGCTGAATGATTTGTTGCAGTATCGACACTTGAATAATTTACATTTCTGGGATTTGTTAATCTCTTGTGAGGGCAATACCACAGATTCGGTGAAAATTTTATCATTTGGCTCAATTAATAAGGTTGAAGAAACTGTTTGTTTGTTATGGAGAGTATTCCCTTGATCCACTATGTGGCTTTCATTTTCATAGGAAAGACAATGCTCCGCTATGTGATTCTTGAGGTCTTCTAACGATCCGAATTCGCTAAAACATAACTGACAACTCGTCATATTATTGAGGAAAGATTGATCATTTACGTCGACCTCTTCCTTGACATATGCTCTGAGAAAATCACAGGGCTGTTGTAACTGCATTGTGTCAACGAAACTATGTGCTTTGCTGTGGAGGGACTTTTGTACTCTATTCAATTCGTCTATGTTTCTTTTCATCGGTGATTCTGTTTTTATTAATTTATCAAGCTCTTGATTCTGCTCGATATCATTGATCTTCCAAACTTGAAAGCCTTGGTTTGTAGGTACTAATAGAGCGTAATTCATCATGTCTTTCACATTGAATGCATCACTTCCACGGTCCAAAATATCTTTGTACTCGTTGTCTTCCATATTTTTAAACATTGCCATCTCCATTTCTCCGGATTGATCTTGTAATTGGCCTGATTTGAGGCATGTTCGCAATGCCTTGTCTGACATTTCAACGAGCAGACGAAATTCGTAAAATTGATTTACTTGGCGTCGACACATGTGGCATATTGACAAGGGGAGACCATCGGTTGGAGTAATCTGAAATATCATAATGTATATTTTAATAATATAATAATAATAGTCACATTTGTCAATTTGTTATACGTGCGACCTTTCACTAAATAGTTTCGTTAAAAAATTAAATTTTTACTCACTTCTACACGAGCGATAGAGGTTATCTTCTCGACAAGTACTGCCATATGAGTTTCCTGATTAATTTCCTCGAATATCGAGGGCAGTGCATTCCCTTGTTTTAGACATAATCGACAGATATCGTTGATCAGTCTTCTATTACTATGGAGCGTCGTCATTGCGTTATAAAAATTTAATGCAACTGAAAAATTAAATTTCCCATGAAATTATCTAGCCGCATAATAGGAATAATAATCAGGATAATTCCACGTTTATAACATAATTAACCAAAATGATTTTTAATAACAACGAAACTATTTAGATGGTAAATAAATCATCTCCATAATAATACGACTAATTTTCAATGAATAAACAATGGTAAAATATTCTCACTCTCGTAAATATACAAGGACCCTAAAAAAAATCAACTTCTGTAGTCTAATGTGCTGTGAAATACGATGAATATGTTTGAATATTTTATAAAATTTCAGAGCTCATTGCCTTGTGAAACAATATCTTAAATTTTGTGAAATTTTCGTCTTCTTCATATCTCGAACACAACTTCATGTGATACTGGCAATGACAGCTGTTACAACGCCATATTGCATTCTAGTTGTTGATGACAAATATTGACGATACCGACAGAGCCCCGGGACATTGTTCAAGTCAAAGAATAATATAATACAAGACAATTCACTTGAAAACTGATCAATTTTCTTTTTCAATGTCTCGTTATTTTGTCTGCACAAAATTTCATTGACTATGAAATCGGTCTTTAAGCGATAAAATCACAGTTTTGATTGAAAATGATGAATAATCATTAGCAGGAGCTAATGACTGCCACACAACTGCCACTATTAATTTTTCGTAAAAATCAGTGTCTAAAAAGGTAATCAAACATGGAGATATAACGAAAATTTCCAGTTTCGATTTTCGGGGAGCCATTATAATGACTAATGAAAACGAAAACAATATTTAACTAACACACATTGCATGTTTATCAAACGAAAACCCTCGAGAATCGTGCGATAGTCGGATAAGGGACTTTGTTATTCTCCAGCGCAAGTTCATCGTTAACTACTGCCTGCAAGACACAATGCCACATTGAATTGCGAATATGTATTTATGTCACTTTTATTTTCAAATAGGAAATGGGTAAATAATAATCAAGAGTATCGACCGGTTTGTTTGCCACTGAGAGAGACTATACCGCCGAGGTATGAAAATACCAATATTGCGATTAGTTTGTTTGTTATTTGGCAGCGGTTCAGCATAATTTCCTCCTATAATATTGCTTCATTCGTCGAGTTTTTTATTAAAAAAAAAAAAAAAAAAGAGAAAATGAAAATGACTAATCGGGCTAGAGCAATTACAAATGGTTCACCAATACCAGTTGCAAAGGATAGCAAGCAAGTCTTGATTCATGTGTAATTATGTGTAATCAAAGTCCTATGGAAAAAATCAAGAGAATTTTTTTTTCTTTTATAAAGACCAAAGAATATTTTGCGCAATTCAGAAAATTTATTGTTAGGCGGGTAAAGTGCGAAACCTCGGAGAAAAGAATAGAATCCGAATTGCTCTCAATTTTTTTCACATATAAAAAGAAGTATGAAAAGACAAATCAATACGGCAAGATAAACGTTCGAATTTTTCCTCTCGATCCCATTTTCCGTTTCTTCTCTCGTATAGCAGCTTGTCAGTCGGTTTCGATGGCACTCTAGAGTAGCGAAGGACATACTCGTGTAAATAATTCCACGGAGCAGGAGAAAAAAATATTACCACCATGTCAGTTATACCTTGTCTTTCCACCCCTGCGCTCTATATTTTTTCAAGTTTTGAGTGAAATTTGTAATTGCGGAGTCTCATTAGTTGTTGATCGTTTCAAATGACATTATGGTTTTTTAGAGTATTTCCCGTTGAATACCACACTGGAAGGTGGACTCCACTCAAGTCAGATCCACCGATTGCTGAGAGTAAGTGTTTGAGGATAATGTTCAGTTAAATGAGAGAATGATGTAGTGTAGTGGCCACTATGTGTTTGAGTGAGTGATTTCGGGAGAAAAATTCATATAACATTCATCTAGAAAATTTTCTGACTTGCGAAATGAGTCCTCTGGACTTTTCTCTCGAAAACCTCTCAATACATCTATTAGATAATTTGATAGTTATGATGATTTTCCCTCAATACAATTAATTTTTTAGTGACAACGCCGACTGTAAATCCAACGAATTTCGTACAAAATTCAGATAGTTTGCATACAGCACTCAAGCCTATAATCAACCTTGCCCAATGTTTCGCTGTATTCCCAGTGAATGGCGCAAACACCCCAGATTCGTCTCATCTCAAGTAGGTTTTATAAAAATAAAAGAAGAAGAAAAAAAAGAAAAAAGAAAAAAGAAAAACTATATTAAAATCTATCTGTTGTTATGGATGAAAATTCCTGTTGTAGATTCACATGGAGAAGTCTCAAAATCTTGTACAGTATGGTAGTGCTGGCACTGTCTACAATCATGACAGGAGCGAGTATTCATCGTATACTCTCCAGCACATTTACTTCCCCCAAAATGAGTAAATCCCCTTCATTTCTCTTTGTGTCAATATTCAAGTTGATTCGAATTTTCTATTTCTTCATTCGTTTTTCAATTTATTCAGCTACATTAGTATTTTTCGGCACATCGTGCGTCACGAACGTCCTCTTCCTTAGGCTCGCTATGCGATGGCCGGAGATAGCTGCTAAATGGGAGAAGATTGAGCGAGAATTAGCTACTCGACATCGACGGACCTCAAAGTACAATCTTGTTACTCGGTATAAAATCATTGCAGTGACCATTATGGCAATAGCTCTTAGTAAGTTTTGAATTATATGAAAAGAATTTTCAATAGAAAAGTGATACACTAAAATTTTCAGTCGAACATACACTTTCCCTAGTATCTGGATATCTAAGTGCCTCCGAATGTGCCCAATTACAAGGTGATCCTGATGTCCTTGGGGTTTACTTTCAGACGCAATTCCCTCAGGTGGACAAAACGACCATACGACTACTCACAATGAGCCTCTGACAATTATGGATATCCTTTCAGGTCTTCAACAAAACGGTTTATTCAATCTGGAAGGGCCTCATGGTACAGAGTATTAATGTTCTCACGACATTTTCCTGGAATTTCCTCGATCTCTTCCTCATCCTCATGAGTACAGCATTGACCTACCACTTTGGATTACTCAATGCAAGACTCAACTCCATTAAGGATAAAACAATGCCAGAGTGGTGGTGGGCAGAGGCGAGAATCGATTACAATCGTCTTGCTTCACTCACTAGACAAGTGGATTCCGATATCTCTGGACTTATTCTACTCTCATTCGGAATCAATCTCTATTTTATTTGCATGCAGCTTATGTATTCCTTCAAGTAATTCATCGATAAATATTCATTTGTGCTGATATGGGAGTGCTGAGTACTAATGAATTTTTTTTTGGGGATTTTTAGTCGAGTGCCCAATGTCATTCGCACAATATACTTTGGCTTCTCTTTTGGGGCTGTTATCGCGAGAACAGCAGCTGTTTCTCTGTCTGCTGCATCAGTTCATGATGAATCATTACTACCTGCACCTGTCTTGTACAGTGTTTCTAGCTCGAGTTATTCAACAGAGGTATAATTCAATTTATACCTCTACTAATTTATAATATTTCATTTAGGGATCATTTAGGGAAATACATACAATAATGATTTTTTTTTTCATAAATTTAGGTAGTCAGATTCTTGTCTCAAGTAACAACAGACACTATAGGATTGACAGGAATGAAGTTTTTTTCCATTACCCGCAGTCTTGTTCTCACAGTAAGTCCATCATTTATTAAGAGGATTTTCCTTTCAAGAGGAGAAAAATTGCATTAATTTTCTATTGATATTCAGGTTGCAGGAACAATAATCACTTATGAGCTTGTTCTCGTACAATTCAATGCCGTCCAACAGGTGAATCCTTCAAACTTGACAAATGCTTGCGAACTGAAGTAACCATGCGTCATCAGCACCTTTTCCATAGTTTCGAAAAAAAAAACTCTCTTACTTTCTCCGTAATTTTTTTTTTCGTCAATTCTCCTCTTCCTTTATTTATCTCTCGGATCTACTGAGACTGATACGTTTTCACGAATCTCTCGCTTGTCACAGATTTAACAAAACTATTTGACTATTGTGGTTTTTCTTCTTGTTTAATTATCTCCTACTGGCAATATTTATCCTACTGTGGCTTGAGTCTTTGCCGTATATTTGCTTGATATTTCTTGCATTTCGAGGAAAAGTGATATAAATCTCGGAACCATTCATTTGAAAATAGGTTTTGGAAAATTAAGACATGATAAGAGCGAATCAACGAAGATTTATGATTATGCATAATCCACAGGAAATTGAAAATAGTCAACAATGGACATTCTACATATCTTGAAGGATCTCTCCACTTTATTTATTATTCTATATGTTTCACACTTAGGAAATAATTAATTTCATTATAATGGAATAAAGTAACACAAATCAGACGAATAATTAAGTAAATAAGAAATTAACGTATTGGAACGTGTTGGAAAATGTAAAAAAAGTAATAGACTTGACATATACTATACTCAAAGCGCCAACAGATATATTCATTTATTCTTCCTTCGTTCGTGCAGAGAAATTTCCAAACAAGTGTACAAATTTATAAAATAATTACATGAGTATCCGCGTGTAATATGGTAAATACTTTGTTTATTCATTTAGCCATAGCCACATTGAACTGCAGGAGTACTACTTCGTACGTGAGAATCGCCCCGGCGACCTAGAAAACATTGTTATTATTAAATGATTTACAATGTAGGGAAATTAAAAACTCACTGCTAACATGAAGTTTCGAGTTATTGAGAAGAACTTGAGGCCTGTCATGACCACTTCATCAGATGTTAATTGAAGTTGCAATCGTTGCGTCTGTAATGAAAGAAAGAAGATGAAAAGTGGATAAAGTTCTACGGAAAAAAAAAATGTTCAACAGTACCTCATTAGTGAAGCATGATGCTGGACAACTGTAGATAGCTGGCAAGGCAAGTTTGCTCTGATCATTTATTCTCGCTGTCAACAGCGTCACAGAGACGGTTCTGCCGATTAAAAAAGCGAATGATGCGAAGAAGTATAAAGTCATAATTATACTGGTTCCCTTGGGACTGAAGATGACAGAAGAAAATTCATATTACATAACTGGAAATTGGAAAAAATGGCTAGATGATGAGATGGCGATGATGTACTCACGAGAGGCCGTTGAGCAACTGAAGGCAAATAAAGTACAGATTGTTGGTAAAAGAGAGAAGAATTATCGGTGAAACAACGTTGTCAGCGTGCTTTACCAGACTGCTCAGCGCGGCATATTGTTCTCGGAGCTGTCGCCAATCCAAATTCGAACAATCCGACTTTCCTCCTGTTAATACAACCTGATTCAAATGTTTGTATCTCTCGGCCAGACCAGTTGATACCTGTGGATTCAAATAATCATCGAGTGTCTGTTGATTATTCATCCGAAAAGTCCGTATTACCAGAATTACAAATAAATCAGTGAAGTTCCAGGTGAATGTCGCAATTTTACTGATGATAAAGTAGAAGATGCCAAGAGCAGTTGAGAATTTTACTGAAATTCATTTAATATAATTAATCCCTTTTCACATATTTTCAATATGATATGAATAGTAAAATCCTTCTGAATGAAAAGAAAAAGAACATTCACCAGTCGTATAAGTAAATGCATGAGATCTGTCTGTGTATATTTCTACGTACTCCCTCCAAGTACCATTATTATAAGGGAATTCAGAACTATCCGGGATAGCCTTGACGACGCTTAAAGTATGCTCAAGAGCAGCGGGAATCATTATCATGGCGGTGATCAACATAAATTTCCAGCGCAATCTCACTTGTGGGTATTTACAGCTAAAAAATGCATCATATTCTTATAAATTGTTCCGATCTGGAATTGGATGAGTGGATTAAATTATTCAGCGGTGTAAAGGATCATGCATGCCACGCTTGAAAAACAACAATTATGGTAGTGGCCTATCATCGGTCTTGGTCGTAAACAAAGGGAGCATGAGTGATGCAATAGATATCTTTCAACAATCCTCTCTTTTTTCTTTTGCTTTTAAATGTGTATTATCTGACCTGTTGAAAAATCGCTCCATCATCCTCCACTCTCGTTGAAGGGCGATCCATTTAGGCGCCAACCGAAAGAACAGAACGGTTCCCATTAAACTATTTCCATAGAACATTATCCCACCGGTTGCTGTTGCTATACCCCCTGTATTTCAAATGAACGCTTACATTTTATTAATAATTTACCACCATTGAGTAATTGTCAGGGACACAAATTTATTTTCTGAGAAAACAAATAATGAAAAATTATCGATTGTGTGAGACTAAACTGATTGTAAACATCGCCAACAATGCCCTGATTTGTTTTCTGGGGATTGCAATTTTTCTTTCTCTTTTCAAAATTCTTAAAAAGTTTCATAGTATAGGTATATACCGTCTTGGACAAAAGTTTCAGCCCGCAAGGTAGTTATCATATGAATAAACGCCGTATAAGTCATGAAGAATAGCATTACGATAACAGCTGTTGTGTAAAATGTTCTTATCGAGATCCGCTTGAAGCATAATTTTGCTGGTGAAGGATTACGAATGTTGAGCACTGGAAGCAATGCGAATATTTGTGCAACGGCGAGAATGGGACTGATAGCTCGATGAAAACTTTCTTGATCCTGTCATTAAATTTTTGAGCAATTAAGGAACATATTATACATTTTAAAGCATTACTCACATTGATATCCGGATTACCATCCCGCCATGAATTATTGACCTCGCGTGGACCCAACAAAGTTCCTTTAATGGCTCTGGGTCGAGCCAATTGTATTTGCATCGGGCAAATAATTTCACTCCGTTTCTCATTTCTCTCCGGTACACTGAAGTTACTGAAGAGTGGCCAGATTTTTTTATCTTGACTCCGACTATTTTTATTATTCCGATTTGTCTCGATAGTCCTCGGGGATATGTTCGGTTGAAGCATTATTCTCCAAGAGTCAATTTCATATCATAAATATCGTAACTAATCATTCTTCTTGTATTTGCATAAGCATTAAAATTGTTCAGAAATTCATATTATTTTTTTTATGGTGAATAAATACTGCCACTTCCGCGGAACGTCAAGTTGTCGATGACTGCTTTCAAATTGTACTAACTTTGTTCGTGTTTTCCTGTGAAGAATACCCGAGCTTGCGCTCAAGGGTGCGTGCAACATGAGATATTGATAGAGGTGTACCTTTTGCATCTTTTAACAGAAGAATCATATCATGTTGATTTTTCAATATTCAGTGATTAAGTATTTTCGAAAGGTGGAATTTTTATATTTTTAATCAAGTGTAAAACTGTATTTCAATGACTCGCGATTTTTATTTCGTGACGTATTTATTTTTCCACTGACAAAAGCATTACATAATATCATTAAGATGATAAATTAATTTTTGTTTATTATCTTGATGAAATTTATCTTTGCCTATTAGTTTAGTTCACCAACTGGAATGGATAAATATATTCATAAGAGACGACCCGCTAGGGAGGTAGACAATTTTTTATTATTGAATTTTTATTTTTCAAATATACTTATCGATCTAACTACATTATTTTTCTTTTTTCTTTTTTTTTTCAAATTTTTGCTCGCTTTTTTTGATGAAATTATCCCCACAAGGCTCGTTGAACACCAGCTAACTTGTTGTAGTCCACCAGATATCTGAATACGAATCTAGAGAGTCTCCAACGTCTGAGACCTCCTCGTGAACGGGAAGTTATAACGCATCTATCTCTCAATTGGTACATGGAAGCTTGACGAGGCACTGCCAACATCTCTTGACTAGCAATGTCCTGTAGAATAATATTTTTCCGACATTGTTATGTCATTTCAACTACTGCGTTATTTTAGACAAGCAAGGGTAATAATCCCTTTGGATAATGAATATGAATGCCTCTAATCAAGACTCATGAAATATGTTTTCTTACTTGGATCTCTCGGGGCAAGATGTTGTTTCTCTTCATCGTTAAAAGACGAACACGAAGTGGAGCATATTCTTTGGCAATTAATCTCCTCTTATAATCCCTCAACATCTTTGCATTCGCCCATTTATTCCTCGTCTGCTGAATCTAACAAATTGCAGCATTCAAAATTAGTTTCTTTGGTTAGGATTCGAAATCTTCAATTATATTTTTGCCTATGAATTTGTGTTTAACAAATTAAAATATTTCAGTTGTAGAGGAAAAAAAAATTAGTAAAAAATCATATTCTTAAATGACTTACGTTAAATCCTGTTGCCAAATTTGAGAAAATTCTCGATACTTTGGACGCGAAAAAACCAGCGGTAGCCATTTTTCACAAGTGTATACACTAACCAAAACTGATAAAGGGAATCAGCTGATCGTACATACCCATCCATGGGCCATGCCTTGCAAATGAAAAGAGTAGACGCATAAAAATTCTTGAAATTTACTATTTTTTCACTCACATTTTCAGAATGTAGAATGCACCAGCATTACTGATGCAATTATCTCATACTAAACTTATCGTCAATCATAAGATAATAGTAGGAAATGATGAATTCAAATTGTTGTATTTGTTCTTTATTTGTTGTAACCAGTTTAGCGTTATAAAATTCACACCACTTAGTCATTCAACTCGACATTAAATTTTCAAACAATTCGGAAGATTCCGTGTCGATAGAAATTAGGAAATTACAAAATGATGAATCCAATCCGATCCAATACAAAAACGAAGATGAATCAGCAAAAAACGGATATTGAAAGAGAAATGACAATATCATTAAAAACAATGAGAATGGATAATAAAATTGAAGGATGAATAAATAAAAAATATGAACAAATAATAATGTGTTGTCGAGTATCGCAGATATAGGATTTATTATTTCCGTATAATAATTAGAAAATATAATTAAGCCGAGCTAAATTATGATGTTATTAATGTACTCGTAAAACAAATTGTATAATAGCACACGTAATTTGATATCAATTTTCACAGTATACAACTCGTTGCAGTTAGTTCAAAATATGTTATCAATGAATATTTTTAATGAATTCTTTCCTTCGGAATTCTTTGCGATGAAAAGAGTGTCGGAGTGAACGTTTTGACAAAAAATTAACAAAATGATCAATGAAGAAAAAGGTTGATCCATTGATAAGATCCCTATATTTTCTAGGGACAATGGATCCACGATAATCTTGATTGATCTCACACTCCATGTACCTAAAATCGACTGTTGTCATAATTTTTTTATTATCAGTATTATTATTATTATTATTATTAACATAAAAAAGGAACGATATACTTTTATGAAATGAGCACGAGTGGCGGTCCAGTGAAATTGGAGGACAAATTACTTGTGCTACTATATGCCGGTGTGCATCCGGCGACTTGATTACAAGACGCGGAAACTGGTTATTTCTTCTTCTGGGCTTTCTCAGCAGCCTTGGTGACTTTTCCAGAGGCATCCTTGAATGTAACGGCCTTGATAACACCGACAGCTACGGTTTGACGCATGTCACGGACAGCGAAACGTCCCAGAGGTGGGAATTCCTGGAATGCCTCGACACACATTGGTTTGCTTGGCACCAGGGTAACAATGGCAGCATCACCAGATTTGATGGCCTTGGGGTCCACCTCAGTTGTTTTACCGGTACGACGGTCACATTTCTCCTTGATCTCGGCGAATTTGCAGGCAATGTGGGCTGTGTGACAGTCGAGTACGGGCGTGTAACCGTTGCTAATCTGTCCTGGGTGGTTGAGGACAATTACCTGCAGAATTTATAAATTATCAGAAAGTTAATTTATATTTTTCTCACTCCTGATATGTAATAACAAAATTTCTTTGTTATTACATAATTGACATTCAGACGCTTCGGCCATCATCAAATTGGAAAATTCTCTGGTGGAAACCGCGAATGAAGTGTATCAAGTCTCATCATTATGTCAATCTTATTCTTCATCATCTTTTCTTTTCAAATTGGTAATTTTTTTTTTTTTTCCGTACCTGAGCGGTAAAGTCAGCAGCGCCCCTGGGTGGGTTGCTCTTGGAGTCTCCAGCTACATAACCACGACGCAACTCCTTGACAGAGACGTTCTTGACGTTGAAACCAACGTTGTCTCCGGGTACAGCCTCCGTGAGTGCCTCGTGGTGCATCTCGACGGACTTGACTTCAGTGGTGAGTCCAGCTGGGGCGAAGGTCACCACCATACCTGGCTTCAACACACCAGTCTCAACACGACCGACTGGTACTGTTCCAATACCACCAATCTTGTAGACGTCCTGTGATAAACGGAAAAAGCCAAAATTATTAGTCTAGAAAATTTCAATTCACTTGCCATATGAAAATTGAACTATTTTTTTATATAATTTAATTGGGTTCAGACGTCTTAAACTATCACCAAATCCGAGGACTTTCCAGTGGAAACCACGAATGAAAGAAAATATTGTGTCATCATGAATGTTGGCTGGATAAAAGGTGGTGGTGTTTTGAGCAAAAAGAAAAAATGAAAAATAATTTTCACCTGAAGGGGAAGACGAAGGGCTTTGTCGGTAGGCCTGCTGGGTGGTAGGATGGCGTCAAGAGCCTCAATGAGGCATTTACCCTCAGCCTTGCCCTCCTTACGCTCGACATACCATCCCTTGAACCATGGCATCTTGCTCGATGGCTCAAGCATGTTGTCCCCGTGCCATCCAGAGATGGGAACGAAGGCAACGGCAGCTGGGTTGTAGCCGATCTTCTTGATGTATGAGGAGACCTCCTTCTTAATTTCCTCGAAACGAGCCTCGGAGTATGGTGGCTCAGTGGAGTCCATCTTGTTGACACCAACGATGAGCTGTTTGACACCGAGTGTGAAAGCAAGAAGGGCGTGTTCACGAGTCTGTCCATTCTTGGAGATACCAGCTTCGAATTCACCAGTACCAGCAGCCACGATGAGTACAGCACAATCGGCCTGGGAGGTACCAGTGATCATGTTCTTGATGAAATCTCTGTGTCCAGGAGCGTCAATGATGGTAACGTAATACTTGGCGGTCTCGAACTTCCAAAGGGCAATGTCGATAGTGATACCACGCTCACGCTCAGCCTTGAGCTTGTCGAGTACCCACGCGTACTTGAAGGAACCTTTTCCCATCTAATTGGCACATTCAAGAGACAAATTTTTTACACATCTCATTTTTTTTTCCACTTTCTTTCAAATATTATTAATTACCTCCTGGGCCTCCTTCTCGAACTTCTCAATGGTACGCTTGTCAATACCACCGCATTTGTAGATCAAATGACCGGTGGTCGTCGATTTACCAGAATCGACGTGTCCAATGACGACGATGTTAATATGAATCTTCTCTTTACCCATAGTGAAGTTTGTTTGTTCTCAGTCTGGTCAAAACTGTAATGACAAACAAAATATTTTTTCCTTTTTAATATCTTCTAAGAAAAAAAAACGTTTCAATGAATTTTCTTTCCATCACAATCCAAGCGAAAGCGCTCAGAAAACAATTAAAATTTGGAAATAATCAAGGGCTCCGAGTGAGCGTCCACGTGGCGATGGCCTGAACCTTCGAGTGCCAGGCTGTCGGCAATGCTTGGCAGCCATTTTGTATGTCTCATCCAAGTATTTCCACGGCAAGCCGATGTAACCGTAATAATTCCCGACGACGCTTCAATGACTCCCCCCCGCCCCAAATTCTCTCGATATAAAACGAAATATTCGCATTCTCCGACAAACAAAAATCTTTCAACAATGCACTAAAATTATTCAACTGATAAAATTTTCGAGATACTCGTTTCTATGTGCGTGAGAAAATAACCATCATAATAGTAACAATGCCGGACTACTAATTAAATTGCATGAACGGTTCTGCCTTCGTCATAACTAAACGTTATATATTATATGTAGTATATAGTTTAAATGCCGGAGGAACTGTTGCACCAGGTGACAACATAAAATGAAATATTGATAATTATCCCGTCAAAATATTTGTCATGTTATATTCAATGACGAAATGGACCGATACGACAACAAATGAGTTAATTACGGCGATAAATAGCACAACTTTTTATAAATAAAAACGCATAAGATGGCGGTCGTCACTCATTAGCTTGGAATCAATCAATTCATGGAATAAAACCGATTCACAAGTGACTGCAGTCTCATTGCATGAACTCTCCTCCTCCACCCTTGCATCAGATTATTTATCAAACGACGATTGATAAATCAACTAAAACTATAGTATCTCCATATTCACTGGCATGCACATGCATTATTCGCGTTAAAACAATCAGTGTTAAAGAGGCAAAATATTGAATTTAATAATTTGAGTGATATTTCATGTTCTTACGAGAGATGTAACAAAGCTATCTATTCACCGCATACCTCGGCCCGAGAAAAAAGTTATGTGAAAAAATTCCACGAATTAAAGACATGAGCGTAAAACTTGCGATTGACGTAAAGTGTTCAACATTCGACTCGTGATTGAAGCCTCAAGACTAAACAAAAATATAATCTTGAAGAAAATCTCATTTGTGACAATCGACCGCCATACTGTATCCGGTAGGTAGCGATTTCAAGCCTGAGGCCCAGCCATTCATGTTCCTCGGAAATCAATTTTTTAAAAATATTATTCACGTCCGCTTAATCACGATAAGCAACACCTACGTAATTTTTCTCCTATTAATCAACGGAATATTATTTTCGCGACGAGAATATATTGTAGGACGTTTATCAACGGAATGAGCTTCACAGCCGGTGGGGTAATGCAGTCGGACCATGCGTTGAACCTTAAACTTCAATTTTTAACAGTAATTACGATAATTAAACGAAAACTGTTTTCACAACACTATTTTATCATACCCGTGATACGATTATTTAATATTCCTAAGGGCCGATGACGAATATTGAGGTATTTAATATTTGGATTATCTTCGTGCGCGAAAACCACGAACAACCACTCACCTCCAGATGCCACGACAGAAAGAGATCGTCCAAGTGATGTGACATGCGCATACGGCTTCACGGAATTATAGTCTCTAACCCAGGGGCCCGGGTATATCGATTGCCAATACCTCCGCGAGGTGCTTCCTTTAAAAATGAGGGGATGTTTTTTGCTTTTACAATTTTTCAATACATGAGGGGCTTTATGGAATGAATTGGTGAATTTTCAGAATGGGGCTTTGGAATTTTTTTGTCATTGAATATTTGATGGGGGTGTTAATTTGAGATTTAAGGAGTGGCGAGTCTGGGTTTGAGACTGGAATGGATGTCGCTGCAGTCGTTTCTATTGTTTTCTGGCCACTAGCCTCGGATGGTAATAATTTGTCATTTTTTTTGGAGGCTTTGGTTGGCGCCTTGGCGGGAGGCGCGATAGAGAGCAAAATTAGTCACTTTTTTCAATTTTTATTTTCTCAAATTTTGCTTAAAATTGGAATGATAGAGGAGAGGCCATTGTTCTTAATTTGTTTCTAGTGCAATGACAATTATTTTTCATATTTTTTAACCAATATTTTAGCTGTTGACGGAAATTTTCGCATTTATTTTTATTCACGCTCTTGTTTTGTGGTAATTATCCTGAGGAATGATTGTAGGTGAAAATGTCAAGAGACTAGAAAAAAAAATCCTCATCATTTCCCCCTAAAACCATTCATCATCAAAATAATTCAGCATTAAACAAGACATGAAAAATCGAGTCATTCAATTCATTTTCTCCCCCTCACAACGCTCGATTGATTGATCCTGACAATTGTTATCTCCCAATCCAAAACCTCGTCAATCACCCAGGATTCTCAGGAACACGTCTATGAAAGGGCAACCGGCCCGCAAGCCCCAAATAAACCATGTCCATCAATTTTATTCAATGAACATACGAAAACAATTATCGTGTGTCCCTCTAAACGAACAACCCCCCCTCCCCCTGGTCTAAGGAGAATTTCACATACAATTTTTCATTCAATTTAATATAAAAAAACAACCTTTTATTTATCCAATACAATCATTACAAACTTTCCAAATTTCTTATTTCATACACAAACTTTCTGTCAACTTACGCCTTTTATTTATAAAAAATTAGTGGAAACGTGTCATTCAATGTGGCACCATTCTTACGTATAATTATAAATATCAATCGGTACTAAAATAAATGTCTCAATTCACTCATAAACTTGTCTTGAAAACACATGCCCTGAAATAGAAATAATATCAACTGCCCAAAATTGACTAGAATCCAGATGAAGAAAGGAAAAAAAAAACAAAAAGCACGTACTCACCAGGGAAATTTAGTGAAATTCTACGCATTTCTCGTTGATTTATGTGAAAAAATCCAGTAGATTTTCCGCACGGTTTATATTGCAATATTCTGAGAATAATATTTGATGGAAAAAATAAATGAATGATTTTTTTCTCATTGTATGATTTTTTCGTCTAAAAAATACCAGCAAAATAGATTGTAAAAATCTATTGACTTTTTTTTAATCACATATTTTCCATGAATATTTCAATAAAACCCACCTGGAAGCGCTACTGAATTTCCAATAGAAATGATAAATCAACCGATAAAATGCCCAGGAGTTTTTTATTGAGTGTTTTTATATATTCCCACACTTTCTTATAACATCGGTTCAGTTTATTTATATTAAATTAGTTTTAAAATTATTTCAATACTCTTCACTTATTCAGCATAGCAAATGCAACAGCTTTTCATAAAAATTTATCGATTAAAAATACATTTGACAACTGTATGAAAACGAGGCCGTAGCAATGCCTGGATACCTATTCCTTTGAATAAATTCAACAGAGGTGTATTTTCAATTAAGGGAGAAGACGCCTTGTGTGACATCCTATTATACAGGCGTTGGCATTTTATGGAATACAATGTGAATACGCGTCCTACTGTCGACATTGTACAATCGATCGATTCCGAACGTAAAAATAGTAACACTCGTTGCTACGGGTCCTTCGCCTATAAGTACCATTCAAATGGCCAAGGAAATTTTCTCGCTGGGTGATAAAAAAAAAAGAGCATTTTATAGGGTTTTTTCAAAATCGATTAACGGAAAAAAAAATATTTTTCTTTCATTTAATTGTGCGATTCTGGAATCGTTATTTAATGTAGGCCACGTGTCGTCAACACAGTTTCCAAGATATCCATCGAAATTTACAACTCAGAGTAATGAGATTATTGTGATAATACTAGGGCTTTGTTCAGAGGCGGTAATTAATTGATAAATAAATAAATAAATAAATAAATCGGGTTTATGATCTTATTGACTAACTTCATCGGCGTGAAATTCTTGAGAAAATACAACAGTTGTAACGCTTGGTACAATATCACACGATTTTTCAATGTTAGGTATCGTTAATGTTTCTCTCGCTTATTTATTCATTTATTTATTTATTTATTTATTTATTTATAGAGATGTAGAACTGTCGGGAGAAATTAAGTATTTTATCGTAATAATACGAAGCTGTCAAAGTGTCTGCAACTCAGGGGGATCCTGGGGATCCTAGAGACAGACTTACAATATTTGTCATGAAATTTAGAGGTATTTTGAGGATTGGCTCAACCTGTTTGTTGTTGGGATGGCGAGGCGGGTTGGATCATCCCACTCGTGCCGGGTTGATCTGAAAATGTTGACAGACATATTGATAATTGAAATGTAGTCAAAAGTAAAATAGAGGGATGCTACGTTTTAAACAATTAAAAGTCATGAAATTTGAAACGTGAATAATTCTGACCATGTTGAGATTCTGTTGTTAAACGTTCAAGACGTGTAGGTAAATCCGCCGTTCCGGTCTCAGCGTGTTGACCAAGGATGTCCGGCATTGCATTCCGTCTGCCAGTTCGTCCAGTGGATAAAAACTCTTTTGAACCCTCACCATTAGAGTATCCGGGTGTCACAGCTCCACCCCCACCCACTTCACCCTCTATTTCATCCTCGGCACGCTTTTCCGATAGCATTCTCAGCGCTGTAACAAGATTAAATCAGTGTTGAATACTACGATGATGTCTTTTTCTATTGAATTCTCGGTGTTATACTGTCGAATCGGTGTGAGTTTATTCCGGTGCCAACTGCAAGCTTTAATTAATATTGATTCTAGAAAAATGTTCAACTCCAATTATATCGTTCCCCTCTGTTGGAAAATATTGATAATGGAATGAAAATTGCAGTAATAGTAAAATCTCCATCTACTCGCGTGGTAAAATGTTATAATTGGGTAAAGCACAACAATTGTTTTTTTCATATTCTGTTTAATATGTTTTAGGAGAAATTTTTTTCAACATTTTTTGTGGGAAATTTTGTTAGCCCCTATGATGATCCTCTGTGAGATATCCTTCTGAAATCACTCAGTAACGAGATAATTACATAATTAGGATGACGAATAATTCTATGAAAAAATTTGAAGGCATATTTTTTTTGCAAATTCCCCTGCTCTATAAAAAAAAGGTCCAATACCCATCAAAACTTTTGCACTATATCATCAATATCTCCCAAGATGGATGATTAATCATCTCTCTGAGTATCCAATTGTTATAAAAAATTCCCCCCCCCCCCCTCTCCTCTGAAAAGTCTCACTCTCATGACATAAATATCGCAGTTCATCAGTTTTCTTCGTGACAAACAAATGCCCGCATCTAATTGCATTAGTTAGGAATTTAATTCTCAATAATCACATGCAGGCAAATTATTCATCTCAATCAAAGGCACCGTTAATGTACAAGAGATTAGTGTCATTACTGATTAATGTTCATCAATAGTTAGAGATGTTAATAATAGAAGCCCAAGTCCGTCGATTAATCTACTTTCACGAATTCGTCATTGCGAAGATTCGTAAATACGAAGAGGGGAAAAAATACCTTGAGTGCGTAGAAGGCGTTTCCCGCACTTCCTCGATCTCACAGCCTGATGGAGTATCGCGTCATCTCCACCAGTGCGGACTAACTTCTTCTTCTTCCTCTTCCTCTTCTTCTTCACCTGAGTTATTACCCAAAATAAAAAATATCCTAATCGCTGTGAAATCGACTATTTCCACTATTTTTATTTGTCTTTCTATTCCTCATCCCATCCTCTTTTTTCGAATAAGAACATTATACACATGATGATTTATTTGACTCATTATGATTTTATTGTCTTTCCAGTGTAGAATTGTCGTAAAACGAATTTGTCAGCTTTGGTTTGTCTTCGAGAAATTAACGTACCCCAGGACTAAATAATAAGATGGGATGAGTGGAACCTCTGACAGCTCCTTGGAGCATGGCCTCGGGGAATAATAGTATATGTCAGGGCTTGAAGATAACTCTTCTATTTTTAGAGGGTCAGGTGGAAGATGTATATCCTACGAAACTTATCATTGCCTTTTTTTCATCAAAAGGGCCTAAACCAAATCGTGGTACATTTATATAAAAATAATATGCCGAAACGTATGGTATGAACAATCTTCAGTGTAGCTAGAACTTGTATTCATGGAAAATTAATACAGGCATGTGGATAATTGGGCTAATTAACTACTGATCATTGAAGAGGTGTGCGTGTAACAACAACATCAGAAGAGAAAGAGAGAGCGAGAGAGGGAGATAGAGATAGAACATGTGAACAATTTCACTCACCATTGATAATGATCTCTCGGTCGGTTTAATGTTCCTGAGTCACCACAAATTTCCTTTCGATCTTTCCTATATTGTACGATTGATTGACAACTTTCTACGTAATAGTTCAATTACGTGTTCCACAACGCGTGTTAACGCGAATAAATCGATGTCAGTAAGTTTTTCGGACTATGCATTTTAATTCACGAGGGCGAACTCGCGTTAATTTGACCGGACGTTATGGAGAATAATTATTAGAGACGAAAATAAATGACAAGGTTCATGTTTTGAGCAGAAGCACTGACTGCGTCATATATTTCTTTTTATTTCTCATTATTTTTTTCAATGCGTTTCAATCATTTCATGTCTCTATACTCACTCACGATTACACATGACAGTAGACACGTTGTCGGAATACAACCAAATCTTGGCTGGGGATTCTAAGGATGCACATTGGTGGTTTTTTTCTCTTCAGTCTTGTCCACCGTAATTATGCAAATGTCACACATACGATTGTGATGAGGAATTTCGGAGGAACACGGTGATGATGAGATCATGCCAGGGCTGACAGCTGAACAGCGTCTCCCAACGCCACTCCGCCACTCGCACTTGCTCGCACTCGCCACTGTTACTTCCACGGCTTCCACGGGATCGCGGTTCTCCGAGATGACTCGAGGGTTCACGAATTGTTGCGAAGAGCTGATGCACCGTGCGCATGTGGCTATTATTGCTCGTTTGAATTGTTTCGAGGCTTTGGCAATTATGTTGAAGGAATTTCATGACAGGGGGCTAATCAATAATTAACCATCATTTCGTTTTCAGTTTAGTTTCACTTTAATTCATTGTGAATTATTTGGAAAACTATTATTGTCTTCTTATCTTGTTAAGAAAGATGGAGAGATTGGTGCTCTACAGCGTGTCAAATCCTACCATTCAATTATCATATATTCTTGGTGCCCTTTCACATTGATTTCTCCATTGACCATAATCTCTAATGATCATACTGTTTTTGGGTGGAGCTGTATCACTGGATAATTTATAAATCGATTGGAGATTTCACGTGAGAAAAAAATTTCAATTAAAGTTCCCATAATGGCACTCACTTGCTCAGAAGTTGTATTGCATTTCTATTGTAATTGGCAAAAGGGAGTGAAATTATTTGTACGAAAGCCATTGGTCGCAGTGTCAATTAAAATAAGTAGCACGACTCCGGTTATGCAGATAGTATACGTCAAAGCCATTCATTCGATCGACAAGGTCGCAGAACCTCGTAGCTAGGAGAGAAATATCTTGAGTAAGTGATAATTCAGGGAATGAATGGTGTTAGAAAATTTTGAATTTTTGTTTATTCAGTGGTTATATAGAGCATTGGGAGATTGTTCTGATGAATATGAAGCAATTTTCGTGGATTTTGACATAAATTATCGAACAAAGGGTTCCGCGTGATGACTATTTCAACTTCAAACGTCGATTCAGCACGCCATTACATTTAAATAATGGAGTATTAGGCAAGCGGTATACTCATCCGAATCGAGTTGAGAAAAATCAGGGAATTTTAAGCAGCAAGTCCAGCGCACCTCAGCTTCTGAGTGAGAGAGCTCGGATGAGGAATGGAATATTCATAACTTGGAAGAACTATTAGGAAAAATTGAATATTCTCGTGTGAGATCACTGAGTGATCATTTACAAACAAGAGGTATTCATATTGGTATTCGCTCGATACATAATCAAGTTTTGATGGTTTCCATTAGCCACAAGGGTGGGGATCCGCTGTCACTGTACCCCTCTTTTTCAAGTCCCTGCGTACTACACTGGGGCACAGGTGACTCGACTCGACTCCCAATGTTCATTTCAACTCGTACCTTGGTAGAAAGAAGCCATCGGTTCTGCAAAACCCTCAAGATGTTCTAGTCTCATAATTTCGGGAGCTAACGTTAACTCCTCAAGTGAATAAGAAATAAAATAAAAATTGTGTGACAAGATGCATATATCCTGGACACTATTAATCTGGATCTTGTGTTGTGTGTTTCCTTCGGTCTTGGCCGCAAAAACCGTGGATATTCTCTCGACTTCTGCTCTGAAGAGTCTCGAAGACGAAGAAATCCTGCGAGTCCTCACGCATAATAAATCGGATGTGTCGGAGAATTTCACGTTCGTTGATCTTGTTGATAATTTGAGAAATCAGAGTGCAACGGCTAATGATTTTATTTGGAGTTCTGAGAGTTTGAGTAACAGACAAAAATCTAATCTTTATTACGGTAATTTTATTTTTTCATTCATTTAACAATAGCATTCATATTTACATTTGAAATAAGTTTTGGAATTTTGCGATTAAAAGCCGGAATTTCAAGAGGAAGACAAGACAATAAAGAGGAAATGTTATAAGACGCCGATGTTCGGGAGAGATGTTATCCTTATCCTCCTGGATACTGCATAATTCAAAGGTCATGAAGCGCAACAATTCCATTAGGTAGCAGGGAAAAGACATTTTAACATTTGAATGAGCATAAATAAATGCAACCGCAAGGACGCTATTCGTTTGTATTTATTTCGCGATCCTCCACACGATTCGTGAGTTACCTATGAATACAAATGCATATGATTTTACGTGGCTACTGTATAGAGGGTAAATGCGCACTGTACTGGGTTTTATTGAGAACCGAGACACTTAATGAAACGTCACTCAGTTTCGAAATCGCCATACAACGTTGGCTGTTTCAATAAATATTCCAGTTGTTATTTATTTTATTGATTGGCGTTTATGGTTGATTTGCAATTTCACTGGGGAATTTCAAGGAATTTCTCTCGGCGTGGGATGGGTAGACGAAGAGTGGATCCGCATCTTCCAATCGAGTAGTTTGCCATTGTTTATTTCAGTTGACTGTGGATTTATGGAGAATAGAGTTGGAGTGATTTTAGACGGGAATAACATAGCTTTCTGCATTCTAGCTGAGGCAATACCAAAGAAGAAGAAAATTCAAGTCTAGTCAATTTGGACATTCTTATTAATTGTTGATTTATCACTGAAATGAATGCTATCAAAAGAAAAGCCCAAAAGCCTTTTTTGCATCTTACAAAATCCTTCATTACTGATTTTATTCAATATTCTAGCCTATGCCATTTTACCAATTCACGCAATAAATTGATTAATGACGATTTTCCTATGATACCAAAGAAAAGTAGTCATGAGTAACAGGAGTTGTCCTTGGGTATTCGGTTAATCCGTCACGATGAAAGCTCAAATGAATATCAAATGATCTATCCTACTTTGATGATTTTTTCTTGTCCTGGAATCTCAAGGATGTCTATAAAATGAAAGTAATGCAACACGTCAATTAATTTCTAACTAGTACCCTAGGGTGATCCGGTTTTATTTTCACGAGAACGATCGCGCGCTTGAGCGCGCGTGTTAAAAACAAATCGTGGAACGAAAAACGAAAGCCGAACGAAGTCGAACGCGTGCGGGCGGATCCGAATGTTCGACCAATGAAACTCGAGGAATGAGCGTTACTCTACAGCTTACTGTGTATGTTTTTTTTAGAATAGGATCTTTTTAGAATAGGATACTTTTGAGTTTTGAATAGCCCGTCGCTTAAATAGTTGGAATCAACGTTCACCCGGCTAAAAAATTCGATTTTGGCGAAAGTCGACTTTCCCCATGGGAAAACGGAAAATCTGACCCTTTGAAAATCTGAAAAAAAAAACTTTTTCAGTTTTTACTTTTTGCGTATACTTTTGAGAGTTCTGAATAACCCGTCGCTTAAATAATTGGAATCAACGTTCACCCGCCTAAAAAATTTAATTTTGGCGAANACCTTGGCTGCGGGTGAAAAAAAAAATTTTTTTATTTCTTCATTTTTGAAGCGAGTAAGGGGCGCAGTGGCATTAGGCGGGTCAGAAAATACAGAATCGACGTTCACTGGGCGGAAAAAGTCAATTTTGGCGAAAGTCGACTTTCCCCCCAAAAAACCCTAAATATGGCACTTTGGCTCCGGGTGAAAAAAAAAATTTTTTTATTTCTGCATTTCTGGGGCAAGTGAGGGGCGCAGTGGCATTAGGCGGGTCAGAAAATACATAATCGACGTTCACTCGGCGGAAAAATTCGATTTTGGCGAAAGTCGACTTTCCCCCTGGGAAAACGGAAAATCTGACCCTTTGAAAATCTGAAAAAAAAATTTTTTTCAGTTTTCACTTTTTGCGTATACTTTTGAGAGTTCTGAATAGCCCGTCACTTAAATAGTTGGAATCAACGTTCACTCGGCTAAAAAATTTAATTTTGGCGAATGTCGACTTTCCCCCTGGAAAAATCCAAGATCTGCCACTTTGGCCCTCGTGACCCTTGTGGCCCTTTGACCGACTTTCCCCCTGAAAAAATCCAAGATCTGACACTTTGGCCCCCGGTGGAAAAATTTTTTTTGCAGTTTTCATTTTTTCCACAAGAACGATCGTGCGGTTGAGCGCGCGTGTTAAAGACAAATCGTGACACGATAACCGACCGAAGTCGAACACGTGCGGGCGGATCCGAATGTTCGATCAATGAAATTTGAGGAATGAGTGTTACGCTACAGCTTACAGCGTATGTTCTTTTTAGAATAGGATCCGTACTATCTGTCTATTACTCGGTCACGTGGAAAAAACTCTTTATCATTCGGGGGATAAAAATCCGCGGAAGAAGTACCTTGTTTAGGCATAACATTGAAAAATACCATTCGACCCCATTTCTCAAATGCATTCAGACTTTCGTTAGACACACGAATATCTCCATCCTCTGTCATTGGACGTTTACGATGTTGAATTTCAGTTATTGGTGAATCTCATGTTAAGAAACAAGATGTTGTGAAACACTCGAGTGTGAAAGCATTAGACAGTTTGGTTTTAGGGACTTTAGAAGGTTTCTGTACAAATACAAATTCTCGTGCCCATTTTTTTAGTAAATTAAACATAGAGTTTAGAAATATTTGGCTATCCAATTCGACCCTTTTCTATTACACATTGGAAAAGCAAATGTTTTAGATGTGAAATTTATGCCTTGGGATTTCAATATTTTTTCGATATTACATCAGCCGCGTTGATTTTTTATGCGGTAGGAGGAAATTGCACATCCGCATTCAGTTTTTGTATAAAATTATAGCTTGAACGCACGATCCACGAAATGGTCTTTTTTGCTTGACCGACCTTTTAAATATTTTTTTGATTGAGCCATCAATTGGGCTATTCGATTTAACATAAAAAACACAAGGAAAGGTTTTCAATAACAACTCGATAAAAATCAGATTACGTGTGTTGTATTAAATATCCATTAAATTTGATGAATTTATTTGGGATTTGTCAGAGATGATGCTAAAAATTTATTTGCAATGAGATCATCAGATAACCCCCCCCCCCCACACACACGATTAATCACAATAATATTGTGTAAACGGGTCAACTCTTCCGTCCGCTGTTTCCAAACTTTCGTTAAAATTTCCCATAGATAACGTTATTGTCCACATAACCGTCGTGTCTCCGTTACATATACTGGATTCAATTTCCCCCGGGGTTGTTATTAGCATTTAACACACTACGCACGTCCGTCGTTGGTGCAAGAATCATTTACCAGTACACAATAGTATTTTGAAATCACCGACAATTATTTAAGCATTATTCCATCCTCTCCTTTAGCTCGACTTTCAAAAAAACAAGCACAATTTTCATTAGGCATACTTTCTTCTCTCTTCAACAGACAAATATAAGCATCAGGTTGACAATGAAATTGAGCAATTATTTTCCATTACTCCGGTGTTTGATCCGGCCGCGGGTGCCGTCAGTCCCGAGTGCAGGAGGCAGTCTGAGATATATCATCGAGAGCTCAAGAGAATGAGCCTCTGGGCATTGCAGAGTAAGTTCATGTATTGATTGGAATGAGGAAAAGCTTAGAGAGGAATTTATATTCGTAGTACCTGTCCTCGTCGGATCACTCTAATAATTTATCGATTCATTGAATATACACGAAAAAGTGGATATTATCGAGTTTTTTTTCCTACTTGTAGTATTCTGCGAAATCAGCACGACAAAATTTGTTAAACTTCCGTCTCTTGTTGAATTGAAATTAATTGCTTGACTGATTTTTATTTGGATCGTGGGCATTGTGTTGTAGATTTAATTATGAGAAAGGTACTCGACAACGGCCAACAGTGTCCACATTTTTCAATACAATTCTCTACCTTCTCTTGTTATTCTCATTTGGCTCTGCAATAAAACTCCCCTGAAAAAACTCATTCCGGGCTACACTCTCATCGTATTCAACCACTCAATAGTGGATTATTATTATTAAAAATTCCAGTGTTTGATGCCACCGCTAAAATTCCCTCAGGCCTCCTGAGCGGCAATATTAATCAACTAGGCGATTTCGACGAATGTCTGGGTCTCGAAGGTACCGGAGGTATCCATGGTCAGTACTGTTTAGCATATCTCCAACTCGAAATAGATCATAATCGAGATGATCTCAAGGAGATCCACCGACTGGTGCATTCTCACTATGCCTTTAGGAGTAATATAACTGACGTGAGTAAATGCAACTTTTATAATTCGTTGAATCATCTTATCATTGACGTTTGGAAATTTGGTACGCTTAAATAATTCGTCAAGTCATCATTAAACTCCAATTCTCGGGCTTATAAAGCCCACAGCTCCTCCATTGCACCACAGAGTTTCGTAGACCTTCAAGGCCACCATCGTGAAATTTCTAACGATAATATCATTCGCTTGATTACATGGTAAATGTCACAAGCCTATAAATTTTGAGTGAATTTGATGCAATGACCCTTCAGCCGGGCCACCGAGTGCCAAGATTCAGTACGGTCCAGTGGGCAGTCTGCACGCCATCGTCATGTACCTCTCAGGATGTTGAAACATCACTGAGAGCTACAATCTCAAAGTACACGAGCCAGACTGGAATCAACGTCACGGTCAAAGTGGACCGGGAAATGTGTCAAGTTCAGAGGACCGAGCCGCTTCCTACGGAAACTATCATCGTTGGGTAATCATTATTGCCACTTCTCTACTCAAGCTGCTGTGCCCTAGGCAATAATTGTTTGCACTCCTCTACAGGCTTTTCTTCATCCTTGTCATTGGATTGTCTGTCATAGCCGCAGTGTGCGATCATCTGCAAGCTGATGTCAGCGAAATTGTTCTTGCCTTCTCCTTGAAGAGGAATCTACGCAAACTCTTGTCCATGAAACGTGGAGACGATGACATTGCGACTTTGCATGGCATCCGGGCGATTAATGCTCTTATGCTCATTGTTGCTCATAAGAGTATGGCGTTGTTCTTCAATCCTTATGTCAATAGAACTGGCATGGCCGAGGTATAATTATAAATTGCATAAATTTTCAGGCGAAGCATAAAATCTGTTCACTTTTTTTTTCTTTTTTTGAAAATATCTTTGTCCGGGTATCATCACATGTTTTCCCCTCATTATTATTCATCTCTTTCACATGTATTCGTAAATGAAATATAGTACCTGGGCCGTCCTTGGACCGTGATAGGACGCGCAGCGAGTCTCTATACGGATCCCTTCATTATGCTTTCTGGCCTTTTGACTACCTATTCATTCGTGGGAAGACTTAGAAAGTCGGGGGAAATCCACGTGAGGAAGGAATACTTATCGAGATTATTTAGGTACTTGGTTTTATTATTAGCATAAACCAATGTAGGCAGTAGGTGTTTAGAATTCCGATTTCATAATATTTTACTATTCGATTGATTTGTAGATTGGTCCCAACTCTGGGTGCACTCATTTTATTCTGCATGTTTATTATGCCATATATTGGATCTGGACCGCAGTGGAATCTTGTTGTAACACATCATGCAGATATTTGTAAGAAAACTTGGTGGAGAAATTTTCTTTTTATCCATAATTACTTTGGATTCGAGAACATGGTAAGTATATCGAGTTAAATTTTTTTTTTTTTTGTTAATGGAAAAATGACAAATATTTAATTTGTAACAGTGTCTCACCCATACCCATCACATTGGAATCGACACTCAACTATTCGCCCTCTCCCCAATAATGATCCTAGCTCTCTATAAATATCCAAAATTCGGTGGTTTAATTCTCACCGCAATTGCCCTCTTCTCAACTGGACTTCGTTACTACGTTACGTATTTCAAACGACTGAATAATTACGTGTTCTTCGGCACCTCGTAAGTACTCTCATGGAATTTAATGACTCAACGACAGAAGAATGCTTTCAAGTATTTTTCTACTGATACTTCATTAGACCGTCTAACATTTGCCTAATTTATCCACAGAATCCGGCAATTATTCGACACAGCCAATTTATCGTACATTCTACCGACTCACAGATTAACAGTGTACATAATAGGTATTTTCGTTGGATATTTTCTGAGAATATGCCCCAAGGGCTACAAAATTAACAAGGTAAAAGTTGTTGGAAAAAATATTCAATTAATTATATCTAGATTGGATGCATGATTTAATGATGGATAATTTATCACAGTCAATGATTCAACTGGGCTGGACCTTGACGACACTGATGGCTCTTGGGGCTTTCTTTGGACCCGCTGGAATGGGCTCCATCAATTATGTTTATAATCCCACTCATGCAGCTATGTACAACGCTTTTGCACCCATTGGATGGTGTGCCTTGTTCGCCTGGATTGCCTTTCTCTCGCACACCGGAAATACCCGGGGTAGACAGACCAATAGATGTGATTTTTAATCATCTTTAGAGTTTTTTTTCCTTCAAATTCGGAATTTTTTTCATGAATTTAAAAATAATTAGGAAAAACTTGTTTCATTTTGGCCATTTATTAAATGAAAAAAATTCACTTGACCCCCCTCGTTTGACCTCTCGTTACCGCCATTAGTTTGTTATTTAAAGTTTCAACATTTCAATACGATTCTCCATTTGAAACTATTAGAAAACGTTTCAAAAATCTGGAAAAAATTAGAAAGTCCCGGGCAACATGGGCCGTCCTTCACATTTTGAGTGAAATTTTCCTGCCTTTCCTGTCTGAATAATTGTTTTAATTATTGGTTTTTATAGGATGGTTCAGTGGACTCTTCGCATGGAGAGGCTTCATAATCTGTACACGATTGAGCTACGCCATTTATCTCACGCAGTTTCCCGTCTTCTTTTTCAACGTTGGAAAGACGAGGAGTGCAGATCACTACGAGTTCTTCAGAATGCTGGTAAACTATTTTATTCCATTAGTGTAGTGGTAGAGAAAAACAAAAAAGCGAGTTGATTTTTATCCCAAGGATGAAACTTGTGTGATTTTATCGAGTTCCTCGTACGAATTACGAATCTCATTTAGAAGTTACTGGGAATGGCCTAGTTTATGGAGGAAAAATTGACAAAGTTGGGGAGATAGAGAGAGAGAGAGAGTGATGAAATAAAAGTTGAGTGTTTCACAAAATTTCCAGAGAGGGACGGTATTGGTGTAGAATAAAAATTTCACTGGAATATTAAAATTCTTACTTTTATAATAATAAAAAAATGAATTCTCTTGCAGTTCAATTTCCACGAACTTGGGTGGATAGTTCTGACGTCAGTGATTCTCACTCTACTATTCGATTCGCCCTTCCAAAATCTCAAGACTTACCTCCTGAGGAAGCCAGCAACAGTTTCAAAATCATTAAAAGCTGAATAAGCCAAATCTCCAACTAAAAATGGTCAATTATGACTCTTGTAAATAGTCTGATTATGCTTTTAAATATTACGACACTTGAGTCCCTCTACCTTGCCCGTATTGTGCCACTTTTACGATTCTGTATTTATAGTATAACTTGTTTAGATTCCCACAGGAATTTTTCACATTTGCCTTTTCAGAGTGACTCTGGCCAATTGTAAATAATTTGTAATATGCACAGTGATTAGCTAGATTTAATTTTTTATGTTATTTCCACTTTTATACCAACTAATTAAGAGTGACAAACATCTGGGATAAAATACATAAAAACATTTGTATACGTAGTATTTGTTTATTAATTTCAATCAATTCTTTTTCGTATAAAGGAAAACTTATAATCTGCCGATGTAAATTATCAATCATCACAGGTAACAATAAAAAGGAGGAGAAATTGTGAAAATAACGAAGGATACACTAGCTCAAGGCGCAGTTGATGGAAATATCACGAAAGTTTTCCAACTTATATTATACTTTCTTTAGTATTTGTTCTCAATTGAATAGTGGAGGAAAAACAAGATGAATTGATTTTATTGACAATTTTGTCTGAGAACCTTGTATGTAGCTCTCATGCTGACAAAAAAAACTGAAGCTGCATAACATCAATTTCTATTTGATTCATCTCGTTTTATCCAATCGTTACTAAATGTAAAACGAAGTCACGGATTTTTCAATTAACAATAAATGCACACTGGAGAATTTAGGAAAAGTCTCGATTTGTCAAGACGGCAGGAGCTGCAAGGGACCAGACGTAAAGACCGAGACACATCCAAGACGATATTATTTTCACCCACATGGAAGCTGGATTGGAATTTAGTGTTTGCAGCGATGAGTTTGGCCTGAGGAAAGAACGGAATGTTAATTGCACTAGTTGAATACACCGATTCTCATTAGTGAATAATCCCATAGAAGGGTGATACGTACTGGTACCAATTGGTAAGTGTCATCATGACGTAGAGAGTTGCGAGAGCAAACATGAGATGGAAGAAGCTCCAGTTATAGGCGACCTTATCCTCCTCGTTATCCCAGACTTTGGTTTCACCACCGCCTTCAGCGTCGTCGTTACGACCTTCTACTGCAACATAATCTATTTATATTCGATAAAACGCTAGACAAAATAATAGACGTGCACAAAATGTTTTTCGTTCTACTAATTCACAATTCTAAATCAATAGAACAATTAAACTACTTGTCTGTCTTAATTATGAATATTAATGAATACCATCATATATTTAATATAATGAAAAGACATAACAGCCTTAAACTCATAAAACAAGAGAATAAAATCGAAAAAGGCAGGCACACACTACACCTACTCTCAGAGTCAAAGTTTCATGGAAAAATCCGGCTGTTTTGTCTAATGATGATCGAACAATGATGTGTTACGTATGTGTTTTTAAATAATTAATAGTATGTGCGTACCTTCATTGTCGATAAGAGAAGGATCTCCTGAGTTGCGAACTGCATAGAATGATTTCGTTTTGCTTTGTAATGATTGAAGATAAAGACATGAATATAGAGAATGAGAGATGAATTTGAGACTTACCAGCACCGTTGTCATTAACGAGAACTTTATCAGACATGGTGATCTTGGAGGACTTGGAGGCGGTCCTGAGGGAACTGTAGAGAACACAGCTGAACCAGATTATCAGCCCAATTACACTCTCTTTGTCGAATGCTATCGCGTTCTGATCCTTGACGTTGTTGCGGGAGATTGATCCAAATAATCCAGGGTTGCACTCGTGATCTGTCAAAATTTAATCAATCATCGTTCACATTTCTTCATTTATCCTCTCAAAAAACGAATGAATTGTTGCACACCTGGACTGTTAGAAACTCCACTCCAAGTCAGATAAATCACATAGAGGGACACGACGGACGCTTGGAGTAGTCCACTACGAGGTTGATGCTCCTGAACACTGGGAAGAATCGATACAGCACTGGCGATTACACACAAGATCAAATTGAATGATATGAAGAACTTGTGGAGGCTACAGTTGTTTGGCTGCAATGAAAAAAAATCAATGAAAAAGTTTTCCTTTATTTTTCAATCATCGGTACTAAATTGATAATTACCTCTGTAAAGTAAACAAAGAGCAATGCAATACCAGCAATAGCCACACAGTAATTGAAGAAAGTTGCACCCAGTAGTGCTGCATACCAAGTTTTCGATTCAGTCTCTTCATAATTACCGACCCAAGATTCAGCCCACGAGTGAGCAAAATCAATGATGAGAATCAATTGAATAAGTATGAAGAAGAATCCTCCGAACATTCCAAAGTACATCCAGACAGGTCCAAAGGATCTTTCAGGTATGAAGAAGGCTCCAATGATACCACCGATTATGAGGAGATACTTGATGGCCCAAAATCCATTTTGTATGGGGGCTCGATGATCTTTGGAACTCTTCACCCCAATCATCATCGTCGACATGAGAAAGAAGAACAAGGATATGATAAAACAAATTCGGTATACAGCGAGATAGCCAACTGCTGAATTGCAGTCCACGGTGAATGATGAAGGGTAGTAGTTGCTACTGTTGGCGCAGAATGGAACCTAGAGATGGAAATTAAACATTATTTTGAAGACTATTTTTATTTGTGACAAGATTCAGGGAATAAAAATGTCTGGATCCAATTTTTCACCTTTTTCAATGTGTCTTGGAGACCTGGAGCGAGGGTAATGCAGGCAGCAATTGTTCCTAGCATCAGTAACAAAGCATACATGATCCTGGAGCTGGTGCTGTTCCTGCATGATGGACATTGGGAGCAGCAGAAACTGCAGGCAGTACTGCCGCACAGACAGGCCAGCTGAGGACAAATATAAAATTAGTGTCTTTGCAGGGAATAACAGAGAAGCCCAATTTCTCATGTTTCTCTATAATTTTTTGCAACCAAAGGAAGACAGACATTGACATTGACATTGACATTGTCTTCAGAACCTCTCTTGTGGAGCAAGATGAGAGACATCTCATTTAACTAGAATCTACCGAATTCATGAATAATTCAACTAATTTCTAGTGGGAAAAAAACAGAGGAAAATTCTTTGCTATAGGTCATAATGACATCATTAGAAACACATTACCTGCGCTGTGGAGCAAATGAGACCCATCGTTCACTAGTAGTATCAACTCCACGTATCCAGCAACTCTTTTCAGTCAATCGAAGTCCTCGTAAACCCGAAAATCGTCCTTTTTTCAAGATAATGCGCCAGACGTTTAGAGATTACAGCTGACTGCGGAGAAGAACAACCCAATGGCGTGCAGAGGTTGATGCACTTGACAGAACTGTTCTATCGAACGTTGTGGGACTCACTCGTGACCAACTTCACTCTCAATTCCAGGAAAACATTGCTCACTCGCGCAGTTGCTCGCAGTTCTCGCAGTGGAAGGGAGAGGAAGGCCAAGATGTCGCTACATTGGAGCCGGTGTTCGTGTTGTTTGAATAGTGAAGCAGTGAAGGTGGAATCTTGGACGTGCGATGGGGGGTGGAGATATTTTTTGACACCTTCGGGAGCACACAGACTGTGATTTTGTTGTTCCAAGCAACGAATCAGCTGATTCGTCGCGACCTTCAGATGCCAGACACCATATAAACTCCATGTGTTTGTGTGTATACACACGATCGAACATTGCGATAAGTGTTTTCGGGTGTTTATTGTCACCGCGCATGTTCCGTTCTTCTTATTTTGTTGTCGTCTCCTTGTGTTGCGTTGGCGCCTAAATTGAGACGAGACGGGAGTGTGTGGTGTGAGTGTTGGACAGTATTAGACCGGTAGGACCGTTGCGGAAGATTATTTTCAGCCAGAGTGCCAGAGGCTTGAAGCGGTATGTACACCAAGTATCCAAGTATTATTATTTATCTCCAGTGCATTCAAGATTAATATTTATTTTTTATCATTGTTGGAGAGAGTTATTGAACATGTTTTCTATAAGCGAGGATATATTCTCAAGATTCTTTGAGTGGGGGTAATACTCCGTAATTATAAGTAAACAATGAGTGATAAAGTTATCATTCATCTTTGAGGTGTTCCTGAGAACATTCCAATATCCATTACTCACGCGAGTTCTAACCAACATTATTGTGATTATTTTTTAAACACGTTTATGGTGACTTACGTCATACTTTTTAATACTTCTCGCGGTGAATTATTACACTCGGAAGTATAGTCGCCAAGGTTACAACGATGTTTGATAGTTGATACTTTTCAAACGGTCAGCGGTTTTAATGCAGTGTAATTGGGTGTGAATGGAATGAAATTGACTGTTTTTTATTTTTGAAAAATGGCGATTTAAGGTATTTTTTCAAGCTTCAAAATGACACCAGATTTATTCACATTGTAGAATTTGGTCGGAGGATATTAAACATTTGGTAAAAATCATTTGTTTATCGCACATTCATAAATGGCATTCTTTTGTAGAATTCATTATCGACATGATAAGAAAATCAATTAATTGAAATTTTTTTTCGGGGACGTTTTACTAACGATGAAATATAAAATTATTTATTAGTGAGATAATCCAATGGATTATTAGATATGAAATGAAATGTTTCTTTGTTCTATTCACAGCTGAATAATTCAAAAACACTATAAGCCATGAGTGAACTCAAAGTAGAAAATGAGGTCCCAAAAATGGACGAGGAGGAGCAAAAATCAAAAACAACTTCGCCTTATATGACAATAGGATCATTCAGCATGTCATTATTGATGAAAATAGCAGCTGTTGGAGTTATTTGGGGATTTGGATACATGCGTTGGAGTGTTGCTTGGTTACTACCTCCAGTGTTCCTCTCTGTATGGAAATACGAGACTAATAAAAATGATGAGCTGAAAAGACTGACTGCCCAGGCGACAGTTCTAGCTAACGAGAAGGATGTCATAACGAATAGAATGAATGATTTACCATCCTGGGTCTATTTCCCTGATTTTGATAGAGCTGAGTGGTTGAATAAAGTTAGTAAATCGATCAATCAATTCTCACAATAGAAAAAAGTAGAGGTAGTCCTTGAATGAATGGGTTACTATCGCGGAATTTAATTATCCAAGATTAATTGCTTCTGCAGGTACTCTACAAAATTTGGCCGGGCATGAATCACTTTGTGCGTAACCTCGTCAGGGAATCGATAAAGCCAGCAATTGCAACAGCACTGTCGGAGTACAAAATGCCTGGGTTCCAATTTGAAAGATTGGTATTGGGTCGCATTGTAAGTGTCTGATTATTATTCAAGGATTTAGCATGGGGCGAAGTAGGATGCACTGATTTTAGTAATCAATATCTTTGTGCAGAGGGAAATGGCCTTGTGGTCAATTATGGCAATCTGATATTGCCAAAGTCTCAATTTTTTCATTTTCCATGATCAATTTTTATTTTTATACTTGCAGCCTCCAAAAATCTATGGAATAAAAACATACGAGAAAGATACATTTAGGAACGAAATTATATTAGATTGTGAAGTACTGTAAGTGTCGCTTCATCTCATATGTCACTGGAGAATTCACAAAAATGAGAAAATAACAAATAACTGTTGTAGATACGCTGGAGATTGCGACATTTCTTTCACCGTTGGCAACATCAAGGGTGGCATACGAGATTTCCAGCTTCGCGGTATGCTCCGAATAGTCCTGAAGCCCATGTTAACTGTAATGCCACTCGTTGGAGGGGTTCAGATATTCTTTTTGAATAATCCAGAGATTGATTTCAATCTCGTTGGTGCTGCTGACATCCTCGACTTTCCTGGTCTAAAGTGAATATTCTCGATAATTCCATTGAAAATACAAATTACTTGTAATAAAATTCCCTCACTCATCCATCCTTATTCATCATTATTTTATGTTCTTTTTCAGACAGATACTTAGAAAAGTCATCAAAGAACAATTTGCACGTTTCCTAGTCCTCCCAAATAAATTGATTATTCCTCTGAGTCACGACATTCCCGCTGAGATTTTAAAAATGCCAGAACCCGAGGGAATCTTGAGGATTCACGTGGTGCAAGCAAAACATTTGATGAAAAAAGATATTAGTGTTCTAGGCAAAGGAAAGTCTGATCCTTACGCTATTATCAGTGTTGGATCACAGGAATTTAGAACAAAAACCATTGACAATACGGTCGATCCCAAGTGGGATTTTTGGTGCGAGGTATGTGATTCATTTTTCAATTATTCGATTTCATAATTTCTTGATGATTAATTAGGGGCAGTTCCATGCACGTGCTTCGCTCATGAATGCACAACAATTGTTTGTCGAGCAGAGTTATAGATTTCTAGAATTTCAGAGTACTAATGAGTACATGTCATTTATTCAAAATTTAACAGTTTTTATATATTTAATTCAAAATTGGCTCACACGAGTCGATGAGTAAATCGATTTTGTTAATGTTTTATTAGATATTTCAGTGGTGAAGTGGTAAAATGGAATAAATTGATTCCACTCAAAAGAACAGCAAATCAGTTTTTTTCCTTATCTCAGGATCAAAGTGAAATAGATAAATATTTGTAAAAATTTCTCTGGAAAATCTCGTCATTTCCCTTGGATTCAAAGATATTCAACAAAAACTGATTGTTGACTAGATTAATCTTGTACTAACCACTTGACTACTGATTTTTCATACGTGTGTTTGTGATGTGATGCGTGGTGTGTTGTACGGAATTAGTGTACGGTGACATCAGCCGTCGGCCAACAAGTGGGGATATCTGTGTGGGACTCGGACGACACCAAGGAGGATGAACTTCTCGGCAGGTATGACATCTTGATAACTCATGGATAAAACATGTCTAAATCAATGTGACTTTCTATGTAATCAGGTAACTGTGCTTTATGCTTTAGCCGTATTCATTGTATTGGCTTGGGCAATGGTTGTGGGAGTGATTGATCATTTCAGTGAGACAGAGTGAAACTTAATCAATCAAATTCTGGAAATTACGTTTCATCTCTTCAGTAATGACTTTTTTGGTTCATTCTTTACTAATTTGGGGAAATAAGAGTGAAGATCATTGTAGTTAAGACGTATATTACAACATACACCGTGTCTATTCATTGTATATTGTGCCACCTAGACTGTGATCGATACATGGAGTTTGGGACTAGAAGCTGCGATATCTGTTTGGGATTGGGATCCCAATATTCCTGGGGTTGAGACCGATGATTTACTCGGAAGGTAGTCGAGTTGAGTTCCCTCCTTTGTTTGAGGCAATACCCTGAGTCAAAGTCCCATCGACCAATATTAATAATCAATAACTAAAGTAAACCTAGTCCTCGCACAGTAGATTAAATAATAATTCATTTATTAATGAATATGTTACAACTGCTTCTGTCGTCTGCAACTTTGGCAGTTCATTCTCACTATAAATTATTTATTTTGTGCGTTAATCATCCAACATTTTACTAAGGATATTCAGTTCTTTTATTCTTCAAAAGGGAGAATGAAATCAATCAGTAAAATGTCTCTGATGTTCAACTCTCCAAATGTTGAAAAGGAACTAAATGAAAAAAAATGGCCAAAGTAATTGAATATCCTTGAATCATTAAAAGTTTTTTTGAAAGCGTGTACTAAAACGGCTTGTGTGGTGGAAGTTTATAGTGGAAGAAAGTGCAGGCGCCTCCAATACAGTCATAACTCGACTCTTTGACAAAGACAACACAGGCACTGATGATCCACTCGGAAGGTATTTTCTCACACCAATTGAAAAATTTCAATTTGTTACCCCAGACGTTGAATGATATTAGTGAAACACTGAATGATTCAATGCATCTCAGATGCATTCTAGACAAAACAGTGAATCTCGGCAATTGTATCTGACTGTGCACGGGAAAGTAACGCCAATGCCTTGATGATATGCTTTTTTCTTTGATACGCATTAGTCAAAAAATGTATTTTTTCTTACCAATGGGCTGTTGTCTTTTGCACAATTTTTGTCACAACAAATCTTATTAATTTATTCTCCTGCATTTATTAATGTCGGTTGAGGAAATGTACTGATTCGCGCTAATTATTTGAGGCATACGATAGCTTTCGTTCACAGCGAAATTTGATTCCACTGATGATGATTATGGAGTAATTTCTATTTTTTTCATGAATGAATAATTCAGAGCCACGACTGAAGTGAGCCGTGTCAAGGAGAAAGGAATCATAGACACAGTAAGCTTCGAATATTTTATTATCATCAACACTCTATTGGGGCAGAAATGAATGGACGATTCGTTGTGTTTTTTTCCAGTGGTTCACTCTTGAATTCGCCAAACATGGGATGGTTCATCTCCGATTGACATGGCTAACACTCTCTAAAAATCCTGGGGATCTCCAGGCTGTGAGTAATAAAAACTTGCACTTGTGAAATAAATCGAGAAAAATTGTCTAATTAGGCTCCTCCGACATTCAGGCTCTGATGGAAACTCAACAGCTGCGAGTCACCTCCATGGGCACTGCTCTACTGAGCGTCTTCATTGACTCGGCGAAGAATCTGCCCTGTCTCCGTGGCAGCAAGCAACCGGATGTATACCTCGAGGCAACTGTCGGCAGCAAAACCGAACGAACGTCCACGATGCTTCGCTCCTGTGATCCAATCTGGGAGCAGGGCTTCTCCTTCTTGGTAGCTAATCCAGAAACAAACAACCTGAACATCCGAATCGTCGACGAGAAAACGACAAGTGTCGTGGGGGTACTTGTCTACAACATTGCGAATCTCATGACCAAAGTCAACATGGAGGACATGCAGCAGCCTTACGACCTCGTCAACGCCTCACCAGATAGCAAATTAATCATGTCCACGACGTTGAGAATCCTGAAGTACGAAGGGCCTAAAAACGTCCCGGAGGACGAGGAGGACGAGGACATTAATTCGTTAAAGAAGAGGATTGACAGACAGGAGTCTAATATCAGCGGTTCTCAGAGCAGCAGTGTGCCATCAACTCCACTGAAGAAACAAATGTCCAAGGAGTCGTTGCAGAGTTCGACGAATAACACTGGGTCTGATCAGGGAGGCAATTATCCCGGGACTGTTGATGAGAGGAATTACGAGGAGGAGACCATCACACCGACGTATGCGTCAGAGAGTAATCTTCCGCCAGGGCTTCTTCATCGAAACCCCAGTGTGATGTCCTCGGCAGGCGAGTTTAAACTCGGAAGGATCCAGCTGACTCTGCGGTACAGTGTTCCGAGACAAAAGTTGATGGTTGTAGTGCATAAAATCTCGTGAGTGAATTCATTTAATTTTAGTCAAATGATGCAGTCATTTGTCAAGTAACTTGTCATGCATTTGCTTTCCACAGAAATCTGCCACTACCTCACAACGACCCCAACAACATCCCAGATCCTTATGTGAAGCTGTATCTCCTCCCAGATAAGCACAAAGAAACAAAACGAAAAACAGCTGTAATGAAGGACAATTGTAATCCCATTTACGACGAACAATTCGAGTACATCGTATCTCAGGGAGATTTAAACTCTCGAACATTGGAGATATCCGTGTGCACGCAGAAGGCCTGGCTGTCAGCAGGGACCAAAGTCATGGGGCAGGTTCACCTGAATCTCTCGGAGATGGACCTCTCCAAGGCTACATCTGCGTGGTACGATCTCGTGCCAGAGGTCAAGGATTAAATTTCAGGATGATCGAGCTTTTTTCAATTTTTATATGTGAATCAATAGTGCTAAACCAACTCTTTATTTATGCTGATGTTCATCACGACTTTTTCAATCATTTGGTCCATCTATCTATTATGTTGTTACATGGCACTTTCTTATCGTCACGGGTGTAGTAGTGAATTGATGAAAACAGATGAGTTGGTTTACCCTCACAGCAAAAATTCATCCAATTCTATCTGTTCACTACTAAAACTGACCTTTTTACACTGTGCTATATAAATTATACCTACAGTGATAAGAATTGTTGAGAAACTTCAAATATTTATGAGTATTTTTTTGCTATACACTTTCGTTATTGATGCATTTTATAAATTGCCCTTCAATGTGCTGAAATAAAGATTTAATTATCTTGAGAGAGTTTCTCATATTGGACCATGTGGCCTCATTTAAATTCAAGTTCTGAATGTGCTGTTACCAAGGGAACGCAATGGAACCAACAGTAAACATATCGATTGTAATATTATCCAAAGAATTGAGGTAATATTGGGTCCACCTTTGCAGTTTATTCGAAAATTTTCGCTCAATTTCTAAAATTTATAGAAGAAATGCGTCGCGCACTACCCTGCCTCCCTGGATTTAATTTTGATAATAAGGTAAATGCCTCAGTGAAAATTCTGATAATATGATGAAGACTAAAAAAATATGATAATTCGTCTTATCTCATAACTCGTTACCTTAAAGATTGGTAAAACAAAGTTCCATCGATCCCAGTACTTCGATAAAATTCACGATGGTGTCTATTATTTAGCTGAGAAACCGAGTGTTGGGGAGCATTCTAGATATCCGTCAAATTATTCCTACATTGATGAACCGAGAATACCGCCATGGATTGCTTACGACGGTCAAGTACGTAAAACTCTCATCATTCCTGTAGGTAGAGGAGGCACCTAATTGTCATATATGATGATTCTTCTCTTTTCACAACATTTAGAGATTAATGTTCCAAGCATTTTTCCAAGAAACCGTCCAAGAACGACGTGAGTCTTCTCATCAGATTCGCCTTGTGACAATAAGTTTCTTCCTTGAGGATGGCACAATGAAGATTGTCGAGCCTGCAATAAGTAACAGTGGTCTTGAGCAGGGTGTCTTAGTCAGACGTCAGAGAATACCATTGCCCGACCCCGTACCCTACAGATTCTACGACATTCTCGATCTGAACATCGGCAAAGAGCCAGAGATCTTCGGAAGAGTTTATAAAATAGTCAATTGTGATAAATTCACCAAGATATTTCTGAACCGAATGGGAATTCCAGTGCCCGACCCCATTGACCTTCCCTGTGATCCTTATATTCAGCGCAGGAGTGTGGTAAACACTAAATACGTTCCCACATTTTATACGAACAATACGAACGATTGATTTTTTGAAAAATTACAGCCAACGTTTTCGAAAAAACCGAACCGCAAAATTGATACATTGGGGAAATTTCTCAATTACGACAGAATGATATTGAGATTCTATGGATATTGGGACGATAGAGATTCTGAATACGGAATAATACACGATTTAGAGGTCCGATACTATCTGGCGGACGATACCATTGAGATTAAGGAAATTTTACCGAAAAATTCGGGGAGAGAGGGAAGTTCTATCTTCATAAAACGAATGAAAATTCCTAAAGTAACGTAATTATAATTTTTCTATATGGTCTATATGGCCATGGATATTATCTTTTGCGAGTGATGTGTATTATAATTTGTATTCGATAAAGTTCTTCAGCGGGATAGAATCGGTGGGCTCCAGTGACCCTTTCACGGTTTTGAATGTCCTTGGGGAGAGTGGAGCGCAGAGTTATTTTATTCCTGATGCTCTCAATGCTGGGGAAATTAAGCGGGATTACTACAAGGACAGTGATCTTACCATTGAAACTAGCATGAATGTATTTGGACGAGAGGTCGTCATCACCGATCTTGACCCGACAACGAAGAACTATTATAGGTGCAGATTGATATTTCATTAATTTTAAGCATCGGAAAATGCACCCTTTTCATGACTTAATCACGAATTTACCCGTTAATGTAGAGAGAAATATGGTATCGAGGAGTTTAAGCCATTGGAAAAGCCAGAGTCAGCTTCCGACTACTGTTCAACTATTGAAAAACGTAAACCACCGCCGTACAATGGCTTTGGCTCTTACGACGATTCCCTCGGCAATTGTTTCAGTATCGTACCAAAGCCCCCGAAAATCGACTATGCTAGATTCGCTGCATTCGACAAGTAAATATACATTTGATGAAAAATTCTTGGTCAAAATATAGAAAAAATTCATCTATTCTTTTTAGACAAGGCTACGACAGTAAAGTATTGAGCTTCCGTGGAAGAATGATATCTAACATTCCGGAAAACTCATCACGTCAATTCATCATTCGAGTTTACCTCATGGACAATACAATATCAATCTTCGAGTATGCCCCCAAAAATACTGGATTCACACGTTCATTATTCCAAAAGCGAATGCAAGTGCCGCTCCCAGGGCAGACAGTTTATTCCAGCGAGAAGCCCCAATACTTCGAGCCTCATCATTTCTACATCGGGGCTGAATTAAACCTGGGAGGATTTCATTTTTACCTCACCTCAGCTGACGAATATACTCTACGCTACATGGAATTGAACTGCGATAAATTTTCCAGGGCGAATGCAGTCATGATTATGAGTAAACTGAGAGAGGGGCTCAAACCTTGTTATAAACAATTTCTCGAGGAGTTTTCTCCAGTCACAGAGATGGATGGAATTTTTGTTCTGCCTTATGAGAAATTTAGAGAGAGTTTGATCAAATATTTAAAGGGTGAGGGAATTGTTGAGCACGAGATGATTACAGTCGCTCGTAGATATGCATTCAAACCAAATGAGCAACGAGATACTCGAGGATATTTGAGGTATGTAAGGTTCAATTTTTTATAGCGCTTTAGATGTTCAATTTCCACGGTGAAATGGCTACTCGCAGAAGTTTAATACACACCGAGCTGACGCGTTTCCTCTGGAACGACCTGGACCGCCTCGCCGAGGATATCAATCACTGGGATCCATCACGCACGGGCTTTCTCCCCCCCTCCGACATCTACAAAATTCTCCGAGGCTGCAGGCTTCCCCTGGATTGCCAGCTAATCAACTGTCTCCTCAACCAGTAAGTATCCCAGACAACTCGCCGATAAGAAAACAGTCGTGAAACCTCCTTTCACCTATTTAAATCCAGCTTGCGGAGCAATTCCGAGGGAGAGATTGATTGTCAAGACCTATTAGACTTTATGAACGTCAAGATAAATCCATCCCCGCCCGTTGTACCGGTGCCTATCAGCACCCTTCCCTGGTGGAACGATAAGGACGAGGATGACTGCTGTCCAGCATTAAACTGGAATGAATTCATCAAGGATCTTGACATAAAAGAGGATGATCCAGCTTCAGCAGCTGATCCCCAATAATAATGCCACAATATAATTACTGGCTAATTGAATATTGTTTTAATGCTACATCATGATCATTCGTATTTACACCGCACTACATACTACTAAATCTAATTCTATCACTCATAAATATGCGCGTAGATAAATGACTTTAGCACAATCATGATGAATACTGAGTTAATAAATATCATTTCGCCTGGATAAATAACGATTCGGTAGAGTACGATTGATATAATTGAGTGCATTCAATCAATTGAGTATCATATCCGACAATACTCCGTGATTCATACCGTAGGAGAATAAAAAAATGTAAAAAAATAAGGTATCATGGCTTTTCACTGAGTTATCATTAATTTCATAAATAAATTCTTCGGGGATGCATGTTCAGTTCAATTGCACTCGTATGTGGTAATTACACTTCGGCATGTTTTACACTGTACACTGTAACAACAGCTGATGTATTTGCATTGACACCTCTCGAGGATTTCTCGGGTTTTGGTGATGTGGCCGCGTCCACAGCAGAGGTATTCGCAGCCCTCGTAGCCTGAACTACTACCGTTGCATTGTCTGGAATTTAGGAGAAGAAATGAATGTATGTGTAATTTATAGTATAATTTGTTTGAAAAAAATCATTGTCCAGTTTTAGTGGGCCCATTCTCTCTTACAAAATTCTTGTGTTTAGAATGCTCACAGTCGGAAGTAGAAACCCGTGGAACAAAAGGTGGCGGCAATAGCGTGAATAATTCAAGGGTCGCCGAAACCCGTAAAAGACAGACTCTCTGTCTCACCCCAAGGAGGAAGTCCGTATCGAATATAATAAATATCCTAAACCGCCTCGAAATCGAGAGAAAAACTCAATAATCCCTTGGAGATAATGCCTGTGGAGAGAAACAGAGAGAGAGAGAGAGCAACCCCCAAAAGAAATCAATTTCTATTCGTCCCCCTCGCATTTCTCTCCCGACTTGGTTCTCACTTATAATTGTGTGTCTACATAAATAAGATCGACATCGAGCGGCCGCAAACGCGAGATAAGAGTTCCCGAGCGTAGGTACCCGCACACGCCACAGGAAGACAGGAGAAAAAAGTAAAAATCAACTGGAATACGTTATTAGCACCTGAGATAAAATATTGTATCTTCCCCTGGGGGCATTATCCATGGGCATATTAAGTTTTGCACGTGCATAAGAAAGTGATAGGAAAAGAAGCAATTTCCTGTACACCCACGGCCCGGCCCCCTGTCCTCTCTTAGATTAAAGTGAGGAAATAAAAAATTTAACAACTCATTGGCCATGCTGTGTATCGAACAACAATGCTTGAGCAATATAATGTCTCATTTTCAAATAAGGGGATTGAGGAGCTGCTGAAAGAGCAAACATTATTTTCTCGGAAAAAAATATTTCACGCGATACTTGAACATTTTGAAACTTTTGTTTCGCTCCCCTCTCCTTTTAGTCGGTTCGATGAATATGGAAGAGTCCATAATTTATAGAATTTTCTCCAGCCAATGAAGAGCTCATATCACTATATCTTTATGACCAGTTGGGTTGTTTCCTTCTTGTTTATTCATTCATTTTTCAAAAGTTGTGCCTTCTCCACTCATTCAATTCTTTATACTTATCCCCCCAGGTATTCAGGTACTCTCGAGACATAATCCGCGATAAAAAAATGCTGTTGTATCAACGAATTCCACGTCGAGTTCAAGGCAGTGCAGAGTAATGTAGAATGTCCATTATGTGAATGTGGTTAGTCTGATAAATAGTATAATCCCGGCTCTCACCTTCCAATTGTTCCTAGGCTGCCCCGTTTTTTGTCTGGCATACAGTAGTCCGGACTCTTGGTTGTGTACAACAAATTGTCGTGATGATAGAGCGGTGGGAGACGACTGCCGGATTTCGGTCTGACCTCGGCAGCAGTTGCGTATTTGCGGAATAGGCGGGCACCGGCTGCCGACGGACCCTTTGAGTCGAGGCCACGCCAGCATGTTCTTACACTGCAGGAGCCTGATACGCCGTGGCATTTGCACTCCAGAGTCAATGATTGTTCGACAGCCTGTGAGAGGGATAAGTGAGCTTTTGAGTCGTTTTTCGGTGTTTTTTTGTAGATTGAAATATGGAGAGCAGTAAAAAATGACTTTTTTACTCAACATCTCGCGTTACCTTTATTCATCTCTCTAGAGGGAATTAACTCGTAAAATTTCAATAATGTTGGAGAAAGAAAAGAATACTTACCCTTCGACCAGCGCGATTATTATGCATATTAACAGCATGCATAAATTTCGCGGTGGAGCCAGTTCCCGTTGGGCTGGAGCCCTGCAAGAATCTCTTGGCGAGTCTCGAGGCTGACCTGACGTCGTCCCCACAACCGCCCCATTTGAATGAATTTCTCGCAGACATAGCGTCGAAGGATACAGACTTTGAGGTGAAGGAACTGGAGGCGGTGAGGGCTGAGGGTGACGGAGGTTCTCGTCTCGGTGGAGTCGCACAGGAGCACGCCGCTAGATTCCCCAGTGCACATCCACGTGCCAGTCGCCACACAGCAGCTGCTGCCGACATGGCGTAGACGAAGGCCTGCTCCCTCGTTCCTATCAATTACATTGGAAAATGATGAATGGTCAGGAGATTAATTGAACGTTGGAATATTTTATTTTACATATTGTTTTTTTGTTTTTTAACCATGTGTCAGCCTTTCAACCCTCTCGAGGCGAAAGAGAAAAATGTTGAATAGTGTGTTTAATTCCAACATGGCAGAATGATCGTTGGGAATGGACCGATTAATTTGGAGAAATATCGAGAGGCCATAGCTAGGGTGTCTATACACTATCCGGGAAAAGATCCCAAGGAAAGAAGAAAACGAGAGGCAGGGAAGCCAGTTTGGCGAGTGAACACCTAATCTTTTTCGTTTGGTAATAGCCTCTAATTACGCAGTCGCTTCGGGGTCTTCCCATTCAATGGCCAACCTTCCATCTCACTTTTTTCTTCCTCCGTTCTCCTCAACCTTCCTCTCTCACTTCATCTTTTTTCCGGTTATTTTTCTTGTTTCACTCACTTCATCCATATACAAGCATATTTTTACCTTTCCCATGTTTGAAAGGGGAATACTCGCGGAGGATTGCTCTGTGAGTTATCGGCTCCGCCTCTTTTACCCCATAATGAAATCACCATATTATTCAGTTCGCTTGGGTGGGAGAATACATTTACGTAGAGTATTTATTGTTTTCTATGGATTTTTTAAAAATTTATTTCAATGAGTGGAAGACATCGAAGTAGATATTTTTTTTAGGATTGCTTCTTTTTTTTTCAACTTCTTTTTACTTGGGATGGCATTGGGGTCATACCTGAGAGTAAATCAGGAGTATAATGAGGCGCCCGTTCGATACTACTGCAGTTCCACCGTCGATTCCTGAAAGCCTGTTGACATACGTTAATAGTATCCCTCGCTGCTTGAACAATGCTGGGCATGACGTCGGTCGTGGCCCGACAGGCTCGTGCTTGCTTCCTCTCAAGTAGCCCTGAGCTTTTCGCAGCCGTGCAGGCCTCCCTCGTCCATATACGGGCGTCGTTAGTTTTCCCCAGAGCCCTTGAACACCAGAGAATACTTGCAACAAACCGATGATCGTTGACATTTAGCAGCTCTCTCGCCGTTTAGCCGTGGAAATGCGCGCTGCGCTCGTAAATCAGCGGTATGGCTGACTACTCAAAATTATAGGGCATTCAAAACTCACGGATATGGCGCGTATTGTAATTACGAACTAAACCGAACGCCTCAAAAGTCCAAATGACCACGGTATATGTCTAGACATATAACGCGAATGGCCGAATCGCCAACCCTAGAATTCATTCCATTTCGGCCCAAATCACCCCATCAAAATGACTCGCTCCACGTGCATACCTACGCGGCTGTTGGCAATTGTCTAACAACTGCAATTGGGAGCAATATAGTGAAGCATATGTGATTTTTTTTTTCTTAATCACTCATTAATTACAAAAAGTATTTCTCATTCAATCTTGAGTTGTCTTGACACTCCGCGATTTCAGGAAAAAAGAAATTACCATATCTTATTTTTTATGCTGACAAAATGACACATTTTCCTCAGATTAGAAATTTATTATATTTAACAATCTGTAAAAAATATAGCTGTCAAGATTTACGACATCATTCCTAAAATTATCCAGTCCATTTAATATACCCTCGATTACCACCAAATAACAGTGTTTCCCCGTAAAACGACAATTTACAAGTGTGTCAGGAATATCATCGACAGCTATTAATCGTAAATTTAACAAGTGTGTAATTAAATGCATGATAAGTAATACGTGTAAGTTGCAATTTTATTCGCGTTTGAATTCCGTCGAGGTATCCCAGTATTGTGGCCCATTATAAACGTCCCTCGTGTACCAATCTCAAGCACGCACGATAAATATGTATGGATAACGTGGCTTGAAAAACCCGTTCAAGTAGATCATCCTGGGTGATACGCAAGAAACAATCAGCTTCGCGTACATATGCAGTTGAAATTGAATATTTTTAACTTGAATAACATTTGCTAGGTTTAATGGGCCATCAAACGATTAAATAATTCCCTCCCGTGTTGCATAGAAATGAGCAATTAGCACGTAAAATTCTCTCTACCTACAACACCAAGAATTAAAAAATCTATACTCATCTGCCCTGAAGATTTTACAAATTAATCTGCACCAAACGCCTCGTAAAGTTGTATCTTTATATTGGACGGATAATAGTCGTCTGTACAACCTGTAGCGCTGGCTGGAACGTTAATCCGTTGGAAGGTCGTGTGTCATCAGTGAATATAAGTTTCAGGCGAGAATAAAAAAAAAATGTCAAATCTCGGAAAAAAATTCCCGAGTAAATTATTTCCCATGGGCGCGCAAAAAGATTGAATATTTTGAGGATATTCCGGTAGCTTTCACAATTCAATTTAGAGGAGAGTACAGGTTTAGAAATTTTCAATTAGACACAACAGGATGAACAAATGAATGAGGACACTAAATAATTCTTACCTCAAGAATTTTCATTCTCATCGAGCTAAAAAAAATTAATATCTTTGTGTGGCATCATATGCCACTGAAAGAGCCTTTATAAATCACAATCTCGAAGTAATATGTGCCCCCTCCCCCTCCCCCTTGGTAATCACCGTTCGCCTCCATCGTGGGTTTCAACAATCCCCCGGCACTCAATCTAGAAAACACATTCCAACCACCTTGTACAATTTTCGGTGTTGCTCCGGGTTGTTCGCCTATCTGCACGCAAAACAACCATCGCTCCTTCATTCATCATTTCCCCGCGCCTTAAACCTCCACAACCATCAAATTCACCTCTCAGAAATATAATTACATTGAGCGCACGCTTCACCATTCCCTCTTTCTTCGCTCGTTAAAAAAAGGTGAAAATGAAAATGTAGGAAAATAAATAGAATATAATTCGATAGCTCATCTGTATTTGCCCACACATCGCCACAATTTATCGAATATTTATTTATTAATCTATTCTACCTGCGGGAGGATATTAAAGAGATCGCCCGTGGACTCTCAATCCTTCTATTTGTTTCTCATTAAAGCGATCGCATTAATCATACGTATGAATGAGCGAGAAGCTCTGCGTGTGTGGGACATTATCAAGACCGAGAAATACTCCATCATTCAACTAAATTCCCCAAAAATAGTAGGTAATTATTAGCTCGCGATTCATCCCTGTTCTTCATCTGGGTACTTACAGCCACTTGATGCTCGCCCCTCCGTCAACAGACAAGAGTAAAATAATAATGATCACAGGCCACGGTGTCTCTTCGCACTTTGTTACATGCATTTTTGATGTCTTGCTGCTCTTAATTAATCCTTACATCCTTATTTGGGGAAGCCCTCGATCTTTATGTCTTTGAACACATGATAATGCCTGTTGTCACTGATTGTCGCCGGCCCACATGTACATTTTCATCACTAGTTTGAAATAATCCTTGCCGCTCGTCTTACAGGTGTCCGAAAATTCAAGTGTCTCACTCGGTGGTAAACTAGATTGTGATGGTTGTACCCCGCGATTTTGATGCCGACTTGGTGGATGCGCGGTCTATAGAGTCGGCGCGGGTAGACGAGATCCTGAGAAGCAAAGTCCTCGAGTATCGAGTCAGGATACATACTGACAGGGGCAACCACGTTGAAAGTCAGGATGCGTGGAGATGGTGGAAATGAAGGAGGGTCCAAATTCATCCCCACCATCGTGCTCTCGAGTCAATCCAACCACTATCCAATAACCATCTGTCATCCGTTTCCTCCTGGACTCATTCACAATTTTTTTACGTTTCAAAGTTAAACGCGCACCACCTATTCTATCAACGGGGGAGTTGAATGTGTGGAGTACCCACCCCACACGTTGAATCCTTACAAATGATTTACACCGTTTTATTGGTAGATGGGGGGGGGGGGATACCTGTGGAGAGCACCTTGACGACTCAATTTCAATTTTTGGCCCAGTGAAATTAGTCAATGGAGATGTGTTTTTGTTTAATGAAACAAGACTTGATTTTTTTTCTTTATCATTATAAAAATTACACTCTCAGGCATGCTAATAAATAAATGAATAGTTTGTTTAGTCCTGCAACGGACTGGATTCTCCCATTTCAATGGAACCTGAAAAACACAGGTAGAAAAGAAAAACGTATCAACAAAAGAAACCGCTCGGGTAATTATCTCGGCTTGCCCAAGGTAGATTCCCCAACTCCGCCCTCCCATATTCCTTCAGAAGAATATCAACCGACATTGTTACATTTAGCCAATTCAATTGTAACTCTTAAATTGGACGATCAATAGAGGAATACAGTAGATTTTGAAAAGTGAATCCTCTTTGCACTCAACAAGCCCAATCGGCTCAAGTCATCCTGCTCCCCCCCGCCCTAAAATACCATTCATATTGATAATTAGTATGATCGTGTTCACAATACCAGAGCTTTATTTTACTTTTATTTTTTTTTTTGCCTGCTTCACCTTCCCATTTTTTTCCTCTCTCCCCCATTCTTTGCCTCAATTTCTCTTTCTCCATTCTACCTTTCTCAATCTACCATTCTTTTCTCTTCCACTCCCACCACCGACCGATAAATAATCCTCTGTCAGACGTTCATTACGTCGTTAAGTTTTCGGCCCAAACTTATCCCGCACCTTCACTCCACCGGCCAGCCTATAATAAGTACTTGTATATAGCAGTATACCTGCTGCTTCTTCCTCCTTTTTTTCCATCTTGAGTTGCTTACAAAAAACCGTCGTCATCAACGAGCCATTTATACTCACCAGGAAAATAAATTATTAAATTTCTCCGCGGATGGACGTGCGGTTATTGTAAAAAAAATGTCCATCAGTAAAACGGAAAAACAATAATTAATTAGTCAATGTCAATGGCTTCCGTTTTAAATGCTCATTCTTGTGGTTGGTTTATGCAAACTGCTCTGCAGAAGAAACCGTCAAAGACAACGTTGGGGGGGATGAGGAGGAACGGGACAAATGGTAGCTCGTTGAAGAGGGGGAGAGTATAGACAGAAGCGCGACCGAGAGAAGAGCGGCAGCTGCGAGTTGGTGCGGCTATTAAAAGCGACTTACCCAACCCCTCGCGAGCGTCCGCAACCCCCAGAGTCCACATAAACATATATATATTCCACAGGGCAAATGCTTCGCGATTTTGCTGTCAAATGAAGCGTGACAAGAGGCGCAAGGAAGTCGGCTGAATTTAGAGTTGAAGAACACTTTCTCCTAGGGACGAAACAAAGAGACAAAGCCCAATGTCATTGAGTGCGAATGAATGAAGATTAGTGTATGGGCCATTCTAACAATATCCAGCGGTTGGATTGGACGGATCGGCATTAACCGCTTTACCGTGAATAATTGAATCTCTTTTTTCACATGGCTTGCCTATTAGTCCCGGGTGCTGACGACTGCGGAAAATTGCCTAGAATGCGTGTGACATGGCTGTTATGTATACGTTACAATATCAAGATCAAGAGATCTCTGTGGAATCAATGGATGTAATTAATGCACCCAATGCACCCAATGCTACAGCCAAGGCGCTAGGGGAGTGGTTATTAAAATCATATCAACCTATACAACTTAACGATTAGCGATTCTCATCTACATAATGTCGATACAATGACCCAACTCAACGGTGCACAAGTTGCTGGAAAATGAGAGTCAGTCAACATTTTTCCTTCATTTTCACTTATACATGATTCATCAATTTTTATTTCAATACTGAGGGTTTTAGTAATGGAAAAATCTCTCATTTATTTTACTGAAGGTATCATCAAATTTACGCTGAGTTGCCTGATGCGCTGGCAGCCAAGGCATCCAGGTGCCATTGTGATACATTGGAAATGATCTCGTGTCAACGGCTGTATTTGTCTGATTTATAAGGACGCTTCGATAGCCCTCTATGATATCCTCCAGCAATTCTACCAACTGAAATATTCATCAAATAATATCACTGAAATCAGAGTTGTAAAACAGAGGATGAAAAATGATTAATCATCGTGTCACTCACGTCAGGATGATCGCTGGATATGTCGGTTGTCTCGCAGGGGTCACTGCTGAGATTGAATAAACACGTTTCGGAGCAGTTGGCGATTTCGGTGAAAGGCTTGCAGACGATTTTACTTTTCGCCCGAAGATCGAGCATTTTCCGGGACTTTGTGAGGATCCCCGTCGTCCTGAAAATGGCTCGGCTGCTCGGGGAAGACATGACTTTTTCCAAGTCGTAAGGAGGGGCTGAGGGGTCTCCGTCGTCAACATTGTTACCCGAGTGGCCGTCGTATAACGGCATCGCACCTTAAATTATTATTATTACCATTATTATCCCATTATAACAATTATTTTTTACAACGAGAAATAATTACCTTTCTTGAGAAGTTTGTATCCCCCAAGGATAGCCGCTTCTCGATCGACAGTCTCATCGATATTGACGAGCAATGATTTTCTATTACCAGATTGTCCTCGTTTAATTGTAGGCCACTGATTGACACCATCAATGATACCGAGGTCGTTGACATTACCGCCAGCTGCATTGTACAGCGTTGGCAGCCAATCGGTCATATGAACAAGGTCGTTAACAATTCTCCCCGGATTCCTTACGAGTGGTGAGTACACACACGCCGCACCACGCACCGCCCCCTCATAGAACGACAACTTTTGCTGAAACGTTATTTCAATATATTGAGCTTGTTTGTTGTTTGTGCTTGGCCAATTTTTTTTTGAGTAATGACCTACCCCACGGAGAGGATAATTGGATCCTCTATTTTCATGGAGGCCGAATGTCGGGGCGCCGTTGTCAGCGAGGAAGATGACGATCGAGTTTTTCAATAAATTTTTACTGCTGAGGGCTTTCATGACGCGTCCAACGGACTCGTCCAGTGCAGTCATCATACCTGATGACAATAATTACATACGTGACAATCTTCTCCCCTCTCTACCTCACATGAAACAAGAATGAGTTTCGATGAATACCTGCGTATTTACGGCGTTTAATATCTTGTATGTAATGAAAAGTTTCATTAACCGCAGTGAAATTCCTCGTCTCCAGTGTTTCGGTGGCATCACTGGCGTGCGGGGCGAGGTGAGAGAACTGCAGATACAGCGGACGCCGGCCATCGTGCTCTTCAATAATTCTCACAGCTTCATCCGTGAAAACATCGGTAACATATTCACTCTGGCCAGTCCAATCTGGTTTGAGTTCCGTTTGATTATCACGGTGTATATCGTAGCCAGTCTGCCCCTGTCATTACGTAGATGATTGTTTTCCGCAATTAAAGATAAGGAGTGAATGGGATTGTCTCTTGGAGCAACGAATTATATAACTCACGCTCTGTGTTATTGTGTGATTGTAGTATGTGATGTAACCGCTGTAGTATCCAAAAAACGTGTCGAATCCTCGTCTCGCCGGTGTGAAGTCATCACTCTGATAGCCTAGGTGCCACTTACCGACGAGTCTCGTGGAGTAGCCAAGGTTTCTCAGATACTCGGGAAGTAATTTTGTGCCCAATGGAATACCACGGGGCTCCCCTGCCCGCAAGGGAAAGCCTTGCATACCTATTCAATTCAAAATCACAAACATCGAAACATCACAATAATTAGGACCCATTGATGAGAGTATACTTCAAAACGGGGGAGTTGTTTGATGAACGATGAAATAAATTCAACTGTATACTGAAACGCTCGGTACGCGTGCCTGGAGATGTCAAGAATTGTCTTAATGCCTCGGTCATGTGAGACACTCGCGTGACAATCACATGATACAAGTAAATGTCCAACAATTTAAGACATCAATAATCGAAGAATGGAAATGCCAAAGTTACTGTCGCATCGATTATGTGTGTGGTGTACCTGCTCTGATGGGGTAACGCCCTGTGAAAAAAGCGGTCCTGGAAGGTGTGCAGATCGGCAGAACGTAGTGACTGTGTAGAATCACCCCGTTGTAAGCCAGGGCATCGATATTCGGCGTTGGGATCTCATTGGAACCGTGATAACTGACATCATTCCAGCCCTTTAAAATTAAATAATTGAATTAATGAATGGCGTTCGTTTTGACATTGCACCCGGATTTGAGAATTCTCACGAAATCATCTCCCACGATTGCTATAATATTCGGACGCTCCCGAACTCGCGCTGCACCAACGGAATGAATTGATATCGCGTCACATATTAAAACGGCTAAACTGAATTTTACAAATGATGCAGTAGAACACATGTCGATGGTGTGAGCACTCAGTTCGTAATGTTTCACCGTTTGAAAAGAATAACACTCTCACATTTGCATGAATTTACATGAAACATTTTTATTTTACTGGTACATAACATTGCTTGCCGAGAACTGGCCTCGTCACCTAAATAAACAAGTTCTTAAAGTGAAGAGAGTACTCACCATATCATCAGCAATAATGGTAATAACGTGAGGTTTCCCAATATCTGCATCATCGACATCATCCAATTCAAATGTTATCACAAAGTAAAGACACAGTGAAACAGTCAGAATGCAAACTAACGCGACGAATATTCTAATTGTCCTCGACATCTTTGTGGTGTACATATTGAGTAAGCTCCCGGACGGGCGTTGATAGCGAATGAATGTTATTTTAACTCTTATGTTAGTCCAAGATAGTGTGACCTCGTCAGTAGTAAAAGTTTATATCGATATGCTTTCTCGAACAACAGGGAAGCGCGCCCAATGACTTTCACAAATTTTCAACTTGTAATTTTTGATATGATGATATTTATCGTACTTTTCATTTTTCCGTGACCTTGAGGACTCATTAGCCCTGACATAGAGTTGCAGCTTGTTGCACGCTGGGATGCGACTCATTCAGCGACTAATTCCTCACTGGATATCAGCGCGCGGCAGCTGGAGATGTACTTCTCTATTTCCACGACGAATTAATCCATTACGTAATATTTAGAAAATCATTGCGTGGACGAGGATTAACAAAAAATACCATGATAAAATTCAAAAATTGAGTATTTTTTATTTTTCACGGACTGATAATGGCAACAGTGATTGACTAAATGAATAATTTAATTAAATAAAATCGTTAGTTGCTATAATGGTAAATTAACTTAATTGATCATTGATAATTTACTATTCAACGTAATTGACGTTACATTCGAGTATCTGTAAATCGATAGAAAATGGCACTTCTTCTATTCGACTCCGGGAACCTATTTTTATTGAGTCAGAGGAACGCTCGGAGACCTACGATGAGGAGTACCATTCCGATATGTACACAAACTGCTAGAGTACTGATAACTGTTGCTGCACTGCCATTGTAACCGTAACGACTTTCGTAGAGATTTGGGTGCAGCCAGGGTACCCACGTGCTGTTGTGCCTGCGAGGATCTGCGTTCCAATTTGTTGGAATATTTGGCTGTTTAGTAAGCATATTTCCGTATCTTTCTAGGATTGAATCGAGCTCTCGAACAATCTGCGCAACATTATAATAATATTAATGTTTTGACCTTTTACATGGAAATAGAATGCGCGTCGTTTTCAGTATGAAAATAACTTTCAAGATACGATAGAAGGGAAATCAAATGAGGAAGTTATGAACTTGCGTTTCGATCGCGTGCGCAGTCTGTATTTTTTCCGGTCGTGTGGGCTTATTGTCAGAATTAGTCTGTGAGTTTATGAATATATGGATCAAGTATCGTTTCTGTCTATTAAAAATCCAATGCAATAAAATACTTTTGCAAACTCGTTGCGTAAAATATTACAACACAGAATGTTCTAGAGAACATCACCTCACCTTTGGATGTAATCTCGCGATATTATCCACCTCACAAGGATCCTGAACGATATCAAAAAGACATTCCGTCTCATTGCGACAGGGATTGGTGCCGTTGATCCTGAAAAGTCTCATGTCCAGGCATTTAGAGACCCGTGCTTGCTCTCTCAATTTTGACATACCACTCTGGGGCACAATCGGATGCCCAAGATGCGAGTGAATAGCACTGACAACAGCGCTGCTGTGCACCATGTTATAGTCATAAGCAGGTACATTGACATTCTTTCCACTGCTTCCGAAGTAGTAGTCATTGTTTCCCTCATCGGAATGGCCTCGAATGAGCTTGTATCGACGAAAGATGGCGGCTTCCGTTTTCTTTCGCTCGTCAATGTTTATGAGGAGGGACTGTCGCGGGGCCTCTGTATCCCGGCTGAAGTGGTCCCAATAGTCAATACCGTCGACATCCCCCAGGTCCCTCACATTTCCTCCTGCAGCTCGATACAGAGTTGGCAGCCAGTCTGTTATGTGCATCAAGTTGTTGGATACTTGGGCCATTCTTCTGAGTCTCGGGGACCAGATGGCTGCGACACCTCGGACTCCTCCCTCGTACAGTGAATACTTGCCCTTTGACATATTGTCAATTTATAATTAACTTTAAATGCATGGGAGGGGAGGATAATCAGTGCACTTACACCGCGCAATGGCCAATTCGATCCGGCATTTCCCTCTGCACCCCCGGTTGGAGCACCATTATCAGTCAAGAAGACGATGATACTGTCATTCAGCAGTGCGCGATCACCCAATGCAGACACAATGCTTCCCAGAGATGTATCGATCTCTGATACCATCACTGGAATTGAAAAAAATATCACCATTTTTTTTTTCAACTTTTGCTTGTCTACTTCAGAAGATGTAACGGTCATTTGATTTGAATTCTCACTGGCGTATTTGCGTCGTTCTCCATGGAGATAACTGAAATTCTGATATCTGTAGCCCCCAAAATAGCCGTCGTGCGGTGGTTCCAGGGGTGCGTGGAACCCAAGATGATTGATTTGGAGATAGAGTGGACTCTTAGGATCGTGACGCTCAATTATTCTGATAGCTTCCTCGGTGAAAACTCTGGTCACGTACCGTTCGCGGATATCATGGGCAGGGCCATCGCCTCGCTGCAGATCAAAGCCCGACATGTTCTGCAGAACAAAAGCGCTCAACTGCAATGAATGAATTATTTGACGAAACAATGAGAATTACCCCATCGCGGTAGTAGTATTTGTACTGAGAGATGTGGTCGTTGTAAAAGCCCAGGAACGAGTCAAATCCACGGTGCTGAGGGGTGAACTGAGGAGTTGGAAAACCAAGGTGCCACTTCCCAACGAGTCTAGTTGAGTATCCCAACTCTCGGAGGTACTCTGGGAGGATTCTGATATTGAGGGGAAGTCCTCGAGCATCACTACCTTTCAGACTATCTCCTTGCAGTCCTAAACAACAGCATATTTGCAATTGGAATAATTCAACAAAAAAATAAAAGAGAAAAAGTACTATTTGAATATACCCATTCGAATGGGGTAGAGCCCGGTGAAGAAGGCAGCTCTCGCAGGTGTACACGACGGCAACACATAGTGTCTATTCAGAATAATCCCATTGTACGCCAATGCATCAATATTGGGCGTCGGTATTTCATTCGACTCATGAAACCCCACGTCGTTCCATCCCTACAATACATCCCAAGAAAAACCGTCCCATTAAAACCAACAACTCATCGCACAATTAATTCGCCCTGATGGAAAATTACTTGAGTCTCAAGTTTCATTAGCCCAATGTCTCAGACCGTGCAGACGCGCATGCAGTTGTTACGTATCGCTGGAATTTTATTTGTTGTTTCCAATTAAATGAGTCACTCTTGTATCCTCATTTTGTGTCGTGGGCGTTGATAACGCAGCCCATGTAAATTGTCTTAAGTAAGTCTTGAGTGAGGCTTTTGACATGCAGTTAAAACAGTCTTCCTCGCTGCAATTATTAATTGTACGTGTAAAAGTTTCGAGAATAGGAAAGATCCGTTCGGCTGTTGCATTGGAAAATTTAACAATTGTGTTTCATTTTAATAACAAACGTTTTTCTATAGAAAAAATTAACAAAAAGGTATGAATAGAAATTTTTATATCTTGCGAGATATTTATAAAAAAAAAGTAAAAAAATAGTATTACCATATCGTCCACCATGAAGACAATAATATTCGGTGAAGCCGGAAATTGTCCCGAAGAACTCGCCAAAAACGTTCCCAGCAAAAATGCAACACATATCCTCGGAGAATACGACTCCATGATTTTTGATAAATAAAAATCGAATCGAATCACTATATCTACGTGGCACCGCTTATTATCTCGAAACGGTTACGAGGGACTTCTGATACTGAAGGGTAAGGTCAGATCATGGTGCTGGACCGTGAGCACAACTGGAGTGTCTCCAGTGGGTCCTCTGGGCTTATATATGTCCACCCACGGTTGCAAAGATGAGGGCCTCTCATTGACTGGATGCCGAGCACCACATCAGGGATGTGATACATGCCTTCATTAATGATTGCGTTAATCAGAGGGATTAAATGCGTGAGTTTACTTGCATACGTTCCTCACCCGTGAGGAAGTGTTATTTCGTTTATTAATCCAATGACACTCTGATTGATTGATCAAATTGATCGATTAATTCATTGTTGTCAAAAATAAAATTTTGCATACACAAGTAGTCTCTCAATAGGTCACGAAATAGATAAATCAATACATAGGATGATTAACAAAAAGAATAAATTATAATTCGAAAATTCTGGTATAATAGGAGAGCTATAAAGTTTAGTATTTTTTAAATTATTTTTGTTATGACGATGCCCAAGGCACCATAAATATCCCCTTCGGCGTCTTTACTCATTCACTTGTTGATCTTATTCATAAGTCCCTATAATTACACCGAGAGAAGGCCTCGTGCGTCGCCCTAAGGTCTTTAAGGTCAAGTAACGTTAAGTAGGGATGCCAATTAGTTTATTCATCATTTCCTCGACCTGCCGAAATAGATTCTTTCATGTACGTGTGGAGTGATGCATCTTCAAATTAATCTATAATCCTATCTAATCATTAGAAAAACGACTAGACTCAGTCCACAATTTTTTCCACTTATTTTTTTTTCAATTTGTGCAATTGAAAAATTGCTGGAAACATGGAAAAATGCATGATCAACGGAGAAATCAAATACCGAGCAGATGGCGCCTGCGGATTTCAATATAGTCCCGCGAAGAATTGTGTGACATAACCTCGGACTTGAGAATAAAAAACAAACTCATCTATTCGATATTGAGGAAATGTTGAGTTATTACTGCAATGTTCTCAACAAAAAAGAGATTAATAGAGAGAACTGGATACAGTGATGTTGGGAGATACGACTACATGAAATTATTGACAACAGAATTCAAAACAACATCATCCGCAGGTATTTCGGAGCATCGAGCGATGACAATAGTCATCAGAGAACATTTCGTTCCATTTGGTTGATTAATTTTTTCCAGAAGCTAAGCGTCAAGTTCTGGGAAACCTCGCAAATTTCGCTTACGATCCCGTTAATTACGACTACATCCGGCGATTGAACATAATTGATTTGTTTTTATGCGTCCTCTCTGAGGGTGACACGATCCTCGTGCGATTCGCTATTGGAGGACTCTGTAATTTATGTTCAGGTGAACGGAATCTATTTAATGTCGAGAGCGTATTGATTTCCAAGTGCGCATTGATGTGTTTTAATTTTTTACAGATCCTGTGAACAAAGAGTACATTTTACGTAATCGAGGAGTGCCACTGGTATTCTCGTTATTACGATCGGCTGATGAAGAAACTGTCCTGTCAGCGATAACAACGCTCACGTTTTTAGTAACAGATACCTCAAAGACTGAAATTATTACCCCTCAACTTGTCGAGCAATTGGAGATATTTAAAAATTCAACGAATAGTAGAATTAAAAATTTGGCATTGATTTTTTTGAAGGATCATTGTGCCTCCAGAGGGAGTGAACATAACTAATTGATTAATGCTATGAAATTATTTAAATTGCTCAATACTCAATTTTTTAAAAATGTTGCAACGAATTAAATTCTCCGGACAATTGATCAATTCTTGTATAAAAATAAGGACCATTAATTATGAAGCAAGACAGATTTTAAAAGTTGGTTCAAAGGTGTCTGTAACGAGACAGATAACAAAAGACGACATAATCACCTTTTGTAGATTAACAAACGATTACAATCCAATTCATACGACAAGTGAAAAACCAATTGTTCATGGAGCATTATTGAACGGATTGTTATCCGGAGTTCTGGGGACAAAATTGCCGGGGCCTGGAACGATAGTCCTTGAACAACAATTGCGTTATAAAAATCCCTGCTACGCTGGGGACACAGTGGAGATAATGGTTCAAGTACTAGAAGTGAGAAAAATAATTAAATGTGGGTATCAACTGGTAGCTAATGCCGAAAGAATTGTCCTGGAGGGCGAGGGGAAATTCATCCTCAGTAGAGTTAATAATTCTGGAGACCCTGAGGCAATGCAGAATGTAGAACAGACGATGTGACGTACTAAATGAGACTAAAAGTGGGTCTGGCTAAATGCAGAATTGCACATTTGGAATTTCATAAATTGTTATTCGTTCAATTCAGTGTTACAACATTGGCATTGCTGATAAATACAAGTGGATTTTGAAAGAGGGCTCATTCTGTCGTTGTGTCAGTGACAAGGAGAATTTTTAACCGATAGGTAGATCAGATTCTACCCTTTCGTGTAGTTTTAATTCAACGTGATAGGGAATAATACAACTCCATTTATCGATAGCTGATTTTATCATTGAAAATCAATCATCAGAGGATCATCATGAACCTTTCAAAAGCAGTCTTGCTGCTCTGCATGTGTGTGGCACTTACTCTTGCTCAAGACGAGAACGACTTAATGGCCATGTCCCCTCCAGAAGTGACTACAGATATCATCACAGACGTGTCTACAACAGAAATTCCTGTGGGATGCATCTGTGGAGTTTTCTTGAGCGGTCAGTTCAAGAAGGGACACAAGGAACCGCCCAAGGGGAATCCTGCTCTCCTTCACGAGCACGCTGAAGCCTTCCCCTGCACACCAGTTGGCAATAAATTGTGCACCAACAAATGTCTCGATGCTGTAAGTTCAGTTTATTAAAAAACTTCACTATCGCGTTGTATTTAAATCTCTCACGATTGTTTTTATATCTAGATCGTGAAACATTTACCGAATAGTCCAGCCATCCTCTGCGGCTCCATTGATCGTGACTGTCACAAAGAAAGGGTGAGTAAAAATTAAGCTTTATTATTCCATCTTGTCTTGATTAATTGCAAAATAATATATTTTTATTCCAGGCATATCTTTTCATCAAAAATTGTAAAGATGAGTGGGTCAACACCAACTTGTCAGCTGGTCGAGAGTACTGTTGCAAAGACGGTATCCCCTACAAGTGTCCCATCCTTAGCTAAATCAAATCACCAACGTTTTCTAATTTTATACCGACAAATGAATAATTAATTCTCGTGAATATCCATTGAAATCCCTCGAATAAAAGTCTATTGAGCGTTTAAAAATCTTGTCATTCGAAGATCCCGCCGTGTGTCTAAATATAGCCGAGTTATCCCAAATTTTCTCCGCACGAGATCTCATGGATTTCAGTCACGTCTGTGCAATCTAAATTTAGTTTGACAAAAAATATGTAATTTGCAATTTTCCAGCTTCAATTGCACGAAAAAATTACGTACACCACTGTAAATCCATGAAATGTTGGAATTATTTTCTGAAATGATCGAAATCTGATGAGGTTTTCTCATTACAGTGAATAATAATAATTTTTCGATTAATCATGACAGTTTTTCGTTGTCGTGAAGTGAAAAAGTGATCGGCCCTGATAATAATCAATCAATGAGATGACAATAATCACGACAATGTGTACTCAGCTCTTCTCCTGCCCACTGTGCACCCAGCCGAGTTTCAATTCCTTAGATTCATTGAGAATTGGTCTCGTGAGTGTGGCCACACGTCCACTGACATGTCCCATCTGCAACGACACTGTCCTAGGTATAGACAAATTGACAATTCACCTGTTTGGTCATACCATCATTGACAATAGATCAAATGAACGTGAGAGATCTGAAGCCAAAAATCGACAAATCGTCAAGATAAATGGATTCGAAGTAGCCGATTCTGGGGGAAAATGTGGCAATCCTGTGATTATTCTCAACGAAACATCCTCAATTCTACATCTCAAAACCTCCCAAAACGTCAGAGATGATTCCTCAATTCCTAGACAATTTATTGCGACTGTTCCTGTGGTATTCAATGGAATGAGAGAAGAAACTAGTGATGAAACTGAGATGAATGTATTGGGTGCTGATGCTGTCTCGCAGGTAGAGACTAATCCCTGGAAGGGGAATTTATTGTCAGAAACCCCTGAAGACGTTAATCCTGACAGATTTAATAACCGAAATATTGACGACATTACGAATATCGAAAAATCGACGAGTGAAGTCATTCCCAGGAACATTATTTCGTCATCAGAAGTGAGTCTGCACATTCCAGAGCCTTGCAATGTTCATGCGTCAAACGCCAATGCGAAATGTCATGACGAAGAAGTTCAAAGTGACTTATTAATTCTCAAAGAACACTCTGAGGATCAGAAATCATCATCGTTGATGAATGGAACATTGAATGAGAAGAGGGAGAGGTGTAATATCTGTGGCTTGAGCCTGGTGAATCGGAATTCTCTGATATTACACAAACAACTTGCCCATAAAATTGCTGCCAAGGATTGTAACATCAAGCCTGAGGATCTTTTGAAAAATTATCCTTGCCATTTGTGTTCTAAAGTTTTCAAGATGAGAGGGAGTCTCATGATTCACATGAGAGTGGCACATACAGGAGGTAATTTAGGTAAAAAAGAAGACATTATTTTTAATCAAGAAGAAGAATTATTGAAGACGATTGCGATAACCCTGGGCCATTATTTCTAGCGACCCTGGGAGAGGAGCGAAATTCAGATGGAGGATTCAATTGTCCTCTGTGTGGAAAGAATTTTAAAAAGGTGAGATATGAAGAGAGATTAGTTTTTGGGAATGTCTCAAGAACGTTGAGATTATTTTTCAACTGATTTATGAATTTAGGAACAACATGTCACTCAGCACCTGAAGACCCACGAGGGGAAACAGTGGGAGTGCGATGTGTGCAGTAAAATGTTCACGACAAAGTACTTTCTCAAGAAACATAAGAGACTTCACTCTGGAGAAATGCCTTATCAATGCAATATATGCAACAAAACGTTTACATTTCAGCAGTCGTATCATAAACACAGGCTCTATCACAAGGATGATAAGCCTCACGCGTGCACAGTTTGCGGGAGATCCTTCAAGGAGCTCTCAACATTGCACAATCATGAGAGAATTCACACTGGTGAAAAGCCCTTTGCCTGCGAAACTTGTGGTGAGTGGGTACTAACGATGACAGATGAAATGAGCCAACTTGCTTTTTCAAAGACGTGAAAAATTTCACTATCGAATTAATCCTCAAAATTTTTAAGCTGTTTCACTTTCATACGCTTTATTGCTTCCAGTTAACACTAATATCCTCTAAAACTGTGCCACTTGTTGCTGTGCTGTTGAACTAAACACCAAGCATGGTTTGACATTTGATTCTATGGTAAGTGTTCAAAAAAAAAAGTCATTAATTTAATTATTCACTGTTTTTTTATTTTTTTATTTCCTAGGGAAATGTTTTCGGCAACGTGTGTCTTATCTCGTTCACAGGAGGATCCACACTGGGGTCATGCCGTACACATGTTCGGCGTGTGGAAAGAGTTTCAGATATAAAGTAAGATTTTTCATGAGTAATTCAATAGTCAAGTGTAATCAAGTTCACTTCAAGCTCAAGAACCTTTCGAATTCTGTTATTCAGGTCAGTCAAAGAACCCACAAATGTCCAGAGCAATCTCGAATGTCACCAGCTCTCGATCAAATACCGGAACCAACTACTTCTGAACCTCAAATGAATGCATTCGCATTGGATGAAGCAAATAAATTCGTGGTGATACCCAACCGCAATGGAGAGCCAACTTTAACCCGGGAGATGGACATAAACCCCTTGAGTTCAACAAATATATTCCACTTTACCTGTCATGCAGATCCACCAAAAATCGACGAAAGAATGGAGCCTGCAGGGGGTAAATCCCCTGGAGGTGTCCAACTGCCAGAAGACAATTCCCAAGATTTCCTCTCTCTAGTTATTTCACCCATGCAGAACGATCCATCCTCTCCCACCACCGAGATGCAACATCTGAGACTAGCCTCTCCAAAACAATCGGAAAATTTACAAGAATCTGATCAACAGTATCAAGATCCTTCAGACAATCTCCAGAAGGACTTGAAACACGCGATCGATGGCATTTTGAATGAACGAAATCGAGAGAATAGTTCGTTAGAGACGATAAACGAGGAATCGTTGAAAGAATTGCTTTATGGAATTAACAAAGCTCTATGAATACACGAAATTATGTAATTAACTTAAATTAGTGAATCATGCTGTTGAGAGTTCCTTTCTATTGTTGCATAAAATGTTTTTTTTTTTCATTGAAGTTTGATTTCAGCGTCGTCAACTGTATTTACGCGAATAAAATGAAGAATTAATAGTGATTTTACCATTCTATGGGAAGTATCATTCCTCACTAATAACATATTGTCTGAAATTTATTTGCAATTGATGTCTTCTAATTACTAATTTTTTCAAAATTTCTTCATCATCACCATCACAGCTCCATCTATCCGCGTTCCCCCAACCCCCTGATCAGCTGTTTTACCCAGTGAGGAAGGACCCCCTTCCCCTGAAAATACACGAAACACGACGGGACCAGCAAAGTCTCCCAAAGCGTGTAGATCGCACCTAGAACGTGCAGTAAGAATTTCTATTTCTCAGTACAGCTGTTTAGTCCCTCAACCTCTCCATTCTGGTAAGAGAAAAATCGATCCCTGAAGGAGGAAAAAAGCGAGCATCGAGTTGAAGTAAAAATTTGACTGAAAAAAAATGACAATTTAATTGTTTGATAATAGTTAGTCTGCACAGGCCGATGGGAGTCAAGGCTAACACGAGCTCAACTTGACAGTTGGTTTTTGCTGATATTTTCACACGTGTCCTCTTCGTACAACGCATTGCTCACGTTGCGTAACTGGAGGGTTCCATTTCCAGAGGAAGGAGCTCACCGTTTTTTTTCGGTGAGTTTTAAACTTTTTCCGTTGAATTGTACGCAGCAAACGGGAGATAACTACGTATTTATCATCGATTCGAGAAAGAGAGGAGTGAGATGATACGTTGGTATTACGCATTTGTTGGCTGGGGGGAGGGTTAGACTCATAAATTACTGGGAAAATTGACGTCTGGATTTTAATGTCAGTCTCAGGTATCGCTTTATTTGTAAAGTATCCAACGAATTCTCGGTATACGGTGAGGAAAATAATTGGGGAGGTCCTGCTGGGGAGTCGACCAATCGGTCGACGTCCCAAAGGTCGCCAGCATGTCGAGACCTGAGTGAGAGCACACAAAAGAACCTGCCCTGAACAGCTGTTAAAAAATCAATGTCGCCAAATCGTAGGGATTTTTCTACTTATTGGGTATTTAGGTTAATTACTCGTCGAGACAAATTAGGATCTGGGAAGATAACCTCCAAGAAGTGCTGGGGATTGTCAAATATTACATGATAATCTGGATTAAGGGCTGATATTTTATTTCATTTGAGAAATTTCTTTTTCTTACAACCATTTTTTTTTATTTTCACCTCGCTATTAACATTTTAAATTCTCTAGACATTTAAGAAATTAGATGGCAATTTTCACAATCAGAGGAAATAAAAAGGTTTCTTCCTAGAGAAAAATCAGAGCATCACGAAAATTATTCGATTTATTGCAAAATAGGATGAGAACTTTTTTCTGGAGAATTTCATACTCTACAACAAAGTCTACAAAAAACATTCTTTTATTCATTAATATTTCTTCAATCATTTCTCCATTAAAATTCACTCTTTTTTTCCATTTCTTTTTAATTTAAGTCCAATTAGGTACCCGCATGGCACGTCTTGTCAATATTTTTATAAATTAAAAATTCCCCGATATCGCTCCGCGCCATCCCCTCGACCTCTCGAATTTCCTAAAAAAAGCGAAATAATCCACGATGTCAGCCCTGTCAACATGTACACACATCGCACGCACTTCCACCGAAGGCTGGCTAGAACTTGAGGAGCTCCCGCACCTGCGCGTTCGCTACCTTTGGGTAATGCAACCAAAGAAACCCTCTCACTCGGTTATCCTCCACAATCCATTTGGCGAGAGCAAAATACGTGCACCAGTGACTCCCCACATAACACCGAGGCATCGAGCCCTCACCACAGACCCCCCCTAAACCAATTTCTATAAATCACCAATAAATTCTCAATAAAACAAAATAAACCGAAACGCCAATAATAATGAAGAAAAAAATATTCAAAGTGACCTCGAGACTCGGTTCCGTCTATTCGTCGGTGTGACGTGTTACCGAGTGGAGACAATCGAGTGCGATAATTTTTTAAATTTCCTTCAAGTCCATTTCATTTAATTGTTCATTCTGTCTTACTCCCTCTCTGTCTGAATAATTGTCTCTCCTCGTCGAGTGGGCGGAGCTCCCCTCGCCCTCCTCCAACCCCTCCACCGGATCCTAACCAACCTGAGCCCAGGCACATTCTGGTGATTCGGCTGTTCCGTTCAGTTCTATTCAGTTCTCAGTTTCGTCGGGATTCATTCCGATTCCCTCGGTCATTGTGTACATTAGATTACTCACACAACGTCGTGCATTCTGTTTTCTCTCTCTCATTTTTTCCTCTACCCCCCCCACGTTTTCATGAAAATACTCGAGTGATAAGTGTATAAGTGTGTATGTTCTCCCCATCCCTTCCCCCCAGGAGTGACTACAGTACGGCGTCGTGCGTCGTGCTCGATATACAATAATATTCACGCGTTTTTTTTTCGTGCTCTGGGGATATGTATCGAGCATGCTCCTTCAAGATTCAGGTAATTCCCTTTAAATTAACATTTTTTTTCAATTTAATCATGTGCAAGGGCACTTGTGCAAGCATCACGAGGTGTTTTTTACTCGGTTATTCTCAACGGAGAGGCTCACTGGCGACACACAAGTGTATTCGAGGTACGATGTAGTGGGAAAAGACTAAACTTGTCCTCCATTACTTTCCCAGAGCCAAGCAAATGGTGGCTTGCTCAGACTGAGTGAGGAGAGTCTTTGTTGTCCACCTACGTTGTTATCTTCACGATATTTTCATAAATATAATAACATTTGTGAGATTGTTCAGTTGCGTGTGATGCTGATGTCGTTGGCCTAGGACAATTGGAGTTATTACCATGCATTTTTTCGGAGTTCATTCTCCTTGAGGTGATTTATTTTTATTTCTGAAGTATTATTTATGTTTTTTTTTGTTCACTCGGAGAGACATAAAAGAGAGTAAAGTGCGCATTATGGCCATTAAATGGTCTGAGAGGGCATTTAAACGCTTTGCAGGGGGATAAATTTTTTTCGGCTTTTGTTGGTGAACGTGACGATATTCATCGAGAAAATTAAATCATATGTCATGTATGTGTGTTGTGAATTTCGTGTCATGCCTTCGGTGATAAGAATTAACGATAATTCTTCCATAAACACGAGTTCCATTGGTATTATCAGTTGCGTGATGAGGAATTGGTGAGAATATAAGGAATTTTGACTTTGTTACAGACAGAATAGTGGCATGCGTCGATTAATCTATGGCAGATCAACAAGATCAGTCGTCGCTCGGGGGGTCTGTAGAGAAGGCCAGTGCTTCAGCAGACGCCTCTAAATTACGGGGGAAGAGCAGTGGCACTAGTGGTTACAGAAAACGACAGAGTACACCGACAGTTGTTGCGACATTGGCGGAAAAACGGAGGAGACAAACTGAACCACAAACTTCACTGGTTTCTAGTGTTACTAGTAATACACACAGACGTTCGGTTGATTCGAGGGGCGAGGGTAAAAATAAAGGGGAGAGAAAGGGACATGGAGGTAGCGTAGGAACTCTCACTGGTGAGTCTTTATTATTTATTTTTCCATGATTTATTTATTCATTTTGTGAGGAGGAAAAACCAATTGTCATTTTGTTATCACCATTAAAGATATTGATTGGAGAGCACAGTCCAAGGGACAGCATTCCACGAGTGGTGTCAGTACAACGAGAAAAAATTCAACAAAACACAGTCAAGCTGAATATAATCCTGCCCCAATAGATTGCGTAGCGTCACGTACTCGTTCACGTACACCACAAAATCCACAAAGTGTTCAGGGAAGCAGTAGTTCATTCGATCACACATCGTCGACAGTCTACAACAGTAGAAAGTCATCGTCTGGAAATAACAATTTGATAGCTGTAGCGAGTTCATCGGTGAGCAATAATCCAGCGACATCAAGAGGAGGACGAGCTACAAAATCCCAAAGCACTGTTTCAAGCCACACAAACGGTGGTACGAGTAGTCAAGCATTGGGTGTCAAGTCAAGCATCAGAGTGGGTAACGCAGCTAGTAACTCTGTGGAGAGCGGTGGGGGGGCGTTGGCACATGACGGGGCAGGGACTAGTGGTGTCACATCCACGTCAGTTGTCAACCCCTCTGTGTCTGCCTCCACCAACTCGAGCCACCATCAGCCCACTCACAAGCACTTGCTGCGTTCCCGAGTGAAACTCCCCTCGGATCAGCCCAAAGAGTTGACCTCAAAGGTCCTCTCAAAACACAAGAAAGAGGCCTCATCCTGCTCGAGTTCTCGCCACCGTTCGTCCTCTCGCGCTCGTAAATCCTGTGACAATCCAACCTCCAGTGGAGGTGCTCTCATGTCAGCATCTGAATCCACTCCCACAACCCTTCCCACAACCACATCAGTCCCAAGTCAACAGACCTCAACCCCTGGAGACGAGGACTCTGCTCCAGCGACAGCAGCAGCAGCAGCCGCAGCAGCAGCTGCCAGTGGTGGTCCCTCTGGTATGTCGGGAACGACAGGTGACAGTGAGAGTGATGATGGCGAAGTTGGAAGACTCCAGGCGCTTTTGGAGGCACGTGGCCTCCCGCCCCACGTCTTCGGAGCCCTTGGCCCCAGGATGCAGCACCTCTTGAACCGAAGTATGGGCGCAAGTTCAGCTGCTAAGGCCCAACAACTGCTGGCAGGTCTCCAAGCTGTTGATGACGAGGGAGAACAGCTACAGGCAGTGATAGGAATGGGAGAGATTCTCGTCATGGGAAATGAAGATACACTGACTGGCTTCCCGGTGAAACAAGTCGTAGCAGCATTGATAAATCTCCTAGGAATCGAGCACAACTTTGTCATCATGACACACGCCTGTCGTGCCCTGACCTACATGATGGAGGCCCTGCCTCGATCGTCGACAGTCGTCGTAGATGCGGTCCCAGTGTTCCTACAGAAGTTGGAATCAATCGAGTGCATGGACGTGGCCGAACAGTGTCTCACAGCCCTAGCCATGCTCTCGAGAAGACACAGCAAGACAATCCTCCACGCCGGTGGTGTCTCGGCCTGCCTTAAATTCGTGGACTTCTTCAATATCACAGCTCAACGTGCTGCCCTGACAATAACAGCCAATTGCTGTCAAAACCTTCACCCCGATGACTTTCACCTGGTCGTTGAGAGTCTCCCATTGCTCACCAGTAGACTCACCAATCAGGATAAAAAGAGTGTGGAGTGTGTCTGTCAGGCGTTCAGCAGACTCGTCGATAGTTTTCAGCATGATCCTGTCATGCTGCATAAGATTATCACTGCTGAGTTGTTACAGAATTTACAGCAATTGTTGATGATTACACCCCCAGTCAATAGCATTGGGAATTTTATTACTGTATTACGAATGCTCTCTGTGATATCGAATCGTTGTCCCGACTTGGCACAGCTTCTTCTCCAGCAGAATATCGCTTTTACTTTGAGTTATCTTCTCACTGGATCGTTGGAGGTCAAGACTGAGGATGTTGACCTTGTGCCAAGATCCCCTCAGGAGTGGTTCGAGATCACTTGTCTCATTGAGGAGCTCATGCCTCCTCTACCCACAGATGGAATATTCAGTGTCAATAGTCTTCTAGAGAGGACTAATAATCAGCAGGAGACCGTTCACTGGGAGTGGAGGGACGAGAGACACTGCTGTCATCCCTTCAGCACTATTGATTCAAGAATCATTGAGATGGCTTTTCAGAACGGAGAGGACGAGATTTGTCTTTCCACTCTGGGGAGAACCTACACCATCGATCTGACTATGATGAAGCAAATCAACGAGGACATTGGGATGGCGAGGAGCATCTTCAGGAGAGTCATGACGGATACTGCCGAGGGGAAGAGTCCCACGTGCTTGGGGAATATGGATGTCGTACCACCGGTTATTGAGACCAATGAGTGGCTGGTGTCGTTCATCAGAACACTTTTCTCTGTACTATATGAAGTTTATAGTAGTTCTGCTGGGCCTGCTGTCAAGCACAAGTGTCTGAGGGCACTGTTGAGGATGGTTTACTATGCGTCCACTGATTTGTTGAAGGATGTATTAAAAAATCAAGTAGTATCATCCCACATAGCCGGTATGCTAGCCTCTCAAGACCTTCGAATTGTGATAGGTGCATTGCAAATGGCCAGTATTCTGATGAAGCGTCTGCCCCACGTATTTGGTGTACATTTTCACAGAGAGGGAGTATTGCACCAAGTGCGACAATTAGCCGATCCCGAGGTACCTCTTGGTGTATCACCACCCAAGTGCACTTCTGGTACATCATTGCCAAGTCCCCAACCAGGTCCATCCAATACACCATTGTCATCGACAGTGACACTATCATCTAGCAGTGCCACATCCCCAGTTGCTTCACCCACAACTAATGGAAATATTTTATTTGGTTCAATTGCAACTAGTCAATTGAGACCATGTCTCACAGCTACTATGGAAACTAGAAGTCGTACTGATTTGAGCTCGTCAGTTGAGGATGCTGCGAGTACACCACAAAGTGCCCACTTGTAAGTGATTAATTAATTCATTTTCTAAATTATCAGTCAAAAGACTCTCTCTCACTCTCCTTACTCTAGAATACTCCAGAAATGTTTTGCATCCCACTTTTAAAGCCCAAAAATCTCTAAAAATCCCCCTGTTTCAGAAGAATCGGAGACGTCCTAAAACGCAAACGCCAAAACAAGAAAGGAAGGCTCTCGCGTCTTGGAAGTGCCACTACCCCTCAACAGTCCCCCCAAGCGGAATCCCTCTTCACAGGTTTTGCCCAGAAGAACAATCGTTTCCTGGGCAACTTGAACCCAGCGCGTTGGGGTAGGAAATCATCCGCCTCGAGTGCATCAAGTGATAAACGAGACTCAACCTCATCAACAAGTCTCACCAAGCCCCCCAGCAATCCCAGTCTAACCGGTGGCAATCGCGATAAAGCTAAAACCTGGGTTCGTGAGCAGGCAGGACAATTTTTATCGAGATACCAGGATGATGCACCGTGCACCCATCCAGCCCTGACAGTCCTCTCTCGTCTGACTTCGGCAATTCAACGTCTCCAATCCAACGAACTCGACGAGATGCTCCCGGCCCTGACAGAACTCAGAGACATAGTCCTGGAGAGTGACATCTCACCCTTCGAGATGAACTACAGTGGCCTGATAAAAGCCCTCCTGAATCACCTGACGACAACAGACGCCCCAGGGAACCGTTACGATCGTCTCAGAATGTTCTGGAAGCTCTTCGCCGAGTCGACAATGCAGCAGGACATCAACAGTCCAACCGACAGTCCCATTGACATGAATCCAGGAGCCTTCGGTGCTCTCGTCAACAAACTCAACAGTTGTGTCGCACAGTTGGAACAATTTCCCGTCAAAGTCCACGATCTACCAGCGGGTTCTGGTGCTGGACGAGGTGGAACAAGTGCACTCAAATTTTTCAACACGCATCAGTTGAAATGCAATCTCCAACGACATCCAGATTGCAACAATCTCAAGCAGTGGAAAGGAGGCACTGTGAAGATCGACCCACTAGCCCTCGTCCAAGCTATTGAGCGTTACCTCATGGTTCGGGGTTACGGTAGAATCAGAGATGCTGAATCAATGGTCAGTGATGACGACAACAGTGAAGATGATATTGATGACACTCTGGCTGCTGTTGTAATCTCTCAGGGCTCAAAGCACAAGCTCCAGTTCCTCATTGGTGACGAAGTTCTGCCGTTCAATATGACGGTTTACCAGGCAGTGAGGCAGTTCAGCTGTGCAGGTATTGATCATTCTGAACCCGAGACGGACACAGAACCTCCACTGGGTCACGATGCTGTCTGGGTGCAAACCCACACAATATACTACAGACCAGTTCCAGAGGAGGAAACAACTAATTCACCCAAGCCAGGATCTAGCTCTCAGAGTACATCGAGTAGAAAGGGAAAAGGAAAGTCCACGAAGATCAGTTCCAAGCGTAAAGAGGACAGTTTGTGGCTGGAGGGAGCGGTGCCCCCACCTCGCTGCCCCCTGGTCCCTTATCTATCTCCAACCCTGCCATCAGTGACAATCTCTGATGCTTCCTTGGATGGATTGTGTCTCCTTCGACTGCTTCATTCCTTGAACAGACACTGGGGGGTCCTCTTCCCACATCTCAAGAGTGCATCTCTCCTGTCGTCTCAAGACTTTATCAATAATAAAATCGCAGCAAAGGCCTATCGACAGCTGCAGGACCCACTGGTCATCATGACGGGAAATCTACCATCTTGGCTGCAGCAAATTGCCTCAGTTTGTCCATTCTTGTTTCCCTTTGAGACTCGTCAGCTGTTGTTGTATGCCACTTCCTTCGATCGTGATAGAGCACTGCAGAGACTTCTAGACTCGGCCCCAGAATTATCTGGCTCTGACTCACAGGAGCGTGTCACTCCAAGGTTAGAGAGGAGGAAACGAACGATATCGAGGACTGATATCTTCAAACAAGCTGAACAGGTAATTCAGGATCTTGCATCGAGCAAGGCTCTTCTTGAGGTGCAATATATCAACGAAGTTGGTACTGGCTTGGGTCCAACCCTGGAGTTCTACGCTCTGGTCTCGAGGGAATTCCAGAGGGCTGACCTGGAGATGTGGCATGGGGCTGCTAATGAATCCAGCTACATTCATTCCACTCAGGGCCTCTTCACAAAGCCAACAGCCTGGAACACCAAGGTCCCAGCCCTCGCCAAGTTGAAGACGAGGTTCAAATTCCTGGGAAAGTTCATGGCCAAGGCCATCTACGACTCGAGGATGCTGGATCTGCCCTTCAGTCTGACGTTTTACAGATGGTTACTGGGGGAGGAGCACACTCTGACACTTGCTGACCTCGCGCACATATGCCCAGATGTCTACAGAACGTTGAGCAAACTCCAGGATGTTGTCAGGAGGAAAGAAGCTATCGAGAGGGATCAAACACTCAGGACCAACGAGAAGGCACAACTCGTCGAGATGTTGGACCTTGATAATTGTTCCATTGCCGACCTGGGGCTCGTCTTTGAGCTGCCGGGGTACGCGAACATCGAGCTGAGGAAGGGGGGAAGCGAGGTCCCAGTGACGATTCACAATCTCGATCAGTACATCAAGCTGGTTGTACACTGGTTCCTGTATGAGGGTGTCTTCAGGCAGATGGAGGCCTTCAGAGAAGGTTTCGAGTCGGTTTTCCCACCGAGCCAATTGAGGTTGTTTTTCCCAGAGGAGCTGGAGGCTGTGTTCTGTGGACATCATCAGAGTGGAGGACAGTGGGATGTTAAGACGCTGCTGGAATGCTGCAGGACCGATCACGGGTACACTCCAGATTCGAGGGCCATTAGGTTCCTGTTTGAGGTGATGGCTGAGTACAATAGTGAGGAGCAGAGACAATTCATTCAGTTTGTCACTGGGTCACCGAGGCTGCCTGTTGGAGGTGAGTACTTGTGGAATTTTTCATTGATTTCATGGTGGGATAAGGAGAATTGCCATGATTTTGTTGCTATAATAAATGCCATGTTTTTTTTTTTTTGTGAATTACAGGATTTAAGAGCCTTACGCCACCTCTAACGATAGTTCGCAAGACATTCGACCCATCAATGAAGACCGACGACTTCCTCCCCTCTGTCATGACATGCGTCAACTATCTCAAACTCCCTGATTACACAACCCTCGACATAATGCGCGAAAAGCTTCGAATTGCCGCCCAGGAGGGCCAGCACTCGTTCCACCTCTCCTAGAAATGGATCCCAAGTCATTTATTATTACTATTACATTTTTTTTCACGTGTTATCTCATTCATCTCTCGAAAGCCCCGTAAATATCTCAAGATACCAGTTTGCAGAGAAAAACGTCAACATCTCGAGCAAAAAATCTTCTTAATCATCACTTTCAAACTTTATCCATGAGAAAGTGCATTAATAATTTTGATAAATTTTTGATTCTGTGCCCCTGTCAATTTAAAATAATAATTTCCATAATCCCAAAATGTTCTCAGTCAGTTATTGAAAACTAAAGACCTTGGAAAATCAAATGGTCTTCGTTGAAATGAAAACAAGATATTCAAAAAAACATGATGAATGACAACAAACAAAACAATGAAGAAAAAACACGTAATAAGTTGTAAATATCTTAGTTATCTCAACATAGTTTGATATACGCAGGTTCATAACATAAAAATAACTTTATCATACCGCTACGAGGCACTGATTACTAACGGAATTATACATTATTAGAAATCAAGAGGACGTTTACTAAAGTGTAAATGATGGTTTTGTTTTTTTTCCTTTTTTTTTAAACAGTGGTGCATAATGAATTAATGTGCATCGCCAAAATTATCTTACCACGTGCTCCACGAGGACCCTGAGAGTGTGAACTAAAGATTATTATTGAAAATAAAAATGAAAAAACAATGTAAAAGTGGTTGAATCGGGATGGATGGTTGCATTGTTTCATAAGTAGTGAGAGTATCACGAAAAATGGAGTCTAAATGAATTCATGACATTCGTATTTCTCTTGTTCGTTGTGTTGTAATCGATCTCTTGTTTGTTCTTGCTGGTCAATTGGGGGACATCTTGGGAAAGGATTTGGTTCGCCCACTGTGACATGCGACAAACTATATTTAATTTCATCGATCTACCATTATATAAAATTATTTCATAATTTTTAGGTAAAATAGTCAAATTCATTACTTTATTTAGTCGTGTAAGGATATAGTTTACATTGTCAGACCATTTTAGATTTTTTTGTGGGGCAGAGCGAGATCGAGAGATGATTTTCTTTTTTTTTGTGGTTTTTGAGCGAAGGAACGAGCAGAAAATATTGCCTATTTAATTTTTATCATTGAAAAAGGTGAAAATTATTGGGTGGATTTAATCCAGTGAGTGGTCTGACGATGCACCGACTGTGTTTGTTACATCTGACTATGTTAAAATGTGTTATCCTGTAGCCTTTTGATAAAGTCCATTATGGCAACGGGGCGTGATTCGAAGAAAAAAACTTGCATATTGATATGAACGATTAAAATGGCTAAATTGATTATATTTATATCATTTGAGTAGTATAAAACGTTTTGATTTTACTTGAATACTGAATATTTTTTGTTTCCTTTGAGATCCTTGAATAAAACACCAATAGTAAGGAATTCCTTTCAGATTAGTGTGTAAATAACCTTTGTATTTATTATCGTTGAGATTGTTTTTATAAGCTACTAGGAGTATCTAATATGGAAAATAATGTCAGCAGGGAAGTGGTAAAATGTACCAGGGACAATTTTTTCGCTTGGAAATTTTCTCCTTCAGAAAAAAAAAATCTCTTGACATTTTCTCATGAAATATTGGAATTTCGTCAAGACAATTTACCACTTCGCTGCTGATCCCCTTGATGTACAATATTTTATCTCTTCACAAAACATTTCTCATTCTTAAACACATTTTCTTGCTCTCAACAGACCTTGTGGGTGATTATAATTAATAATTTATATGCACATGGTGAGCCAGCCCAGTATGAAGCAGGTTCCCCCAAATGGAGTAATTTTGCTGTAACGTTTGTCACCTGTGAAGGCGTAATAGTAACAACTTCCACAGAACATGAAGGTTCCAGAAATCCACAGGGCAGCAGTCTGAAATGAAATCCTCATTTAATTGGACGAGATAGGATAAATCAGCAGTAAAATTGTAAATGAGACTAGATAGATAAAAATGCTATCAGTTGTTTAAAAAAATGCAGCTCCTCTCCATTTCATAGAATGCATGAGTACTAACCAGAAGTGGTGCCCTGCACATAGCCAGCCCCACCATCGCCAATGAATGATAAAAATGATACTTATTGGCAGTCTCGAACACCTGCTTCAGTTCCTCATCCCGATATTTCCCTGGAAAATCAATAAATAATGTACAAACGTGTCTCAAAGGAATTCAGCGCTGATTTTGCAGCAGAAAATTCTCACTGTGAGCCCCGTATGCCCCGAGAATGACTGCAGCTGCTCCACTGAGTCCTGCAAGCCTCATATACGGTCCTGAGGCTGCTGCCAATTTCCATAGAGGTTCAGGTGGGATCATTTTGTATTCAACACGGGGCGTGAGGCCTGAATAATTGACAACCTGCAAAATTCGATGAAGATGCATATGATTGCACTCATCCACTCAAAACACATGGACAAAAATTATTAATAACAGAATGATCACGAATTCCGCCAAAACCATCTCCAAATGCCCAACGTTCAATTAATTATTGACACTAATTAATAAACTCGACATAAAAATATTATATTTCAGATTATCTGCATGATCTAGTGGACTTGAGGGACTTGACGAATAATACAAATACGAGTAATAAAGCTCAAATTATTTATTTATAATATTTTTTGGTAGAATTTATTGCAACTTACAGCTGATGCAGCGGTTTTCGCCAACGAACCGGCACTGGAGCTCACGGGATTGGTGAAAAGCACGTAATTCAGTGTCTCCGATATTCCCATTCCGCTCGATGTGCAAAGGTCAAGATATTTTCAAAATTCAAGACAAAAAAGCACTCGTATCCTTCAAAAGTCCGTCAATATCCCTCGATTATTTATTAATTACAGTTTTACTTGACTGCAATGTTTTATTTATTGACAATCATCTGGAAAATCTACGCACTGGTATTCAGATACATTTCATACGCCTGCGCAGATGTCCGCGCAGGCGCAGAAGGCCGCGCATGCGCAGAGGCAGCGCATGCGCGCCCCCACTACGTTTTCCCTCCAAATCAGCGCCATGTTAGATTCTAGCCAGTCTCTCGCGACGCGATGGCACGCTAGAGGTGCCCTCCCGACGAAAACATGAAAATTCCCGGTAATAGCCGACCCTCGTAGTGTGGAGAGTCGGCGCCGCGTCTGAACGTTGATAATGCCGGTATACAAGCCTCAGTTGAGGCCTCGTGTGGTGATTTTTTCACGTAAAAAAGACTTTTATGAGTTACATTGGACTAGTTGTGGGTTTTCCTTTGTCACAATGGATTCTCAGGACTAACAATGGCGGCCGGCATCTTTCCTTTGTCTACAAAACGGTGTTTATTGTGTCCAGTGAAGTGTTTAGTGTATCAGTGCGCGTTGATTGGGATATGTATCGAGTCCTTTATATAAAAGAAAGAAAAATAATTCATTTTTTCGTTGAACTGTGTCAACCCCGAGTCTTATGGCCAGTGCATTCTTTTCGTGCCTTTGTTCGCGGAAAATCGGATTTGTTGTGTCCTTGAAGTGTCCACTGGGGTGTTTAGTGTGTCGATTCGTGGAATTAATCTGTGGCGAGTGTTTTCTGTATAAAAGAGGGGAAAATATTTCATTTTTGCGTTCAACTGTGTCGATTTCGAGTCTTATGGCCAGTGAATTATTTTCGTGCCCTTTGTTCGCGGAAAATCGGGTGTGTTGTGTCCTTGAAGTGTCCGGTGGGGTGTTCGGTGTGTCGATTCGCGGAATTAATAATCTGTAGCGAGTGTTTTCTATAAAAGAGAGGAAAATAATTCACTTTTTCGTTGAGTTGTGTTGATTTTGAGGCTTGTAATAATTTTCAAAGGTTCCGTGAATTCCTTTCGTGTGTTTCTTGTTAAAATGCAGTGTTTGCTGTGTTCTCTAAATATCTAGTGGTGTGTTTAGTGTGTCCACCTGTGTAGTTTGTGATATATATTGAGTGTTTTTAAAACAATATAATGATTTTTTTCTTAGATTGGGTCAATTTCGAGTCTTGTGACATTTCTTTATGATTTATTATGAGTGGACGTAAAATTAAACGATTTGTGAGTGTAAGTGCGTTCCAGAGGATCAAACCAGAAGCCATGGATATACCAGAGTCAGAGGATGCAGCTGTACCAGGATGATGGAAATAGGAGAAGGAAATCCCATTGAATACGACTAAACGGTAGGTTGTTCGAAAGGTGAAAACGGAGCGGTTGTTTTCATCCAACGCCGGTGAGTGAAGTTATCCAATTGTTTATTTATTTCATCAATGATCTGAGCTGCTTTTGAGAAGCAAGCGATCGGCATTCTCTCTGACCAAAGCATTTGGGGAATACTTTCTTTATTATGATCTGCAGAATTGCAATCATTTTTTTTTAACTTGGCGATTACGTTTTTTGCAAATTTCTTGCGTTGATACTTGCGATTTTTTCGTGATTCCGGGTGAATATTCAATTTTATATTCACTTGGCGGATTTTAAAACATCTGGATTTGTTTTATCTCTTGATGAGATAATATCTAGATGTCAGTAGATGTCTGCGTCAGGGAAAATCACCTTGAGAGCGCGCGTGTGTGTGTGTGTGACCATTGAACGTGTGGTGTTAGTGTTACATTTTTTGAACTTCGCAATAAATTTACATCGTATCTTCTGTCTCAATAAAAAAATGGTAAGTATGGTGGTATTATTAAAATAATTGACGCCAACATTTTGTCAAGAAACTAAGGAATATATTTGTAACAACTATCAATGCATTTAAATACAGATAATCATTGATAACAGTGAGTTAACCTAACTAAAACAATTGTTATGATGCAATCGAATAGTAACGAATGCTCCTGCAATAACGAGTAATATCGATGAAGCTAAAACAAGCGAAAGATTCGATAGCAGAAGATTTGTCTTGGGCGAATCTAGAAGTCTACAAATGTTTTTAAGTAATGTAAAAACTCCTTGGCACTTGGAAAACATTTGTATATATGATTATTTAACTGTCCTACACTTGAATATCACCTAAATTGAATTTTCCGCTGACGAATATTCTGCTAGTTTTAGCTTCATGTAACAATGAAGCCGAAACTAGCGAAAGATTTGACAGCAGAAGATTTGTCTTAAGCGAATCTGCGAGTCTACAAATGTTTTTAAGTAATGTAAAAATTCCTTGGCACTTGAAAAACATTTGTATATGTGATTATTTAACTCTCCTACACTTAAATATCGCCTAAATTGAATTTTCCGCTGACGAATACTCTGCTAGCAAAACTAGCGAAAGATTCGACAGCAGAAAATTTGTCTTAGGTGAATCTAGAAGTCTACAAATGTTTTTAAGTAATGTAAAAATTCTTTGGCACTTGAAAAACATTTGTATGCATGATTATTTCACTCTCCTACACTCAAGTATCGCCTAAATTGAATTTTTCGCTGACGAATATTCTGCTAGTTTCAGCTTCATGTAATATCGTGGAAGAGTAAAGAACCCACTGGAATCATGATTTATTGAGTGAATTCATGGCTAGTAATTTTTATTAATTTTCAGGCGAGTACAGCTATTGTTGCTGGTGTTGGCATTGCCATTGTAGGCTTTGGGGGTCGTTACATTGTTAGATCCATGCCAACTCTGTCTAAAAAGATGTCTGAGGCTCTCAAATCACTTCCTAAGCTGGACTCCCAGGTATTAATCTCGATTCAGTAATTGCTTGAATTATATTTATTGTTAATTGCGTATTATGTATTTCCCATTTCCCTTTATTACAGACAATAAAACATTTATCAATACGTAAACCTGAATTAATGACTTGATTTTTTTTTATTTCACAGTCACTAGCTAATAGTAAATACCACAAGGGTGGATTTGAGCCGACAATGACGAAAAGGGAAGCCAGTCTCATCCTGGGTGTCTCCCCCACAGCCAACAAGGCAAAAATCAAAGAACAATTCAAAAAAGTAATGTCTGCCAATCATCCTGACAGAGGGGGATCCCCCTACATAGCTGCCAAAGTAAACGAGGCGAAGGATATGCTGGAGAAGTAATGTCATTGGATGTTCGTTGTACATAATTAGGAAAACTACTGACATGTAAATAATTGACGTTAATACACTGCATCAGATTATTTTCAAATATAAATTATTATTAAATCGGTAGCAATAAACTGAAGCCTCATATCAATTGGCAAAATGTTCTTCTCAATTGGTCATTATTCCCAATTTAATAGTCATCGATCCAGCGATTTTGTTCAGTAGAGAGTCAATTAATACTTTTTCTAATCTAACGAGCATTGATTTTCAATCACTGAATGAGCTCTCGTAATGGACAGAATTTTCTTTCGTTCTCTTTTCGTTATTTCAAATACAAAGTCATTCTTTGTGATAGAATTGAATATTTCAGGAACAATATTTTGATGCAAACGTGACTAGACTGTAAAAGTATAAATTCAATTTCGATTTTTGAGTTAATACTACCGCTCCAGTGTCGGTTTTTTTTGTAATTCTCGTTCTTGTGATACTTTAGTGCGTAATTTCACTATGGTGGCTCTCGGAAATGATCCAGGTACTTTAAAAATACTCTGAAAAGAATAGACGATTAGTTTTGCATTTTTTTTGCATTTATTTCGCAAACAAATGATTCTAGGAGAAAATGTCATAAAACTTTTTTTCTAGGTAAGAACATTGCGAACAAAAAAGTCCTCTGGCATATCTTGTCAAAATCACTCATTACCGAGGTAATTGAATAATCAGAAACAAAAAGTCTTGCCTAATTTTTAAATTAAATTAAATAAAATTGCTCATCATCAAGATAATTCCGCATAAAAATTACCTGCATAAATTCATGACACTGCAACACTATACTGTCTTTCGTAATGTCTTTGAAACAGTCTGCCAATGATGCAAAATCCTGGCACGACAATAAATTGTTTTTGTTTCGTTTCATGAGAGTGAGAGCTACGCGAAATATTATTTTACTGCCTTCGTAGAATAGGCAATCCCATATTCTAAGTGTTGTCTGTGAAAAACATGACAGCACCATCAATAAATCGGCTAATTATCATGGAAATTATGGAAAGAAAATGATTGACTGTTGTCTCACCTCAATTGGCAGTACTTCGGCAAATAAACATATAAACCATTTCGTTGTTATAACAGCCCATGGCAATCCTAAACTAGTAACATGATGATGCACATCCGGTATTTTTAATCTAACCAACTCAGCAAGAACATCGATATCTGTCACCAATCCGTCCATCGTAGGGGTATAATAGTCCGGTAATATCTTCTCGATTAATACTTTCAGTAGCCAAAATGCTGTCTCTTCGTTCTTTGTTACCAACAGTAGCAATCCTGCTATGTAATTCAGTCCCTGGAATTATTTTCATCAATTATTAGAGCTTGAATAATTCCCATAAGGATAAATGTTGATAATCCAAATTCAGAATTTAAAATTCTCCTCAATTGTGTTTGTTCACCTCCAAAGCAGCCAAAAAATGGCAAAACTCACTTGACAATAGCCAACAGTTTGATTTTCGTGCGCAAAAGCCAGTAAAATATTATAGAGTTGATGCTGATGATTGACAGTATTATTGAAGAATATATTATCTGGAAATGTTCGAGGAAGATCAGTCTTGATGATGTCAGCAATTTGACTGTTATGAGGTCCATTGAGCAGCTTCTGATAGAGATCGGGATTAGCATTTTTCAAGTCTTCGCCTCCGCTGACAGATAGCCATACCTAAGGGAAAAAAAAGATGATTTCCATCAATCAATATCAATTGAGGGAAAATTGACTCATGAATTGTCGTTACCATTCCCCTGTGCTCTCCTGGAATGCCTTTGCGAACATATCGTTTGATTGATAAACTACGCTCCAATGATTTTCCTTCTCCAATAATCTCCGACCATTTTTTAGCTCTTTTAGCTAAGACTTTTAGGTACTCTGACATAAATTCCTCATAACTTCTGTAGTCGAAATCCGATGGTCTTTCGAAGCCGTACTCATCCACATTGCTGAAATAATTACGTTGAATCAACATAATTAATATGCGAAAGGGTTGAAAATAATTGAATTCCTCTTTAACTAATATTTTCCCATGATATTTTCTCAATCTTTAAAATGACACTATATTAATGAAAATCGTACAATTTGTTGCCGAGTTATTAATAATTAAAAAAAAAGATTTGCCTCAGGTACTCTTTATCTTCATTATCATTTGCAATTTACTAGACAAGTAAATAAACCGACGCGGAATAAATTCGGGGAATGCTGGCAACTTCCAACAATGAAGTAATAATTGAAAATTTCATGTCAATATTCCGAAGTGCTCTATGTTGTCACTGTCAACATAACCTGGAGTCCATCACAATTGTCACTTTCACACCATCTCCTTTATTTACTTTAAATTACTCATTCACTTTAAATTACAAACAATGAATGAAAAAAGAAAGAGTTTTCTCACCTGAAACTTGAACTGGCCATGCCCTGAGTGGGAGGAGCGATGTCAGTGGAACTGAACCACGTACACATACCTATCTAGTACAGCCCGCCGAAGGGGGGCTGGGGGCTCAGTGACAGATGTTGATAGATACATATATCAAAGTGACTTCAGTAAGTAAAGGAGGAATTTCCTCAGTCAGCTGTTGATACCGTCATTCACTCTGAAATGAGGAAATTCTCCAGAAATTCACTCGCATGAGCTGAATTCAGTGAAACAAGTTGTTATTTTGTTCGTGGCCCCTTGCAGGTACGTATTTATACTCTCATCTTCCTCTACTATCATCATTTTAATTATTATTATTTTGTAATCAAAGTTGAACATAAAAATTAACGTGAATGAACGGATTTGCTAGAATGAGAAATTGATTATGTAAGTTTGTTTACCTGGCTATTGTTCTCTCAATAATGTGTTAATTTATTATAATTAATCATCATTGTGGAGTAGTTCAGTTGACGATTTTGTGCATCTTCTGCAATACAGAATTGTAAGAAAACGTGGCATGTTTAATAATTGCACAAGGGGTTCTATGTTCGTCATTGATAATTGTTTGAGAATAATGTGTTTTCCACTGGCTTTTAGATGATTGCTGCTGGTAAAGTGTTGAGACACGCAATTGGACTTGAGTTGTTGAATAGTCAGGGTAAGAGAGTTTACAGTGTTTCAAGTGTCATGTCGAAATTTGATTTGCCGAGTCGTTACAAAGATGAGAAATCTGTCTGGTGAGTTTTCACTGTTTGAATTTCAATCCGTTTTTACATTCCTTCCGAGGGAAAATGTCTCCAACACTTTGGGAAATTTATTGCTTTAAAAAATGTTTTTTTTACTGATTCATTAAAATTTTTTTTAGGGTGGAATATATTGGGCTGGCTGCGAAATACAAACCCCTCAATCTGGGCCAGGGATTTCCAGATTTCCATGCACCAGAGCACGTAACAACAGCCCTAGCAAAAATAGCTACCAATGAAAATCCTCTCTTGAACCAATACACTCGTGGATTTGTACGTGCAACTTACTCTATAATCATCCACAATATCTCACATATGACGTCTTATCTACAATAAAGCAAAATAACAAGGCAGGGAGATAAGACCCCCTCGTTACTGACGATTGCAGGATTTATATTCTAGGTTTATCATTTCAGGGACATCCGAGATTAGTCAACGCCCTAGCAAAATTGTATTCAAAAATGTTGAATCGTGATATCGATCCGAATAATGAAATTCTGGTGACATCTGGTGCATACGAGGCTCTCTTCGTCGCTCTCCAGGGCCATACGAGCCCTGGAGACGAGTGGATAATCATTGAACCCTTCTTCGATTGCTATGTACCGATGGTGGAGTCCGCTGGAGGGGTTCCAAGATTTATTCCATTAAAACCAGTCCGTGAAGACATATTTTTTCAAACATTTTATTTCAAATTATGAGCATAAAATGATATGACTTTAATTCTACAGACAAAATCCACAGGAATGACAAGTTCAGCCGACTGGGTATTTGATAAAAAAGAAATGGAGAGCCTCTTCAATAAAAAAACTAAAGGAATAATCGTGAATACCCCTCACAATCCAGTGGGAAAAGTATTCACACTAGACGAGCTTAAATTCATTGCTGATCTAGCAAAGAAATGGAACACTCTAGTCGTGTCGGATGAAGTTTATGAGTGGATGGTATATGAGCCAGTCCAGCATATCAGAATTGCGACACTTCCTGATATGTACGAGCGTACTATTACCATTGGCTCAGCCGGGAAGACCTTTAGTGTCACTGGGTGGAAAATTGGATGGGCCTATGGACCGGCCAATTTGTTGAATAATCTCAACATTGTTCATCAAAATTGTGTCTACACCTGTCCTACACCTCTTCAGGTATATTCTGAATAAAACGTCGAAAGAATTCTTTTGCAGCTGATTAAATTCAGCTATTCATTACTAAGACAGTTTAATAATGAATAAGAGGGAGAATGTAAATACTTATATCGATTATTAGGAGAAAATTATCATGTCCAGCTATTGAGAATAATGTTGTTCAACAGGAAGCTGTGGCGATGGGTTTTGAGGAAGAATTGAAACGATATGGACAGCCAGATTGCTACTTTGAGAGCCTCGCGAGGGAACTATTACCCAAGCGTGATTACATGGCCAAGTTTCTCTCGGACGTTGGTATGTCACCGACAGTACCCGAAGGTGGTTACTTCATGGTTGCTAATTGGAAGTCATTAGAGGATTATGTCAGACTCGATCAGGAGCAGGATAAATACAAGGATTACAGGTTTACAAAATGGATGACGAAGAACGTTGGGGTTCAGGGAATTCCACCCTCTGCGTTTTACAGTGAGGGACACAAGCACTTGGCTGAGGAGAATGTACGGTACTGCTTCATCAAGAAGGACGAGAACCTCCAGAGGGCTGCGGAGATCTTGAAGAAGTGGAAGACAAAACAAGGATAATTCATTCCAAATGAGGATAATTCATTCATTTTATTATTCTTTATTGTCATGTATTTTTGCACATTGTTATTAAAATGTTGATTAATGAGAGAAGTCCCCTCGTAGCCATCTCTTTGCGTCTCGAGTGTCCGTTCCAAATGTCTTACCGTATCTGGAAAAATTATCAATTATGCGCGTTTGGCTATAATTACCTATCTCAAATTGATTTTAGGGATTTTTTTCCGACCTTTCGTCGGTCACAAAAAAATCCAGCGATGTTTCCTTTAAAAATCACTCGTTATCGACACAATGACATAATTATAAAACTCAACATTGAATATTCACCTGAAAGCTGCGCCGGGAATATGCCCCAGATAATTGGGAATCATTCCCACGTGTTTATGATAGATTTCGGGTGGTTGAATAAGAAGAGGCGGATTCGGTCGAGAAATGGATGCCGGTGCCCACTCAGCGCTCTGTCTCGTCCGATAATTAGTCGTAAATTCACATAACGCACTATTTGTTATCGGTTTGTGGGATCCGCCAAAGTGTTCATAACCATGCGGAACATGTCCGGTATATCCTAAAGAAGAAAATTAATACAAAATATTCTCGTAATAATCCTATTTGATATCTTGAACCGACTTCCAATGCCTGTGCGCATACGACTCTGACTCATTTCAACAAATAACAAAAATAAGTAGAGGGCACTTCCTAAAAATTTACATCCGCAGAAAATGTCACATAATAGGGGATCGCGAGAAACAATTGAAGGAAGGAGACAATTGTGATTACCATTGACAAAGTATTTTTCATCATTAGTATTTTCCATGAAATAAGGCGATGGATTTTGACTCGGGGGCGGATGACAGGCTTCCTCAACAGGCAAATTTCTCATCATCCTGGCCCAATCGGGTCTCACTGTGATCAATGGCATCTTGAATTCAGTCTTCTTCATCTGGAATTAACGGAAACTATGCTCAGAGGGGCAAAATCAAAATGCAGTAGGGAAATAAATCAACTCGACTTGGCATCGCGTTACTTTTTGGTGAATATCGCGGAATCTACTGCAGATGGCGAAATTTTCACTCAATACTTTTCTCTAGATTTTTTTCTCCTCTACAAAAAAGTTTCAGGTGAAAATTTCACTGTCTCCTTTAGATCTCGAGATATTTCCAAAAAACCATCAGGGTTTTTACACGGGAAGTTGAGCTCTCTCATTTCATTTCTCTCTATTCATTATTGAAAATAATAATGTACTCTGCGTTCAGCTAAACTCCTGGGGTCCGCCATCCCACCCTGAAGTGCAGTGACGTTCCTCAAGTGGTTCAGTGCTGCTTTGTCCTTGAGCTGTTGCCGTTCAAATTCCGCTAGACCCTCGATAGCCGATATCGTGTACCTCTGACCCAATCGAGCATTCAGATTCGGCATGAATCCTGTAACATAAACATACATATTTGAGTGGATAATTTCGCAAGGGGTCATTGAATTCAATTTCACAATCTCGAGGCACCTTGGTAACCCGGTAACATCGGATACTTGTATGTTGCGTCCATACGCTTCGTGCGGGCGGTCACGATGTCTAAATCATCCTTGGGTGGTCTCATCACCTGAAATCAATGAATCATTGATTTTTCTGCATTTTAACAGTGATAAAGTGGTGAAAAGAGATGAATTTGTAGTTGAAGTCACCTTCGAGTGAGTTTCATTCACTGAAATTGATGTTTTCTAAAGTTAAATCAACTCAACTCAACTTATTTAAAGATTTATTTCAGTTAAAAATTTCCGAAACCATTTTTATCCAATATTTTTTTTTCAAGTTAAAAAAGTCGTGGATGGGAAATTAAAACTGGAAATAAACCAGACTTTCATCTTGTTTCACCATTTTGCTACTTAAAAAAATCATTTCAAAACCTCATAATCATCGGCAACTCGATTAGACAGGACCATCGTCTCCGAGTGATCGATCGTTGGATCCAACAAAAGTTTATGCGTAACATTCCCGTAAGTTTCGCCACACCGGTATCGATACTGCGGACAGAAGCCCGCATACCTAATTCGCAATAAAACAAAGAAGATAATTCCGCTCTTTGTTGCTCCCCTATCACTTTCGTCATCACAAGGACTTACCCAGGCACCAAGTGTGGCTGTGGAGTCGTTAATAGTGAAACCGTCGCCATCACCTCAATCTATTTATCCTCTTTCATTAATTAACATGAATAATTACTCATAATTTAGATAAATCAACTAGAATTTAATTCAATGCAATCGTCAGAATTTTTTCATCACATTTTCTGATTGAATGTTTATTCAAAACAAAAGCAGGCGGACGAATTGAAATATGAATACCCCTTCCACCGGTTGTGAAGCGACAGCATGCTCCACGTTTCTTCCAGGGTCAGAGTGGGAATAGGACACATTGCGTTACCAGACGCAGGCCAAGACACAGCCATAATTTTGTTGTCTCAGTTTTACCCGAAAAATGTTTGAAACATCAATTTTCATGAGTGATGTCACATTCGTGGAGAGGAAAATATATTTCTGTGGTAGCGTTGATTAGATAGTGCAGTCAGATCATTCGATTGATCTCGCCGATAAATTATTTTCAATCATGTGGTTTCATCAAGAGATGAATTCAAAGTTCTATGTCGATTCTGATTACGAGTCCCTCAGTTTCAACAATTCAAAGGTAAATATTTCCGTTATTACTGCTGACATTTCTATAATCGGGGCCAATTTCCACCGCAGGGGCCATTATTTTCGTGCGGCTGATGCAATTGTTACGTCCACGATCGATATGCCTGTTACGTTGAATCAGTATTACACGAAATCTCTGGAATATACTCTTCACTCCAGATGATTTAATTGTATACAATACATCGGGTCGAACTTTTATTTTTCCACTTTCCCGAGTGAAACTCTTGCATTTCGAATTCCCCAGTGCCTCTTCCAACAACTCGGTAACTCAATTTCAAATAAAATAGAGGTAAGAAAGTGGAAATCCAGTGAGACTGGACGCTTCGATGAACTTCATGGCAACGACATTGGACTCAACACGCGGAGGCGTTTCGACTATCTCGTAAAGGAATCATTTACAATAAAATGTATTCTCCACCTTTGGAAATCGTGTTCCTACGCAGTTATAAAAATGCCAGATTTGTGGCCATTTGAAATGAGCAAAAAATCTTTTTTTTTATCGATCTTCTTTATTTGTGATAAAACGAAAACAATGATTAAAGCAATTGAGCAATTGAAAAATTTTCTCTTTCAATTGCATTCTGCTAAATATTGTTCTTGCTTTATCCACAAAGAAAAAAAGGTGTAAACGGCACGTAAAGTACACATCGCCTAGGTTTTAACGAATAATATAGCACCTCTTGCCTAAAAAAATGGTCGATAAACAGCTAGATAAGCCATAGGTTTCGTAACATATTAGACACAGAAATAATGTTGTCGGAAATTTAAAGGGGGTAGGAGCAGAAACACCAGGTGTCCACCACCAACGTCCGGTAGGTGGTGTAAGCCGTCATACGTTCAATGGGTATACACGCAAGCCCCATAAACAGCGAGTACGTGCCGAGACGATATAATGAATTTTATTCTGTTTTTTTACATTGCACTGTATTCATAAGTGCATATTCACATTGTAATCCGCGATGGGATGTTCCATATGCCACTGAGTCTGTACACCGGAAACTGTGTTATTATCACTTCAGTGGTTCGTTGACTCGGTTTTACCTAGAAAATAAAAGCATTGCGTATGAGATTATCTCGGACTTCTCTTGTGTAGGAAGTTGCCGATGAAATTACAGTACAAATTATCCGGCGTTGAACATCTGTGGGTCCCGAGGGGGTTTTCCTGTATTCGATTGAAGAATATTCGATCATTAAGTTGATCGTGGCAAGCTGGACAGTGATCTATTGGCTAGGGGGGGATGGAGAGCACGAGGTACGTGCTGTAGGTTTCATCTACGCGAATCTATCGATGAGTTATATTCTTGCTGAGGAAGTAGGGGGTATCAACATCCTGGATGAACATCTCACGGTTTTAATCGTAGAGTCTCGTGATGTGAAGTCTAAAGTGCTCAAAATACATTTTTTAAAGAGTTATTCATCACGATTAATGGGTTCCTATCACCTAGTCATTGTTATTCTACTAAATTTAACTGTATGGTACCTCATCACGTCAATTCAATCCCTCCAACCTCCCACTCCTCAACGATTGAATGATTCAAGATACCCTGAATGTTTAATTTCCGTCTTCCGTGTTGTGGGTTTCATTTTTGCGAATTTATCGATAAATTATATTATTGCTGCGGAAGTGCCGGATGTGTCGAGTCTCGTGATGTAAAGTCTAAAGTGCTCAAAATCCATTTTAAAAATAATTCAATATGAGAATAACTCTCACTAATTGAAGCCCAAGAAAAATATTTCGTTCCAAGTTACAAGATTCCTATCACACATAATAGTCATTGTTATTCTACTAAGAAATGTCTTGTATGATACTTCATCACGTCCATTCAATATCTCCAAGCTCCCACTCCTCGACAATTGAAAAATTCAAGACACCCTGAATGTTTAATTTCAATGTGAATAGCCCCAAGACGCACCTGAATCGCTTCATTGTGTTGTTCGACTCATCCCCAACTCGTCTTCCATTGTTGCACAGTTTTGATGATAAAGGAGGAAGGGAGTCTCCGGGATGCCCCCGGATCTCGCACGTAGTCGTGTATTCCCCCCCTCTGAGTCATCGCACGCGCCTTATCCTCTTTTGTGAGCTGTGTGGCAGACCACGCGCCCGTACGTGGCTCGTGAATTAAAGTGATTTTTTTTTTCTCCTCGTATGGCACTTCATGTGAGGTACGTGAAAGATTCGAGGGATATAAAAAGTACCTTATCCATGATCTGTTGTTTGACAGCAGGTAGATGGCGAGGGTAGATTGAAACCCGATAGTTTCGGGTCAGAAGATCGATACTTCCTTGTTTATTGTCTCTCGCAATATTTTCACTGCTTCTTGTCGGTTGTTTTTTTTTTTGGCACTCCATGGGTCTCGTCTCACCAATTTCACCGATGAAATTGTCTGGCTGAATATTTGACAATTGAGAGTTTCTAAATTCCGCGAAGGAGTCGATAATAATCTCGTCTACAACAGGATTATCATTTCACCTGGAAGAGTTGAAATGTAAATACAGCTGAAGGGATTTTTTGGATGCATCTGTCCCCAATCGTGACCTCACCGTGCATTCCTTGAGATAAGCGGGGCCACTGGGTCAGCCAGTCGAGTGCAACAGCATCTCAAGAGACTTCACAGTCTCACGAGTCAACCCGATTTCAGCCTCTCCATTTCCAGTTTACCAATCTCTTAATCAGTGCAAAAGGTCAGGGAGGACATTTTTGTTGAGTTGAACAAAGGAATTGTCACTGTTGTTTATCAATCCCCCATTTTCTATGGGAAATGGAATTCATTTTTCAAGTCGTTCATCGGTGAGAGGAGAATCTCGTGTTTGGGTTGAACAAAGGAATCCACAGATATGGTTCGCCGGATGAGAGAGAGTTGGGTTGATTGATTATCGTTGGGATGATTTGGAAACCTGTCAGGGAGTGGAAACCCCTGGTAAATCAAGGAAATCGGTTTCTATAAGGCACTTCTTCAATTTTTCAAGAGTACTTGTAACGAACCGTTATTAAAGTCATCTTTAATCCTCAATCTCTCGATTTTTTGTTTCACTTTCAAGGTGTTTTTTTCCAGCTTCAAAATGAGACGTGAATCGTAAAAATTGCATCGCTCAATTTTATTTTCATAAAGGATAAAGGATTGTACTTCGAATCCTCCCGCGTAATAAAATCGAGCCTGCGCAGTAGTGGAAATCGAGGTGAATCCGTCGTGGCGTTGCACCTTGGTCCGTGGTCGCCGAATGGGCCCTCCAGCGACCTGTTGGTGGCTCCGAGGTAGTCAGGTTTCTGATATTTCCTCAGTGAGTGATCAACACTCGAGTTTTCACCATTCATTCGTATTCTTCAGGCGTTGACATCGAAAATCAGTTAATTCTTTAGACGAGAAATATGTGAGAATGGTGAGTGACAGCTCTTTTCTTCACCTATGTTCCAAAAGTGAATGTTGACTTGTTCCGAAAACTCTTGAGGGGAAGGGGGGGGATTTAAAAATCCCAGCGCAGGGAATGCACTCGCGATTGCATCTACCATTCCACGGTATAATGTCAAGACTCTCTCTACGTTTGTCTCATTTCTATTTACCTTTTTGTTTATGTCGAGAGACAAAATGCCGTTTGCATACGTGAATGCGTGTTCCAACGTGGGCTGAGGGTATATACGGTTATACACTACCCCGATTAGACGCTATGTCGACCGAGAGCCAGGTTAACTCAGGCCGATTGAAGGTTAATGCTCGTAATGTCAAGGGTCGTACGTTCACGCCGTCGTGACGTGACTCCCTCTTTCATCTTGCTCCCTATAAATTAGATCCACGAATTATTACGTCCAGGAATCGATCAAGTTTCGGTGAAATAGAAGGGAATTGTTCTCGAGAAAGAAAGACCGGGGGAATCCTCTGGCTGTCTTTCGAGAGAAAAAAAAACAGTTATGTATTGACCGTTAATCACTACCGGAACTGATAAACATCGGCTTATCTCTTGGCAACAGTTCCTGGACGAATGACAAGTAATGTTTGGAAAATGGGGGTCCTTGTTCGGTTGGACGCACACCTGTCCCGGGTCTTGACAGGGGTTTCTACTTTAAATATTCCGACTCCTTTCGGCGCGTAATCCCGTGGATTAGAAATGTGACAATGCAATTAAATCGTGATCAATTACTTGCATTCAATTTTTCCCCGAGATTGTCAATCTGGGAAAATGAATAATTCATTTGTGACGAGGAGAACATCATTCGAGATGAATTGTCATTCATGTAGAATGAAAAAAAATAATAATGCACTCCGTTTTACCCCCACTCCCCCATTAGTATCAAAAATTCACAATAAGATATTTTCAACTGCTGGAGACAATTGTGCCCATTGCCAGTGACAACGAGCAACCCCAGACAGTCTTATACCAACGACCCGTTATTCATTGTCACTCAACAACACGTGAGCGACCGAACTCGTTAAAGACAATTAAACCCAAACGAACGGCTCGGCGTACGTCTCAATTGTCGCGTTACTTATTGTTGTGTTCATTGAGTGGTTGGGTGCGGTTCACTTCAGTCCCAATTACGCAAGCTCAACATTCTTGTCCACTCCATTATCTAAAAAAAATAATCCTTGCGCGTGTTTTTTATCTCCATTTTGTTTTCTTTTAAGAAAAAATCTTGTCTCACG